ATTAAATATATAGCTGCCTTTTATTGTGAGGATTGTAGTTGGGGCACATGAAATATTAGATGAACATGGATATGTGGAGGAATATCCAATTTGTAAGCTATTGATTCAATGTGCTCTAATATTTGATTAGGTCTGAAGTAATGTGGAGAAAACTTCTTGTTGGGTCAATGACTTGAAATTTGTAGATAGTAAGGTCATAGTTTAAAATAGATTGTCCCCCGTGGTGGAGGTAAACTCTCATTGATGTTTGTCCTATTGAGTTTTCATATGATTTTATACTTGAGATAAATGAAATTTTACTTGACCTAGAACTCTATCTTTGTCTTGTAATTGTTGTTCAATCCATGTGATTAGAGTATGATGTGTTCTAAACCTAATAAGGGGTAGAGGATCATGACCATATATGACCAAAAGGATGTATGTTTTGTGACCAAATGGTATGTGATATTGTACCAATACACTACTCATCAAAGTCAATGATTCTATGTGGTTAATTATAGACAAAAAAACATAAATATATTTTGAGGCTCTTGTTAACTACTTTAGACTATCCATCGATTTGTGGAGGATAGATTGTGCTTTGGGAGCCAAATACCTTTTAAGTGAAATAGTTTTATTCAAAACTAGTAGAAGAATATGATTTCTATTAGAGATCTTTCATGATATATTGGCAATGTCCTAATGTATAAATGTTTCATAATAGAAAAAAATTACTCAGGCAATCAACAACTTCAAAATGGGTATGAATTCATCCAATTAAGGTAATCTTTTGAGTAAATCTATAGAAAGGTCATCTCATATTTTGTGTGGTATCAAAAGTTTGAGAGAGGGCTTCTACCTTGTTGTATGGGCACATGGAGCACTATGCAACATATGATTTGATATCCTTTTTAATCCTTGTCTAATACATTTTTATGTGTTTATATGTAAATAGAAATTTGAAGTGTCCTCTATTCGTACTATTGTGATACTTGTTTTGTGGATATGAATGAAGAGTCCCTAGAGATCAAGATACAACCTTTGTCTTGTAATGAATAGAGCGACCTTTCACAATGATGCAATTCCATATCATAGATAATTTGGAAGAGGAGAGATTGTTTGCAAATTCTTTCTTAATACAATCTAGATTGATAAAATGTGGGAATGATGTCATGATCAACTGAGTGATATGTGATATTTGTGAGAGAGCATCAATTGCCTTGTTATCGGTGTCTACTTGAAATTTGATCTCAAAATTGGAGGTTGAGCAACTTCACCAATCAGTGCCAATCATATGGAGTGATTTGTTGATGTTCCAAGAGGAACTTCAAGTTACACTTACTAGTATAGATGATGAATGATTTTTCAAGTAAATAATGCATCTATTTTTGGATAGCTAATAAAATAGCCATGAGCTTCTGTTCATATGATAGATTTGAGTTGGTGACACAGAAAAAAGGCTCTATTGTAAAATGCAATAGATCTTCAATGTTAGATTACCATAACATGAGGTGTCAATCTCTAATTCAAAGCTTTTAAAAACATCAGGTAGAGCTAATATTGAAATCTTCGTCAAGACTTATTACAATCTTCTAAAGACTTTATCAACTTCTGCATCCTAGATAAATGAATCTCATTTAAGTTGTTGAGCTAACAATCATAAGACTGAGCTAAATCCTATAACAAATTGGTGATAATAGCCAATCAATCCTAAGAAGATGATTTATTTAAATTGATGATAATAGCTCTTTGATCGTCGTTGATGTTGGCCATCTTACAATGCCCTTAATTTTTTATTAATCTCAACCATTTCGCTTGCTAAAACTATATGCGTGAGGTAATCAATAAATGTAAGTCTAAATTTACATTTCTATGCATTGATATGAAGTTGATAAGTTTGAAGGATGGTAAAAACTTAGAAGATGTGATGTTTATGAGATTTGATATCTTAATTGTAGATGAGAATATCATCAAGATCAGCACATTTTTCTGTAAATGCTCAATGAATATATTAGTCATACATAATTGAAATGTCACTAAGGCATTTGTGAGGCTGAAAGAACCAATAACTTATAATGCCTTTGATGAGTTCAGAAAATCTGTCCTCAAAATGTTAGAATCTTTCATTCAAATTTGATGTATCCAAATCAAATATCAAGTTCAAAAAATATGGTGGCATCATGTAATTCATCAAGTATTTCATCAACCACAAAAATGAGAAATTTATTTGGAACAATGGTGCGGTTGAATATTTGATAATTAATGAAGAAACACTTATTGTCATCCTTCTTTTTAATAATAAAACTAGATGGAAAAAGGAACAGTGGATGGTTGAATAAGACCTTCCACACACATTCCTTTGACCAGGGTTTCAATCTCATTCTTTTGAATGTAAAGATATCAACAAGGTCAGACATTAATGGGATCAATGTTGGGAAGTAAAGTGATGGCGTGGTCAATGTTGCATTAGAGTGGAAGACTTGATGGTTTAGAGAAGACTATCAGAAATGAGATGTTTAAGCAGTGTAAGATACTTTGAGTTTGTGGTTATGTCAAGTTACATCAATGTTGTCAATGGTAAACTATATTAATTTCACAAACATGCTAGGATTATGATATAAAACACATTTCCTAGATTTCAATGAAAAGCTTGACTTGGATAAATTTGGGTCCCCCTCCAATTTTACTTTGGTATTTCCTAACATAAATCTCATAATGAGATTACGATAATTAAATCTGACTCTTTCTAGTGTCCATAGCACAAGATACTGCCCACATTGCCAAGAGATAGAGGAAGGAAATTATTTATCATGGTAATTCCTTGGAATTGTATTGTGACGTCAGGATATAATCCTCATCTAGAGATATACGTGCTTGTATTTGTGACTACGCCATAGTGAATAAATGAGGAGATAGGAAGGCCTAATTTATCAACTAGATCCACAAGAATAAAGTTGTGGGTGGTGCATGTATCAACGAATATGGTGATATCCGTGTTGTTGAGTGTCCCTTTAGGTTTCATCGTTTTAAGATCCATAATATTGAGCACCGAGTTGAGTGATAATTCAATAATATTCAGAAATGTTGGTGATGTCATAGATATATGAGTTCCCGTGCTCTGGTCAACAGCATTGAAGTTGAATTGATGGGTGTCATATGTAATGATCATGATTTAGATTTCAAAACATCAACAGTATTCATGAGTGAATTTCTCATCACATTAGAAATGTAATCCTTTAGGTTTGCAGGCTTGAAACTCATAATCAATGAGGTTGAGGCGTCAGTGGGGTGGGAGTTCTTCCGTCAAAGTGTGAAAGCTGTTTGGTACTTGTGTTCTCGTGCCAAGAGTCGCTGTAAATTTGCTTCTGCTATGAGAGAGGAATGGTTCTGACTTGTCAATGGAGTTTGAATGGGGTGACTTATGATTTAAGGTGGAGTTTCATTCCAGGGTACATCGATCGATTTTCATGATTGCAATCCCACTGATTAGAGCAGTTGAACTTCCGCATGAATTTTAAGTTTACGGCCCTTAATAAAAATATCTTGTGAGATATTGTTGGAGAGGTGCTCTATCATTGCAGATATCAGCTCAAAATCTTGCCTGTAGTCTACAACAAAGCTACGTTGAGTTAAGTTGAAAAGTAATTCATAAATATTACAATTGTGGGAAGAGTCAAAATGGTCAAGGAGTTGCTGCCGGAGGTGAGTCTAGATGTTGAATGGGTGTTGGGCCTTCACCCAGTAGAACCAGGCTAAAGTTTCGTCTTCGAAGCTGATATTGGCAATGACAAGCTTCTTTGCCTCAAAATGACGATGGATAGAGAAATATAGTCAAGCCCAATAAATCCAACATGCAGATTATTCTATTTTGAATACATGGGCCTAGAGAGTTGTTGGTACGTCGTTTTGGCTGGAGAGGAATGATGCTTGGGTTGAATTCCATCGATAGCGTCGAGGTTGGCCTCTGCGCACAGAGATCGATTTTCCAAGAGATACAATGATTCTTGTATATGGGAGAGAATATCATCAGTGGTGCTAATTCGCTGCTCCGGGGTGAGTAAGCGTAGTTTGCTTCTTGCCTCGAGTTTAGGAAGATGACGCATGTGTTCGCGCAGCTCGTTGAGATCCTCCTCAACGCCATCAACGCGATTATCCACCTATTTAGTAGCCATATCTTCGATGGGGAGAACGTCAGGTGCTCTGATACTAATTTGTTAGGACCTCATAGACGAGATGACTGGGAGAGACGTCACAGTACTTACTATTCCACTCTCAGTCGCCGCTCCGACTATTCAAGAACTTGCGTAAAGGATGACATATGGGTGCAGAATAAGTGGGAGATAGAGAGATAGAGAGAGAGAGAGAGAGAGAGAGTCATATAAGCGGGATTAGTAATGCAACCGTGTAACTACTCTCTCGTGGCATTGACCGTGGTGCCTTATCCATAAAGGCCAACGGGGCGGACTGGGGCAGTAAGAAATTCTGAGAACTCCGAACATGGAATCGGCCGGGCTCTCCTGAAGCCCCGGCCGGGCCCAGAATCGACAGGCACATGTGCTAAATCAAAGTCGTCCTTATCTGAGTAATGAACCATGTGGAAAGCGTGTACTCTCTCCGGGTAAGGCTCTCCAAGTCACCCCAAAATGTGGCCAATACAGTCAACCTGTACTCTCGGGAAATATCTGCTGCATGTCAGGCCGAGAGTTTCGACACGTGGACGGGTTTCCGCATTCAGCAACTCTCCCCGATCAATCTGAAGGTGCTCAAAGATGTTACCAACTCCCTCCGCCCTGCGTCGCCGGCCGTAGTAATTAGGACAACCTGGCGAGTGATGGTTGCCCCGCTGGCAGGTTCCTCCCGGCCAACTACCTCCGTCCCTTTCTCCCTCCGCCACCGCAGCCCTCGTCGGCATTGTATAAGTACAGGGGAGAAGGAGCATGGTGGAGACCAAGCACAGCTTCCCCTCCCAAGGTTCTGAGAAGTGAGAGATCCTTCAGAGGAGAAGGAGGATAAGGAGGAAGATGCCGACCTCGAGGATAACGATCGGGAGGAGGGAGGAGGCGACCCATCCCGACGCCCTCCGGGCCGCCGCCGCCGAGTTCTTCTCCACCCTCATCTTCGTCTTCGCCGGACAGGGCTCCGGTGTGGCCTTCTGTACGTGGGACTTCTCTCCATCTTCACCGCCAGCGAGCTCCGTCTCTCCGGCTATGTCCATCCCTCGCTGATACTTTTCTTCCCTTTACTTAAACGCGCGCAGCTAAGCTGACCGGCAACGCTGCGACGACTCCGGTGGGACTGGTGGCGGCGGCCCTCGCTCACGGCTTCGCCCTGTTCGTCGCCGTCGCCGCGGGGGCCAACATCTCCGGAGGCCATGTCAACCCCGCCGTCACCTTCGGCATCTTCCTCGGCGGAAACATCACCCTCTTCCGTGGCCTACTCTACTGGGTCGCCCAACTCCTGGGCTCCATCGTCGCCTGTCTCCTCCTCCTCTTCGTCACCGGCTCGGTGAGTTTCCACTATCTCAACCATGCCTTCTTCGACTCCTTCTCCGGCGAACTGAGCGTCTAACGCCGACGTGCTCCCGCCGGCGCAGTCCACAGGGATCTTCGAGCTGTCGGGGGTGGGCGTCTGGAACGCGGTGGTGCTGGAGATCGTGCTGACCTTCGGGTTGGTGTACACCGTCTACGCAACGGCCGTCGATCCCAAGAAGGACAGCGTCGGTATCATCGGCCCCCTCGCAATCGGCCTGGTGGTCGGAGCCAACATCCTCGTCGGCGGCGCCTTCGACGGCGCCGCCATGAATCCCGCCATCGCCTTCGGCCCCGCCCTCGTCAGCTGGAGCTGGACCAACCACTGGGTCTACTGGGCTGGTCCCCTCATCGGCGGCGGCGTTGCTGGGATCCTTTACGAGCTCCTCTTCATCTTCCATACCCACGAGGAGCTCCCCACCACCGACTACTGAGACGCCCCTCTATCTCTCTTCTCTCTTGTACTACTTGCTGTAATAATCCCCGGCACTTCTCTCTCTCTCTCTCTCTCTCTCTCTCCCTCTCTCTCCCTCTCTCCCTCTCTCTCCCCAAGACCCTTTCAGGGCTTGGTTTATCTGGTTATTGTTCTCAATTGATCTTCTTAAGCTCGCCTTGGACGGGTATTTTTATCGTCGTTTCAAAGAAAATGGGAGCCGATAAGAACAGCGTGGACCGACGACGGAGTCCAAAATATTCAAACCCGGTCGAGTCGAACCGGTCGTCTATCTCCACGAACCGGGTTTATAACCGCTGACTGACGTAACTCCCAATCCAGAGGCGATCGTCAACCGGCATTATCCGTCTATGAAAAAATAGTAATGAATTACCACTTTTGCCTCTGGGGAAAGTCACTGCTTGGACGCTCTCATGGATCCCCTGTCCGTAATAATGAAGAAGAATATGGCTAAATAACCCACTCGTATAATTTTTCCTTAATCAAATATATTCCGGAGTATGAATTATTATCTTTTTTTTACGTCATCCGGAGAGGGCCATCCGACTGCCAGGTGGGGACCATCTAGCTGCCAGGATCTGGGTGGGGCCCAGAAGACAACCCCGGGGGATCCGGCTCAGGCCCATCTAGCTGGTGGTACTAAGCGGTAACCACTCTCTCTCTCTCTCTCTCTTGCCCGCCCTCGCTCTCCGGTCCGACAGACCGGAGCATCAGCCCGAGAGGGAGAAGGGAGGAAGGCGAGTGCATAGGTGAAGGAGAGTACAGATCCACGGCGGCGTCCGCGGCCGCCCGGTGTCTTCAGCGTTGGCTCCCGGCTATTGGAAGGCGTGGGAGGTCCGTGATCCTGAGGGGATTCAAGATCTGGTCTCGAGGTGAATCAATTTTGTCGGACTCGATCCAGTAGGAAGTGCGTGTTCCAATTTGTTTTGTCAGCGTCTTTCGGATAGTTTTGTTCTTCATCGGATCTGCATTTTGAATGATGGACTTGGGAAGGGTTCGATGTGCTGATGCCTAGGATAGATGCATAGTTGCAGATCTTGGGTTGGTAGATGGAAATCTAGATATACGGAGATCTGGGAAATCTTTTCTTCCTCGAATTTCGTCGATGAACTCCGGCACCTAATGATGCTTTTGATTTTGGTCATGTAGAGGGCAATTGGCTAGGTTTGCCTGCAGGATGGAGTGTCGGTGGAGTTGGTTCATTGGTCTTCACTCCATAGTTAGAATTTTCCTAGTGATTATTGGCGATCCCGATTTGTAGTCTCCGCGAGGATTGACTCGACTTATTCTCATGCCTACATCCTCATATGGTTAATTTTTCAGTTTGCGGATCCTCAGAATAGCAGCTTCTTGATTCAAGACCGCAGTTTAAGCTGGATAAAATGATGCATACCGCGTTTAGCCTTTTATATCAGTATACGTGTGTGTATATGGACAACTGGCGAGAAAAGTTTAATGTTCACTGACCTATAAGTTTGTCTCAACAGGCAGATTCCTTTTGGCTCGAATTTTTCTTGGCTTGTCCTTGGAAAACACTTCCAACCAAGCATGAAATCTGATCGAAAACATCATAAATTCCCTGGATCCTTCGTCGTGTATAATCATCCTAGAAAAATTAGCTAGGATCCAGGAGTATGATGAGGATGTGGTTCTGGGAAAGAAGAGAAATACTTTTTTTTCTGAAGCATCTCGATGCTAAGTTGTAGCATTCAGCCTTCAGCCTCTATCATTATAAGAACGTCATTGCACCTTTGTTTTCCTTTAGTTGTCCTTTATTCTCCCTGTAGTTCACTTAGATCGTTTTGAAAGCAGTAAGAGAACCGAACGTTTTTTAACCCCAAGTTTCCCTCTTTTCTATTTCCTGAAATTGGATGTTTCTACAATTAATTGCATCATGGAGTGGTATTTGTTCAAGTATATAGGTAAACGTACCCTGGTTGTGATATTTGTTGTATCATAGCGTCCTGTCTCATTGATTCAGAGAAGAATACATCCTTTTCAACATATCGAATTAAAGGTCATGGATCTTGAACATTATTGACAAAAACGTGCTCTGAGTATCTGACTTTTTGAATATATTTCTCTTGAAATCCTCTTATACTGATATTATTTGCTCATGCTTTAATTATTGTCATCTCTGCAGTTCTCTGTGGAAGTTAGTGGGCTAATGACATCGCCTGGCTCTCCTGGCACTACTCTGGGGGATCAAGATGTTAAGAGGAGCCTTGGCATGAGTGCCTTGTTGGCTGAGGTGCCCTATGATCAGTGGGTTCCACTTCCTGCCAACGGTTGGCGGCCATCAGCCCGCTACAAGGTGTTTTTAGGGATGTTTTTAATATATAAAAATGTTCACCGCTCTATGTATAAAGTTTGAAATAATCTCAAAATGTCCTGATTTTAAATTGTCTTTATAGTTTCTGAAGAAAAGTGTTCTTCGTGCATCTTGAATGTCACGTACCATCTCCACGATCACATAGTACCATTTTCATGATTGTCTTGAGTTTTTTATATCTAAAGTTCTATCCTTTAAATGTCTTAGCATGCTGCAGAAGTGGTGGATGGAAAGCTGTATATCATGGGCGGAAGTCGTAATGGTCGATATCTAGCAGACATTCAGGTTGAAGCTTGATGGTTACCATTGTCAATGTTAAACTTGATCTGAAGGCTGTTCACATTTTGGCCATTTGACAGGTTTTTGACCTTGTAACTTTGACATGGTCTGCTGTCAAACCAAATCGAGATTCAACTAATGGATTGGAAGAGGCAGTACCAGCCTGTTCTGGCCATAGATTGGTGAGGTCTATGAGCATAGGTCCTGTCATATCCTATTGTGATTTTCCATTAATCTCATCTGAAGTTCTATTGTTTTCCTTCTGCAGATTTCCTGGGAAACTAAGCTTCTAATTGTCGCTGGACATTCAAAGGAACATTCTGATACAGTTAAAGGTCTTTTTAAGATAGAAATTTATTTATTTTTCGCTGTTCCTTCAGAGAATGCCCATATTTATCCATGGAGATATCTAAATATAACATTTTTTAATATAGTTCTCTGTTTAGTGCATAAGAAGGTTGTTCAAATTTTACACGAGCACAGAGTTCGTGATTTGTGGGTCATGCATTGTAATTCATGTAGACACGTATCTGTCCTTGCATGTTTCCATCCTGTGGATTCTATTGATTTCATATCTAATTTTTGGATTATGCGCAGTTTGGTCGATTGATCTGGGAACACAGAACTGTAACATTATTGAGACACATGGAAAAGTTCCAGTAAGATCATATGTTAATGTTTCGAGACTATTTATATATGTTTTATTCTAAAGTTGATTCATCAATCATTTTATTTGTATTGTGTAATTTGTGATGAATCAATTGCATAGATTTTCCTCGTTAACTATGTATAACCAGGGATCCTCTATGATCTCTTTTCAGAGTGCTCGAGGAGGTCAGTCAGTGACCTTGGTTGGGTCTAAATTGGTAATGTTTGGTGGTGAAGTCAGACGCAATCACCTACTGAATGATCTTCATGTTCTTGATCTGGAAACAATGACTTGGGATGTAGTTCAGGCTGTGTAAGGGTCTCCTTCCACAGACATTCTGCTTCCAGAGATTATGAATGTTACTTCCCTAAAACACTTTATTTCCACTGCAATTGTAGGCATAAGTCTCCTGCACCAAGATTCGATCACACAGCTGTAGTTCATGCAGACCGCTATCTTATGATCTTTGGTGGTGGTTCGCATTCAGCCTGTTTCAATGATCTTCATGTTCTTGATTTGCAGACTGTAAGTCCAATTTAGTACTTTGTTGTTTCTAATTTATAATCATGATATTGAAAGCCGTGATCCACAGTGAACCAATGTGACGAATGTTTCACATATGTTCTGAAAACAAAATTTTCTCCAGTTATTTTTTTTTTCCATTTGATTAACGATTCTGTTTTTTATGCATGAATATCTTTTACTCGGACATTTGTGGTGCCCCATATGATGAGGAGAAAATAACTTCTCATGAAGCATGGGGAATAAGTTCAGATTCCCTAATGCATTCCTACAATTATCTGGCATAATCTTATTGTTGTGTCTTCAAATTACATTGCAGATGGAGTGGTCTGAACCACAGACTCAGGGTGAGGTTGTGACTCCCAGGGCAGGTCACGCTGGAACTGCAATAGAAGATATGTGGTATATAGTTGGTGGTGGAGATAATAAAAGCGGTCGGTTGAGACATTAATTATTGATTTTTATTGGTGAATTTTCATTATACTTAGAAATTTTAGTCAGTTTTTCTTGTGCTGTAATCTGTGACCTTGTCCTCTGATAGGTGCCTGTGAAACTATGAAGTTAAACATGACTAATCTTGTGTGGTCAGTGGCAACAAGTGTGCAGGAACGCGATCCACTTGCAAGCGAGGTTTTTCCTCTCTCATAATTTCTTATTTCTTATTTTGAACTATAAATTTATGTGGACGACCTTAATGCAGGTTAGATTCTGCGAGTACTTTTGGGAACTATCACATTTAAGAATCATTAATCAAGAGAGCATTAAAACAAAATCTTTTTTTATTTACTGATTTAAAAAAATCTAAATTCCTCTCCACCAATATCTTCCTTTTCCTTTGAGCCTTAGATGATCCCAACGCTCTTACTGTGACCTCATCCAGCATAACTGTCTGTGGAGCAAATGCACTTTTGACCTCGTTGTTGTCCTAAATTATTAATTACTAAGATTTACAAACCTGAATGAACTGGACAAGTCTGAATTCCTCGCTGACGAATCTCAGTCGTCGGGTATCGAGTGTCTTACAGGACTGTTGTCCAGCTTGACTGAACTATAGGCTGTGATTGACTCTCTCTAAGGTTCATCAACAATGCCAGTAGTGATCGACACTTTTTCTCTTTCGATATGGTTTCTCTAATTCTTTACTCTGTCATTCAACCTTCCACCTATTTGGAGCATTTGAACCCTTCCATTGCACCATTCAATTTTTTCTTTATTATCCAAATTTTCGTTTATTTCTATCTTGAAGACTATGATGGGGCCATGACTCTGTAAGCGTTACTTGTCAGGGCGTCAGTATTTGCTCGACAACAGTTGATGGGCTCAAAATTCTAGTTGCCTTTGGCGGCTACAATGGGAAATACCACAATGAGGTTTGTAACATTAACACACTCTTCGAAACATATCTTTGGAGATTTACCTCCAAAAACCGATGTTAACTCTTTGTCATACTGGAATTTTGACAGGTGTTCGTCCTGAAATGCAAAGTCAGCCCTTCAAAGCAGCCTCGGATTCTCCAGTCACCTGCTGCTGCCGCTGCGGCAGCTTCAGTCAGTGCAGCTTATGCCTTGGCCAGTGCAGCCGAGAGCAGCAGGTTGGAAGCTGCACTAGCAGAAGGCAAGAACATCAGCCAGCCAGCCCCCATCGTCGACCCCACTCTGCAGGTTGCCGGGAAGATAGAAACCGTTGCCGCAGAGAAGAAGGACCTCGAATCCAAGCTCGCTGAAGTGAGAGCTGACAATTTGAGACTCAAGGGCAACCTTGAAGAGACGTCCAATTTACACAGTGAGCTATCAACGGTAAAGATCTCGCTTAAGGAATAGGGTGGAAGAAATCTCTTTGATCCATTTGATACCCCCGCCTGATTGTTCATCTTGTTCTCCAATGAAGGAGCTTCAATCTGTCCAAGGCCAGCTGCAGGCTGAAATATCAAGATGCTCCAAGCTAGAGGTCTTCATCTCTCATACACGTTTACACACACACATACATACACATACACACACATCCCTATATTAATGTGCACATTTCTTGGCCTCTTTTTGCTGATTCTATTACTGTATGTCTTCCCCGCTTCGCAGCTCCAAATCGCGGAGATACAGAAGAGGCTGGGAGTCCTTCCTTCGGTGGAGCTCGAGCTGGAAGCCCTTCGTCAGCAGAAGCCCTCATGGCAGAGCGACTCGGTTGACGATCAGAAGCAGAGCTCCCCCGGGATCTGGCAATGGGTGACCGGGAGTACCTGATGCCGTGGTCGGCTGAACTGTAAGTTAGAGTCTGGCTGTACAATTTTTTTACCATTCTTTACACAGTTTTGGACACTACAGCCACCGTTGACCTTCTCCTAGTCTTAAACAGAACAGTACTTATACCGAGAAAAATAAAACCTCATTTTTGTGCTCAAATTTGGGATTCGGTTTGTTTGTTTGTTTGTTTGTTTGTTTGTTTGTTTTGTTGGGGGGTTTTGAGGGGTTGTGGGGCGGAGAGGGAGGCACTCCCCGCCGCCCATCCATCCCTCCCCAAGGTAGTAACGTTGTTCGTATATGCTGGGGTCTAAAGGTGGGAGGGGAAGGCCTATTGGCCATCGACATAGCGGCCGGCTGCGTCATGGCGTCGCGCCTCCTCTCGATCCTCCTGGCCGCGCTGCTGCTGGTGCTGCCGGCCGCAGAAGGCAGCTGGTACCACCACGGCGCCATCCGGCACCGCCGTGGCCGCGCGCGTGTCCGCCCGCGGCACAACCACGGCAAGTTCGGGCCTGGCAGGTGGAGCCTGGCCCACGCCACCTTCTACGGCGGCAGCGACGGCAGCGAGACGACCGGTATGACCACCCACCCGGCATAGAGAGAAAAAAATAGAAGTCTTCCTTCCTTCCTTCCTCCCGGCGAGGGAATGAACAGCGGCCGGCGTTGGTGGCGCAGCTGGAGCTTGCGGCTACGATGACACGGTCAGCCAGGGGTACGGCCTGCACACGGCGGCGCTGAGCTCCGCCCTGTTCGTCGACGGCCTAACCTGCGGCGCCTGCTACGAGATCAAGTGCGTCAACGACCGGCAGTGGTGCAAGCCCGGCCACCCCTCCGTCTTCGTCAGCGGCACCAACAACTGCCCCCCAAACTACGCCCTCGCCAGCGACAACGGTGGCTGGTGCAACCCCCCCCGCTCCCACTTCGACCTCTCCCAGCCAGCCTTCCTCCAGATCGCCCAGTACCAGGCCGGCATCGTCCCTGTCGCTTACCGCAGGTAGGCTCCCCTCCCTCTCCACCACCACCAACCTCGCCGGTAAGGGTGCAACTCAACTGACTTCTCCGTCGCAGGGTCCCTTGCAAGAAGCAGGGAGGGATCCGGTTCACCATCACGGGGAACCCCTACTTCAACCTGGTGCTGGTGTGGAACGTGGCCGGCGCCGGCGACGTCCACGGCGTGCAGGTGAAGGGGAACAAGCTGGGGTGGACGACGATGTCCCGCAACTGGGGCCAGCTCTGGCAGACCAACGCGCAGCTTGTCGGCCAGTCCCTCACCTTCAGGGTCACCACCAGCGACGGCCGCCGCTCCACCTCCTGGCACGTTGCCCCCCGCGACTGGCAGTTCGGCCAGACCTTCGAGGGCAAGAACTTCCGCACCTAAGCTCCTCCGCTGCCGCTCCCCCACTTGGGTTTCGTACGATCTAATGCGATCTCGCCTCAGCTCGTCGCCGGCGGGAGGAGCCGCCGGCGGCGAGATCGGATACGTACTCTCATCGCAGATATGGAAACCCGACAACCAGACGCATATAGCGAGACCCGTTCATTGATCCCCATTCTCGACGGAAGTCTTCCCACGTAGCAGAAGCACACGTGCGTATACAGAGAGAGAGAGAGAGAGAGAGAGAGTCCAGAAGAATAGGGCGGGGACAATCAGCCCATTAAAATGTACCATTCAGGCCCAATATCTTTCGGCGGTAGGCCTATTACGGAAACATTGGAGAGGGGAGAGAATATTCGGTCACCGATCGCCGAGGTTGGGCGGCGGGTTGGGCCCACACCATAATAATGGGTTTGGTGGGCTTCGTCGTTTTCGTTTTTCCGATTTTCCCAATAAATATCCTCAATTATTGACTAAATTTTTCGAAATTCCACGTGGACACGAGCTTACAAAACTCCACACAAGGGGCCCACCACCTCGAAGACAAAAGAATAGTCCACCCCCAACCCAAGGAGACCGTTTGTCGCTTCTATCCACGTGTCTTCAACAATGGCCGTATACCCGTCGCTGATCTACTGGGAACCACCCTTCACCGCCCCGTGCTCAACCCCACCACTTCTCGGCTCCCGCCTTCTTTAACCCCCTTCTCTCTCCGTCTTCTCTCTATCTTCCTCGCTCCAATGGCGTCGTCGAAGCTCTGTGCCTCCCGTACGGAGCTTAAAGTGCTGGGGCCGAGGCCGGCGACTCTTACCGGTCGTGCGGTCCGCAGCTCCCGCGTGCAGATCATCCGACGGCGTTCGTCCACAGTTCTCTGCTCTGTCGCCCCCAAGTATTGCTATTCCTTTAATCTTATCCATGTATTTATCATTTGAGCCTTCTTCAGAGTGTCTCACGTACTCCGATCAATGGCAGCCAAGTGGAATCGCCGGCCGCTCAGACCTTTGTAGCTGATGTGCCGAAGAAGACTGAATGCTTCGGTGTTTTCTGCACGACTTACGACCTCAAAGCGGTAGACGTGTTTTCTTGGACCTTATTTCTGTTGAACTGTGAGATTGCTGCGGTATGGATGGGGGTGGGAGGGAAGGAGAATCGTGACCGGTGCACTGAAAAAACAAGGAGCCGAAAATATCCTTTCTTCACATCATAAGTGTCCGGTTCTCAAAATCTGCACAGGATTACGGTGGCAGAAACAGCGACCATCACCGGTTAAATTCTCTGGACCATACATAATGTGCTTCCATGAATCGAAACAAATCCTTGGTTTTGTTTGGTAAGAGGCATAACCATAGGTAGCCTGTGCATAGCTCAGGACACACCAAAGTCCTTGGGATTCAAGTGATTCTAAAATTATTTTTTTCCAGGTTTATTATCATGAATTCATGCTTAAGGTTTCTATTGCTTCAATTCAAGGTCCACTTCCTAATGACCCCCCCCCAAAAGAATTTGAATATCAAATTGCGGGGACTAGAAAATTAATCTATCTCTTTGAACATGAATAAGCTTATAGATCTTAGATGAAAAATCATTTATGTTATGAAGTACATATTCTTTTATCATGAAATTTCTTTTTCCTCATTCATCGATTTCTTTTTGTTTTTTGTTGCATTTTATAGGAAGAGGAAACCAAATCATGGAAAAGCTTAATCAATATTTCAGTGTCAGGAGCTGCTGGAATGATATCCAACCATCTACTTTTCAAAGTAATGGGATTTTTCATTGATTTCATACACGTCAATTCATTTTCTAACTAAGAACAGGAAATGAAATATCGTTTCTACCCTTCATATATGTTATTTTGGAATATCTTATCTTTCTCTGAATATGTGAAGTACTTGATTTATGGAGTTTGCGGTTCCAGGAACGTATTCCCAGTTAGTTCTTTCCTACTTGTTTCCTGGAATTTTTCCTTCAACAATTTTTCTTTTAACAAAGATACAGAAGCCCCACACGCCTGGTAACAATGGACATTTTGTGTCCAACTGGAATTGGGCTCTATGACTTATCAATTGACGGGAATTGATATTTTTAAGATACATGTGGATTGAAGTGCGATAATCTAGGCATTATAAGTGAATATCTGATATTTTCATTCGTCATAAACATGTTTTATTTATACACAATCATAGTATTTTGGTAAGCATATGCCATAAAAAGTTGCTTTTCATAGTGATGCTTTGAGGGTTATGGTAGTAATAATATGACATCATGTACTTGACTGCCAGCTTGGTTGGATGGCCAGCTGGTCGGGGGCAAATGACAACACTTTGGTGATGCCATTGTAATAATATGACGCTGGTTTTGTGGAACTCATGCGTGCAGCAAGTAGCAAACAAAATTTGCAGTTCATCAGTAAATGTCATCTGTGAGAGAAAGAACGTCTTAACGTAGTTATTTCACAAAATTACATCGTCAAATGTTTGCTTTATTGTAAAATATTGAAAATAGATCGAGATCTCAGCTCCAAAAACTGTTGTAATGAAAAATGAATTAGTACGCAGATATTAAACAGGGAAAAAAATATAATTAAGAATAAAAAATATTATGAATGAGACAGATTTCTTTTCTTCGGCTCACTGCAGTGATATCATAATTGGGGTTTTATCTGTGAATTCACTTCCCTTATCTTTATTGTATATAGTCATAATAATTCACCATTAGTAAATAGCATATAGCATGTGTATAACCACATGCGCTGCACAATCTTCAGGACAAATTTCAATGAAGGTTTATCATGCAATTTTCGTATTTCAGCTTGCATCTGGTGAAGTTTTTGGACTAGATCAACCCATTGCCTTGAAGCTATTGGGTTCTGAGAGGTCAATTCAAGCTCTTGAAGGTAAGATCTTTTGGTTTTTATTCTAGGTTAGCTGGCGCCATTTCACTTTAAAACCCGATACTCATATTATTGGACATTCGTTTAATTTTTTAAGCAAAAGTGCTAAAAACTTGCACTACGATGGGCTCGCTAAAAAGAAAACTTAATCAGTAGATCCTCTGGTAGATATAGGCAAAGTATTTGAGCGGACAGATGATAGACAAAGCTAGAAATATCAAATTGCTATAAATAATAGGACTTTTCTCCAATAAAACGTCTACTTACTCATCTTCAAGGTGAATCATCTCACGCATGTACAGCCGATCGAGTCTGGATTGGAATATTTTTTAGATCGTCTATATTGGGTGTATTTTTTTGGCAATCTACATTATTTTTCATGAATAGTTGTCCTATAGACCTAAAAATAAATCAATATATGAATTGTGTCTGCACTTATCTGATTTGGCTCTTATCTTGCGAGTTTCTTATGATATGGAAAACTAAAATTTAGTTCATTATACCCTCTAAAATGAACCGATCCTCAGTTTTAATTACTTATAGTCATGGTTGTAAACTTTCGAGAGAAAAATAAGATTGGGTTCATCATTGAATTAGTATTTTTAACATGTAGACCAACATTGGACCACAATATGAGCGAGTACTGGATTTATCTGCATCTTTTGATTTCAAGCCCGAAAATTTTATCTGCTTATTACTCTCTCTGGAATGTTGGCTTTGATATACTCAGGGGTAGCCATGGAGCTGGAAGATTCTCTATATCCTTTATTGAGGGAAGTAAGCATAGGAATCGATCCCTATGAGGTGTTTCAGGATGCAGAATGGGCGCTTCTGATTGGAGCTAAACCTCGAGGACCTGGTATGGAGCGTGCTGGTCTATTAGATATCAATGGGCAGATTTTTGCTGAACAGGTGAACATTCTCAGTCATGATACGTCACAGGTTAACTATTTATCTCCTTCATATAGTTTTTATCATTTTTGTAAAATAAGATTTGATGGTAAATGATCTCAAGGGTAAAGCACTGAATGCTGTCGCATCACGCAATGTTAAAGTGATTGTGGTGGGAAATCCCTGCAACACGAAGTGAGGACCAGTTCTCAGATGTGCCGCCTTATATGTGCGTTTGAGTGTCTTCTATCATGTCTGACACCAAACGTCTTCCTTTTTTTTTTCCCTTTCTAGTGCGCTAATTTGCCTGAAGAATGCACCAAACATACCCCCGAAAAACTTCCATGCATTGACAAGGCTGGACGAAAATAGGGCGAAATGTCAGGTAACATCTCATTTCTAAGCGTTCAGGGGCACCTATTCAGGTTCTATAACTTATTTATATCCAACTCCTTGGCTATCTTCTCTCTTGCAGCTAGCCCTGAAGGCGGGCGTGTTCTATGACAAGGTTTCAAATATGACTATATGGGGAAACCATTCAACAACCCAGGTAATTTAGTTATTTTTTTATTTTTTTAAAAGCCATTTTGATGGACCCACTAGCAGGATGTCCCCAGTTGCATTCTATTATTATTCACGGGTTGGACAGATCTTCTTTTGTTTCAACATCCCAGGAAAGTTAATATCTAAATAGGGATAATTTTATAATCCCACCGCTATTAGCATTACTTTTTCCGGTTCAAGTTAGTAGCAGGATGCCACCATCTGTCTCCTATAATGGCGTGGGGTTGACGAATGGGTTTAGAGTGACCAGCCAATTCTTGGGTTTTGAGTAGAACTTTTATTTCAACAGGTTCCTGATTTCCTAAACGCAAGGATCGATGGCCGACCTGTGAAGGAGGTCATCACTGACTCCAAATGGTTGGAGGAGGAGTTCACCGAGAGGGTCCAGAAGGTAACGACTGGAGAGAGAACCAGCCTAAGGAAGATTCAAGAACTGCTAATCTCAATCTATCACCCTTTGATGGAATTTTCTAATATCGATGAAATTCAGCGCGGCGGAGTCCTGATCCAAAAGTGGGGGAGGTCGTCGGCCGCCTCCACCGCTGTCTCCATCGTCGACGCGATGAGGTCCCTCGTCACTCCCACTCCAGAGGGTGACTGGTTCTCCTCGGGGGTATGCTACAGAGAACCCGGCATCACGGATCTTTCCTACCATTCCATCATCATCATCAAGCTCTGAGGTTTAGCTGAGAGGTTGTCGCATCTGCAGGTTTATACCAATGGGAACCCGTACGGCATCGCCGAGGACATCGTGTTCAGCATGCCGTGCCGATCACGGGTCAGTGAGAGTCTTAAAAAACTGCCCATTTTGTTTGTTCTTCTGATTTCCTCTCAAGATCCCTCCCCTCTCTCTTCTCAGGGAGACGGCGACTATGAGCTGGCCAAGGACGTCCTGATCGACGATTTCCTGAGAGCGCGCCTGAAGAAGGTATCCTCCGGCACGTTTTGATCGGTTAACACCCATCAGCGTTGACCGGCCACTAAAATCTCGCCATTTTTCTCGGCAGACCGAGGCGGAGCTGCTCGCTGAGAAGAGATGCGTGGCTCACCTCACTGGGGAGGTGAGAAACTCCTGGCTCCCAGTTCTCTTCCATCATCTGACACCTGACTAACAATGATGGGCCCTTCCTCCTCCTCCTTCCCCCCAGGGCAACGCCTTCTGTGATCTCCCCGAGGACACAATGCTCCCTGGGGAGCAGTGACGTCGCCCCCTATGATCTGAAGAAGGTGCGAGTTCCACGTCACAATTGCCGCTCCCATCATCGGGATAGATATTCTTATGCATGTGGACAGTAAGGAAACGGGTTCTTTATTTATTTTTTTCATCAGCTCTCTCTCTCTCTCTCTCTCTCTCTCTCTCTCTCTCTCTCTCTCTCTCTATGGCCGTGGTCCGTCGATGACGTCAACACTGCTCGGAGCTTCGGTCCACTACATAAAATGTTCACCATTGTTGGTGCCGAGTGGTATGTTGATCCTCCGGCACAAGCTTATCATACACGGTCTTGTGCGTGCTCTCTCTGTATCTATATTGTGGATTTATGCATACGCTCATATCTGCTGTCTAACCGGTCCAGGTTGTGCCAGAGTGGGCCCGGTTCTTCTTATCTGGGCTTTGTCTGTGCGTCTGAGGCCGCTGGAGGCACTTACGCATCTTTTCCATGGTGTCATCATTCATCTTCGGTGCAAATTGGGCCAAGTGTGCTAACGTGGGCCAGTATAAATGGGTCAAATGGGCCTACAGTGTGCGACTTGGGTCTCTCTCGGATCTGAGCTTTCTGGGTCACCTAACGTATCCATCGAGTCGATTTTGACCCCTCCAAAGTGGGGTCAATTGGGCCGGACTGGGTTGAGCTTGGCTAAGATGGGCCTGGCTCTAAACTTAATTTCCAGCGACGTTTCAGACCTCCAACCCCAAAAAGTGCACCTTCGAGTGAGGCCCATTTTGTGCCAATTTAATTATTTGGGCCCCAAGTTTATTGCAATTTCCTTGCCGATTATTAGGCTGTTAGTGACAATTGTGTCCACATGTTTGTCAACGCAACTATGATTGACTGGTCTTAGTTTTAGGTAAATATCTTTAAAACGAGGGGTTTCTTAAGAAGGCCTTTTCGAACTGCCATGAAGGGAACTCCTAGTTGCACTATTTACTCGAAGTAACGCACAATTAAAAAGGGATTTCATGATATGTCCAATGACTTGATTGATCAATCAGATGGAGGTTTTCCACTTTATAGGGGAGCATGGGCACCCAAGTTTTGCATGACATTGTCTTTCGATGCTTAACACTTCGTCTCCCCATTGGTTCATACTTTCACCTCTCCATTAGTTAGTGATTCACTTTCCTAGAAGCTCATATTCTGCAGTGTATGTGTTGTGTGTTTGTCTCGCTCACATGACATGGTCGATGTGCTACCTATGTGTACATGCCACACACATGCTTACACAACCAATCACTGCACTTGTCAAAACCATGCATGATTGTGGTCGGGTGGACTAATGCACTTCTGGACAGCACCACTTCATTCCACTTAGCCTACTTTGGTGAGGTAAGTGGTTTTTCCTTGGTTGTGAGCTTGTACAGCAAAAAAACATGTTGTCATGGGCCATTGAGTTAGAGAATATAGTCTCTCATAAGAAAATAACGACACAAGATGAAGGAATTATACCTGTTGGATGGGGATTGAATGTAGGAAAATTTGAGATGGAAAGGTCATATAGGATAATAAAATGGATACCTCCTCCATTACTAAGATTTAAGATTTAAGCTTAGTATAGATGGAGCATCAAAAGGAAATCTTGGGAGGAGTAGAGGTGGAGGAATAATCTGGGACTATAAGAGTTACATGATAGTAGCTTTCTCTAATTATTATAATATTTTTACTAACATGGAACCTGAATGCATAGTACTAGTAAACAGCCTCCTACTTTGTGAAAGACTCAATCTCATGCAGATGTGGATTTAGTTGGACTCAAAGGTACTAGTCAACATGGTCAAACAAGAAAAATGCAAATAGTAGAGAATTAGAAGATGGTGGTGCTTCCTCATGAGCAAAATATAATGAATATATTACATCAAGCACCAATTCAGGGAAGGTAACTCATTAGCATACTATTTAGCTAATCATAGAGTATTGTAGGAAACTCAAAAGGAATTTTGGAACATCCAAGAGCTCCTACGGGAGGCAAGGGAAATATTCAAAACTGGAGAAATAATGATTGTCATATATGAGATGGAGATAAATTCTTAAATGAGATTAGAGAAACACTACAAATATAAGAAAGAATGAGGGGAATGATGAGGAACAATCAGAATGAAAAAAAAAAGGTTATTTGAAGAGTTTTTCAATTGTAATAAAAATTAATTATTTGTTACAGTGGTATTAGAGGCAGGCTAAAAAGAAGCAGACCTTTTTACTGCTCTTATTTTTCTTCAATATTGATAGAAAGTTGTAGAGGTGGAGGATGAGGTGAGTATGAATGGTACCTAAGGGCAAAGAATTATCTGACTTGTTGAGCAGCTACAAGTGACCACAAGGGTTGTTGAGTCCCTCACGAATCAATTATAAGTGGAGTCTAACAACTTGCGGGAGCAAGTGGTAGCAAAGACAACATAGTTAGAGGAACAAGCCTATAAGGCTATGAATACAGATAATATTTTATTTTAAAAGTTCGCTAAAGAACTTAAATCAATATATGATCAAACCAGAGAGATGGTTATATCCTTTGTAGCTCATAAGGGTGAAATTGATCCCTATTGGAGGAATTCATTGATGATATGGTCAAACTACAATAACATATGAAGAAAATCATAGGCAACCTCCAAAGGCCACAAGATCAAGGTCCAACCCTTAAACCATCTAAGGCCAAAGTACCCAAACCCAAACTCTATTTATGGGAACAAGACTTATAGTAATATTTGCATGCAATCACCTTCTTTAAGGAAGATAAGGTCTTACTTGACAATTTATGTCTTGCAAGACTTCCAAAAACCTAATGGCAACTATAGTCTGAATCAAGAGCAGTAGTTACATGTTTTGATGAATTGGCCAGAGAGATTCAAGATCAATTTCACCTAGTTAATTCAGGCCAAGCTACACAAATGATGATAAGACAATGGAAAAAAACACATTGGGTCCATTCGGGAGTATGTTGAGAAATTCTTGATATTACTATTAGAGATACCAATGATGGATGAGGAAGACAAACTCTACTACTTCATAAAAGACTTGTAGACTTGAGCTCTGAATGAGCTCCATTGACAAAGGTTCTAGGACGTCTGTGCAGCAATGACTATAGTAAATGGGTTAGTTGATAACTGACGTCAACAACAAGACAATAGTTATGAGGTCACTCAAGGGAACCAAGGCCAAGGCAATAATTGCAGACCTGGAGGCTCAACCTCAATAGGCAGGGGTCAAGAGCAAGCTGGCAGAGGCCAATGTAGGGGTGCACTCCCTCAAATCAAATGACCGAAATGGACCAAATATCATGTTTGTGGCAGTCCTCACAGGAGTGACGATTGTCCAAATCGAGTAGATTGTCACATGGCAAGTCTTTCATGTTGATTGGCCCACCTTAGTCCTATTTAATTGACATTCAGACCTACTCTACCCTATAAAGTACACCTCCAAGTAAGGCCCAATTTGGCCCAGCCCGCCCCAGTTGACTCATTTTGGCCTAAAGTCCATCGTGATTTCCCTTTGCACTGTTCGGCAATGTAGTGAAGATTGATTGGCCTGGGTTTTAAGTAAATATATTAGAAGACTATAGGTCTTTTGGGAAGGCCTTAGCCGGGCTTCCTGGTTTCTCTACCTTACCAGCAGATAAGAGAACAGGGGATACGGTGCAGGTGATAGTTGAGGAGGAGAAGGCCGGCGAGCGAGGATGGCGGCGTCCCTGGCATGGCGTTCTTCCGGCACATGGTCCCGCGTTCCGCCTGCGGAGCTACCAAAACGTGACGGCGCGGGGACGGCGTTGGTGCTGCCCGTGGTGGCCCAGAAGAAAGCCAAGAAAGTGCGGAAGGTAACCCGCCGGAGCGCAAACCCCATCCTGCAGGCGTTCCCGTTGAAATCTATGGAACTTGGGAGGTTCTGAGGATGTTCCTGATGTTTCTCGTCTTGTAGATCATATTGAAGGAGGACGTGGAGCAGCTGGGAAAGCAAGGGGAGATGCTGGAGGTGAAGGCCGGGTTCTACCGCAATTACCTGCTGCCGCTCGGGAAGGCTCAGATCGTCACCCCTCTCCTCGTCAAGTATGGTTCCTGACGCGTGTCTCCCTCTTCACCGCCCGCCCCCCGTCTCCCATATCCATTACCAACTTCTGCCCAGAGCTGAGTCGTCCTAACCCATTTGGGCACGTCTCCAGGGAAATGCGGATTGAAGAGGAGCGAATTGAGGCAGAGAAGAAGCGAGTAAGTGACAGAAAAATATTATCCAGAAGCTTTTTTTTTCTCTACGCTTGAAATTCTTCCATCGTTGATTCATTTGGACGACTTGCGAACCCCCAACCTAAGAAGAATTCTCAAAAAGACTCGGAAAGATGACATCAAGGACCGATTTTGGGTTATAATTCAGTATGCTTGATGTCAATCCCGTGGAACAAAATCGACGGAGTCGTCCCAGAATCTTCCATCCCCACGCCCGTGGATCATTGTTTATCACTGTTCCCAAACCCTTTTTAGCCGATACTGGCTGGTCGTGAATATCGCTGTTCTTCTTGTTTTCCGTATATTACTTTCCGAGCATTGTCCCACATCTTCGTCTACCAAGGTCACATATCCAACCTTTTTATGCCCATCTGCATCCCATTTTTTATAAAATAATGACCTTTGTGGCCTAATTGTTCTCATACGCACGAATCAAAATTTGCATGTAGTAACGCTACATTTCATAAATTATCTCACACTTAAAAAAATCTGATTATATCACGCACTCCAATGAGGGAATCAACTCCCATGAATCCTATCGAATGTGGTCCTCATGGGCTCTTGGGTAATTTGCGAAATTAAGAGCCTCTGAGCTCATGGTATCATCGAAGTGGACCAATTTGAATTCAAGCGGGCTTTTCATGACAACGTGAAATCAGAGAACTACGGAATAGGATGGAGACTGGCGGTGGAGGGCTTCTGGCTTGATTACAAGCTGGCGCCGTCAAGGCTCTGATTAGAAATAGAATGCCGTAGAACTGTTGCTGACTGCCGTTTGATCTGTAAGCATCGTAATTAAGATGGAATAGATATGATGCCCGGGAAGATCAAGAAAGGAGAGGTTTTTCCCATCCAGCTATGATTTTCTGTTGGCTTCAGTCATTTTCTGTGGTACGAGGAGATGCATCCGTGATGAGGAAGTCCTGGTTTTTGACCCTGCAGATGATAGGATTCTAGGCAGGGAAATCTGACGGTCTCATTGTGGACTCGAGATCGTCAAAAGAAAGTACTCTGAGGTGAGTGAGGATGAGGATGAGCATCGGACAGGGTTGACTGAGCTTGTGCTACGCTTGTTGGTGATAGCCTCGGTTTTTCCTGGGTTTCTAAGTGGAGGAAGATCAATGGCTTTGCATTTATCTCATTGAAATTTGGAGTTTTTCTTTCCTTCCTCAAAATAACTATGTAGATAAATCTGCGAAATTAATTTGACAATCCTGCCGATCCATTCCTGTATTCCTCTACCCCCGTGAGACATGGAAGGCATTAGTCGAGCTCGTATGCCAGCTCATATTCTCTATAATCTCAGTCAACTCGTCAAGATCGACCATTCTACCGAGATTTAGTCAGCATCTCGTCCATTTTTTTGTACATATTCATATGCTTTTCTTCCATTATCGTTCATCATTCATTTCTTCGCGGGCAGGTAAAAGAAGAGGCCCAGCAGCTCGCGCTGATATTCCAGACAGTTGGAGCCTTCAAGGTCAAACGCAAGGGTGGAAAGGGCAAGCAAATATTCGGAACGTGAGTATCATCAATACCCACATATAAACCGCACTTTTATGTCGTATAATCTTCAATAACGAGCTTACAGAGAGAGAGAGAGAGAGAGAGAGAGAAGGAGCCACCATTGTCACATCTTTCTAACGTTTCTTGGGTCATCTTTCTTGGGTTAGAAAGATGACCCAAGAGTCAATGGTGACTCTGGCAGCGATAGAGAGAGAGTCACCATTGTCGCCACTGTCACATCTTTAAGCTGTGCCAGATGTCCGGCAGCGCTGGAGGGACCTTCTTGGGTCATCCATCTTCTAACGTTTCTTCTTCGTCTTCTTTTGTTCACCAGTGTCACCGCGCAAGATCTGGCGGACATCATCAAGGCACAGCTTCAAAGGTAGATGGATAAACTTACCAGCATATGTAGGATTTATACATGTATATAGAAGTATATGTCTATACGTATCTGAGCGGAAACTTTGGAGCTCGGATCCCCGGTTTCTTTCTCGTTTGAATCTGTTCCCATTCCCTGCGGCGTTGCAGGGATATCGACAAGAGGATCATCGCGCTGCCGGACATCCGCGAGACCGGGGAGTACGTCGCGGAGCTCAAGCTCCATCCCGAGGTCACCGCCCTGGTGAAGGTCAACGTCTTCGCTAACTGAGGTCCGATTTGCGCCCTGGCCTGTTGAGTGTAGGCTTAAGAGTTGTTTTTTCTTTTTTCTATGCCCCCCTCCCTGGCCTTCACCCCGCACTGCTTCGCTCCTTCCATACATATCATTCCTTCGCCATTGTTTTGCACTACCATTTCTCGCCTTCCGCTTGCGCCTATGAGAGAGAGAAAGAGAGAGGGAATGACCCATCTTCGTCACTCTCATAAAAATTATGTTCCACTTGGTATCTTCGTCAGAAACGACGACCGGGCGAGTAGGGTCCGGTTACTTACAAAGAATAGTACAAGCCGCCAAGCAGGTAATTTTCACATCATCTACCACGGGAAAGCCGAAGGGAAATCGCGCGGGACTATTGGGGCCGGCCATAGTAGCTCCCCTGGGGCGGGTACGGGCCGGCGGGAAGAGTGTAAGGCGGGCGGGGCTGCTGAGGCGCCGCCGGCTGCTGCTGCTGCGCCGCGGTGTTGTAGTACGAGCCGCGCCACCCAGGGTACGCCGGCTGCCCGTAGTCGCCGCCGGGCGGATGCTGCTGCTGCTGCTGAGCCGTCTGGTAGGCGCCGCCGCCCATCGGCACGGCGTGGTAAGGAGGTTGCTGCTGCTGGTGCTGCTGCTGCTGCTGCTGCGGCGGCGGCGGCGGCGCGGCGTATGGCGGGTACGGGGCAGAGTACGCACCGGGCCTCGGATGCTGCTGGTGCTGCTCATGCGGGTAAGGGTGGGAGTACGCGCCGGACCTGGAATGCGGCAGGGGCTCCGGCGGGAGGCAGTAGGAATTGACGGGGGGGTTCGACGGGCCGGCAGATTGGTACCCGTAGCCGGCTGGCTTTCCGTCGGAGAAGCTGAGGCTGGCCATTTTCTTCTGCATGCTTTCCACCATCTCCGTGCACTGGAGGTTCCTGGTCATCACGAAGTCGTTGCCCTGCTGCTTCACGTTCATTATTGCATCCTGCTCAGGAAGAACCGGCGTGTGCGCGTTCAGGAACTGCCGCTCGGATGGTCGGGTCGGAGGGAATGGGGAGGCGAGAGAGGGTGGGTACCTGAAGAGTGATGTAGAACTTCAGACCTTCGTTTATGTTGTCCTTGATCTCGCGGAATTTCGCCACGGCGGCTGCGATCTGCTTGTAGGTCTTCTCGCGGGCAGCTGTGGAAACAGACGCTCCGAGGCAGTTAGTGGAACTGGTGGTGGGGAAATGAAGGTCGCATTAGCGTGAACCGACTGAAAAACACATAGAGATGTGGTCGTCTTCGCAGGAGGAGGGGCAGTGAGGGAGAAGCAAGTGCTCAGTCCAGGTCCCAGTTCTTCATATATCCAAGGCAGAGGAGAAGTGGGAGAAAAACAGGCATGGGGAAACTGATCGGCGAGATGTAATGGGGTCCCTTTCTAAGCTTGGATCCAGCACAGGCCAAGTTTTACTCTGGGCTTGATTTTTGAGGCTCAGGCCAGTAGAAACTCTGCCGGGTCAGGTTGCAGCCCCACCTGATTAATCCAGGGATGGCCAAGAATTTTCCCTTGTAGTTACCATAAGTAAACATGAACCGACTCCAAAGATGAAACCTGTACGAAAATGGCAATATATATCCAATCTACGTGTATTATCAACAACTGGACGAGGTTGGAAGCATGAGAGATGGTCGGGGGAGCTTTATGCTGGGCTAATTTGGAGCTCAGGAAGGGTCAATATGTCTAGGCCGCCTGTTTTTCTCATACTTCGATTTAGAGAAGGTTATTGGTACCAAAAAAGAAAAAAAAAGGCAGATCATGAACTCTAGATTAACTTTCATTTACAGGATATTTCAGATGAGATATTGTACCTCTGTAGTCCTCGAGATTAAACACCGCAGCAAACTCATCGTTTTGGGCCTGTTATGAAGGAAGAAAAAGAAATTCGCATGCCGGTAAGAAAAACCAATCAGCAGCAAAAATGAGCAAGTGGAGTGAAAAAGTTGGACGACTGATCAAAAGTGAAAGAAAGGTGAAGACTTGCTAAAAAAAAAAAGCGGAAAGTCTCCGATATGTGCCTCAGTGTCGCCTTAATGAAACACTAGGAACTGATTCGCCACTGAACGCAACAATATCACACAAAATGCTCGATTTGACGCCATGGAAGGAGATTTCAAGAATCATCTATGGTCACAAAGATCGTTGCAATTAAGCAAATTTCTGCCCAAAACGTTTTCTGAAAGCAATTTCCCGAAGTCAATTCTGGCATTTCTGGCACTAAACAACTGACGAGAACAAGAGGCAGTTCGTGGGAATTTCTTTAGCATCACGCCACTACTCAGTAACTTTAGTGAAGCAGAATTTTAAAATACGGCTGACGGAGTTATGCCCGACAAGTAATTGATTTTCAAACCTGAGTAATTTACTTTACCAGCACAGTGCCTCAGAAAAAAGAGATTATTTTCATGCAGTCCGGGGGAGGAAATATAGAATAAGTTACCTGAATTTGAAACAACAGCTGCTCTTGAGCTTCGATATTTTGCGTGATTTCCTCACAAATTTGATCATATTTTGCGATCTCCTTCCTAAAAAGGTCCTCGTATGATCCCGTGCTTGACATCAACTTTGGGAGTATATCGTCCTGAAAAGACAGCAACACGAACCACATGGCATGCTAAACATATATAAACCCTTTAGATTTTGCAATAGTAGTACTTGAAAGCTGTCAGTCCACAAATCCACTATACAACTTCGTACATTAGTTAATACCAAGAATCCAAATTTAGAGTGAGTGATGCATGCATATCTAGCCTGCAATGAAATTCTGAGAAGAAATCTAAACTGGTGATGAGATGTATGTCAGGATGTGCATGCAAAACTTGGAGAATCTTAATCAAATGAAGTGCATCTAACTAGTACGCAAGGAATTTCCTCTTATTCTCTAATCTTCTGTCATCTGAGGATAGATGAAATCCAAGAGGCTTAGATCACTACGGCCTCATTATCTTTGTGTATACATTTATGCATAGCGTTTGATTAGTTTCTGTTCCACTTTAATCTGGAAAGGTAAAAGGCAACATAAATGAATGTCACCTGCAACACTTGTGAACCTTTTCATCCTAATCAATGAAAGAGGCAAAATCGATTGAGACAAGTGATGTGTGTTTCCCTTCAACTGTGAAGCTTATGGATAATAAGCCTCACTTTTTAGGGCGTTATGTAGATATTTCTCAATTATTTAAACAAAAAAAGAAAAACATCCTAGCACCGGGAGGAGTGATAACATTAAATCATAAATATCTTACATTTCTTTTCATCTCTTTGAGCATATCTTCAAGACCGGCTCTCTGTGCACTAAGCGTCTCAAGTTGCCTCTGGTAAGAATAATAGGAATCAGGAAAGGATGATTTTCGGCGAATACTAAAGAGATGACAAAAAAGGTTATAGAGAATCTATGTATGCTAAAAGTACGACTCCCAGGTCACATAGCAACTTTTGAACTGGCAAAAGAAAAAGATTGGGACTATCCATTGGCCAAGATGAAAGTCACACGGACCTTGACAAGCAAAATTCTCAATCTGCATTGACAATATAGTTTCTACTTTGCAAATCCACGTATATATGTAGCCCGTAAAGACCAAATAATTTGTTCCACAAGAGCACAAGGAAAAAAATACATAGAGACAAAAGAGAATCGTTGAATCGGATAATTGTTTCATAAATGAAAGTCCATACATACCTTAAGATTATATGCCACAAAACTTTATAAATCATACAATCATATAACCCATGGAACAGAGAGAAGCAATTCACGGAGCAAAACAACAAATTCAGTACATTAGTTCTGTAGCCGTCCACAAAGTAAAATAAAAAAAATGATTCACAACATATAAAAATGAACATCAAAAATATGGGTGATACACAAGATGGTATAACAGCAAAGATATCAACATATAACAAGGTGATCCTTTAAACCTAGAAACCTCAAAAGTAAGCCCTTTTGTATCCCTGTCTACTCTACCAAGACATGGGTCACCCTAGAAAATAAAACAAATAACTTAGTAATTTATTTCTAAATCAAAGTTTATTCCATTATCACCAAATCGATAAAGATATGAAGAAAAACTTCGTAACCTCCTGTAACCTTTTCGGAAAAGACCATTGCACTAATCAAGAAAGTTACTAAAATTCAACCACTAGAAATATAATACTCTAGCCATTCTTAACTCAAATGTCAAGTAAATCGATACACTTACTTCATGAAAGGTGAACTTATCAAAATGTATTTTTCAATACCGATTGGGAAGCAGATTATGTGAAGCAAAATCCAACCAGAAGCTTGCAATTTATTCTGTATCAAAACTTGAGTACATAACTGTAGTCTTTCTCCCATCAGATCCAAAAAATACGTCTTTGGAAACAAAAGGAATTATTCTGTAATTATCTGCTCCTCTAAAATCTTCTAGTAAAATTACCAAACTCTAACATTTGACAATAGAAAAAAAAAAGATTTTGCCAAAGGCGGGACGTAGATTTTGTCTATTGGCAACAAAAGTACAGCAATGGATACATCGCCCATCAACAGAAGTACTACCTACCCCAAACACCCATTACTCGGAAATTCAAAGAAACCAGGCTTCCTTACCTTGAGCGATAGCCTTATAGAAATGGTTATCACACACTACTTTGGTACTTAAACCGAAATGGCCTAGACTGGACGTGTGAGGTGAAATCAATGTGATAGAGTCACAAACCGGCACATGTGCCAGTGGGAGATCCAGAATCGATTCCTTTCTTAAAAATAAAAATTAACGAAGTGTTGCATGATTATGCATTTTCAGAAATTTCAACAACTATTGAGCCTTATATTTGAAATTGGAATTAATCCCCAGCATCAATTACTTAAATATGCAGAATGAGGCAATATTTAAAAAGAGTAAAATTTACCAAAAATACTGTAAACAATATGATGCTTCTGATGATAAAGAGAACGAAAAAATTTCAAGGACAAATTTACTTACCAAACTTTGCTTAAGAGCACCAACAATAGCATCTTCATTTCCATCCAAAGACATGATAGGTCTTGATACAATTGGAAGAGCAGATTCTATCTGAAAGCAAATGAATCAGCTTCAGAGATTTAAATTTTCACATGAACTGCAGAACAGAATTCTCTATTCTCTGGCCATAGATTTTATTAATTATATTTGCTTAGGTCAGCATAAACACAGACGTATGTTTGTGACCTGACTCTCTTGTTCAAGATAAATTCTCCAGAAGCAGCTATTGAAAACACACACACCAATACTAATATCTAATAAAACGCAATTATAAGAGTCAGAATAAACTCACAGGTCGGCAGTTGAGAATTTCCATAAGAGCTGAATGATCCTTTATAGCACGCTCAATCCGAGCATCACTATCAGAAGCTTGCTTAATGTTCGCAGCAAACTTGTTCAACCTATCATGCAAAGTCTTTGTCAGGGTAGTGGACTGAGGTCTTGTCCACTGACCTCCAAACTGGACTCGAAACTGAGCATCCTCTCTCTCTTCTTTCCGCAGCATCTCTTCAGTCTGGATTAATAGTTCCTCATTAACTCTCTTCAAATCCTTGAGCTGCTGCAATTCACCTTCCAAACCAGAAGGCCCACCAACAACTTGCACAGCCTCAACATCTTCCTTAATATCGATTGGCATAGTAAAATTTCCCTCCATTGCAAGGATGGAGTCAGGCAAGTCCATCTCCTTAAGCTTAACCCTCGTGATTTCACTCCCTTGCTGCAATTTCTCCACTTGGGTTCTAATGATGTTATCAACCATCTCAGTGTATTTGGAGAGGGCTTTTGCGCTGCTATCAGGTACAAGGCTAGCAAATAACCTCTCCTTGCTGGCATCTAAGACGTCACCCATATGTAAAGGCTTTACAAGTGAAGCAGCAGGGAGCGGCTGTAAGGAGCCAGCAGGTGGAATACGCATCAGATATACACGATCATTCTCCTTCACAGCTATCTCCAAATTCCGATTTAGATTAGTCTCTAGTTTGCTGACTGCATCAAGAAGAGGAGCAGCTACGCCTTTTGATGATTTCTTTGCATCAGCAAGGGCATTAATCCCACTTTTCAGCCGAGCGATCTCCTGTGCAATCTCTTCTTTCTCGTGCAAATCCAGTCCAGCTCTGTAACAAGCTTCCGCATAAAACTGTGCTGACTTGAGTTGAACGTGAGAAATCCAGGTACGGTCAAAATGCTGACTCAGTGGGGGTGCACCCAGAGCTGCATAGGCTTCCTCGTAGTAAAGACTTACCTGCAAAAATCTTGACAAAAGTTAATGTTCTATTCCAATTCAAAAAACAGGCCATGTTCTGTACTGAGGAACCCATAGGAAGAAATGTAGCATGTATCCTTGATAAGTAGAAGGATTGTGAATAAAAAGAACAGATTTGATAAAGTAATATTGGTCTTGAGAAGAGAGATATCATAAGGAATGCATTGATGTAATTGTCCAAACCAAATTGCTCCACAGAATACAATTGAGAAGGCATCCCTGGTTCATGGGATACTGCAAACCAACTTCAGATGAGAAATAATGAGCAATTGCTCATCAACACGAAATTCAGCGAACCACTAGAACAAAAGATAAGATATGAATACAAAGCCAATTGCTTCTAAGTGGTAGCATCTAGGTGAACATTAATATTACAAAATCAGATATTTCACATCGAATTGGACTTCGAAGAGGAAGCATTTTGCTTTTTCAGCTGAAAGACGAAAAAAATACATTTAACTTTGTCCCAGAAAAACATCCATCTCCAAAAACGTTCGAAGGATGCAACAATAAAAAACTCTAACTCTAGCTTACATGGACAAAAATTATTTATAATATGTCTAGATTTACATGGATATTAAACTTATGAGAAAAAAAAATCTCTAAAAGATAAATGAAAATATTACCTCACTAGTGATAAAAGAGAGGACCAAAAAAGAGACTAATCAAAAATATAAAAATAAAAATAAATACATCAAAAATCAAGGACAAACAAAATTTACCTGCCGGGCGACCTTGGAGCACAGACCAGGGGGCTTTGCATCACCAATGACCTTCTCAAAGAAGCACTCCTGTGCTTGGGCGAGCATCAGACGCTCGAGCATTCCAGAACACTCTGGAGATACGTCTAACGTCGCGGACGACCCCACCGAAGCCTTAATTGAGGCATTGTCACGAAGGAAGGCAAAGGCCCCAGCTGCAGCCTGGAAAGAATTGCACGCTACCTTGAGTCCCGCCGCGCCGGTTCTGTCTGCCGAGAGGGCGATCTGGCTGTGGGCAGCGCCGAGGTTGAAAAGCACAGCGGCCTTCTCCAGGTGGATGTTCTGTTGCGACGCCTTCTTGTTAGGCTTGAAGGCGTCGTACCAAACAAAGGAGAAAGCGTTGATATGGTCCCTGTCGGGGGATATTGGGAAGCGGGATTCCATGGCGCACAGTGCCCGGTAATACGACTGAAGGAGGTCTCGCCGGACCTCCGGAAGCGCATCCGACGACTGAGGATTCTCTAGGTCGGATCGCATCTGCCGCACGGCCTCTAGATCATCCTCCAGGTTCTGCGCGTCCCGCTCCGAGTAGTGGGAGGCGATGTAGTTGCGGAGGGGCCGGTAGAGCTCGATTGCTGCCGTCTTCTTCTCGTGGATCGCCAGCATCACGTTAACCGACCCTGCTATCCCCGGCACAGCCATCTCTCCCCTTTCTTCCACCTCCTCTCTACGGCGCCTCTGATTTATTTATACCTGTAGAAGATCCGACTTGCAGTTGGACGCGCGCGGGCGGTGACCCGACTCTCGCCCCCGTAGTTCCCCCCCGACTACGACGCGTCGGGAAAAATCAATCTGACCCGTCGGAAATTCCATCGACGGTCCACATCAACCATCCTTTTTCTCTTCTTTTTTACGTTTCCCATGATTCCCGTCCGTCGAAGTTTCCAATAATGGGTTGGTCTTCCGGCTCATTAGTCTTTCCTTGGTACACCAACTGTCTTAGTGGGCCTAGCCCAATTTACCCAGCGTTTCCTCCTGTACTCTCTCTCTCTCTCCCCGTCGTCAACCTCCAGCCGCACATTTTCGTGTCACTGAGGAAGAAGATACCTGGGAAAAGCTGAGCTTTTCCCAGGCGGAGGGAGCGGGGGGGAGGGGGGGGGGGGGGCTGGGGGAGGAGATAACCGTACCTAGTCCCAATGGCGCTCCTCTCCTCGGCGGTGCGCTTCGCCGCCATCTCCATCCCGCGGCCGCAGCAGCGGACCCGTAGGGCTACTGCTCGCCGCCCAATTCGCGCCGCATCGGCGGTGCTCTCGGATCACAGGGCCCGGTTTGTGGCAAATCGTACGGAGTCCGCCTCCGTTCAACAGCTTCAGCGCCCCCTCGGTGAGCGCCGGCCTCTGCAATCTCCCCGAATCTCTACAGTTCAACCATTTATTTGTTTCCATCTTGTGCCAGCGGAGTACATGAGTTTGCCAGCGAGCCAGTACTCGGTGCTGGACGCGGAGAGGATCGAGCGCGTGGACGAGAAAACCTTCCGCTGCTTCGTGTATCGCTTCAAGTTCTTCTCCTTCGAGGTGTGCCCCGTGCTAATGGTCAGAGTGGAGGAGGAGCGTGGTGGGTGCTGCATCAGACTCTTGTCGTGCAAGGTACTCGTCCCAGTTTTCTTGGATGCATTAACTGTCTTTCTTGGGTATGGAACGCCCCAAGAAGAGGATGAAAAGAAGTAATCTGATGCTGTTGGTTTTGCCGCTTTTGCTGGTTGCCACCGACTGATGATTCCCCATAGCTGGAGGGCTCCCCCATCGTCGTTGCTCAGAATGAGAAATTCTCCGGTATGGGATGCTAGATTTCTTATTGTTTTAAAAGCATTTTGTTAACTGGGTATTGCGGCCGGTCTTGCTGAGAGATTGCCCACTATTTTCCTTTACTTGACTTGAGTTCCTCTGCAATTGCTTCCTGCAAAACGCAGAAGATGGAACCTCTCTTCCCCTGCTATCTTCATGTTTCAGGCTCAGTTCATATGCCAACGTTCCTGCCCTCTTCCCTCCCTTTGTCTGCCATGAATTATGGTTTCATCATGCTTCCACGTTCTTGATAATGTTTTCCATTAATCTTCTTCAGACCTGCATGCTAAAAACCTCTTTGACCTCAAATGACACTCCGTGTGGAATCCATGATCTCTTTTTCTGGATTAGGATGAGAGTTCTGGGAGAAATGGGCCACAAGTTTGACGATTTGTCTAGCTGGCAATGGCCATTTCTTCAGCCATAAGACAGCCATGGTCTCTCAGTCGGGTTCATACTCTCTTCCCGTTGACCATTCTGATTTGGCAAGGTTGACCAGCGTATTGATCATCGATCTGAGTCAAAATATCTAATTTTTTCAGGAGTGATGATTTGACATTGGTTTGATATGGGAAATGCAGCTTCCATGGTGAATAAGATATCCTGCGATGACGGCTCGGACAACTCGGGAGCACAGAAGCTCGTCACAGATACCACCATTGAGGTAAAGCTTCAAGAGATTATTTCACTCATCTCCGGTATTATTATTAGTATTATTATTATTTTCTCCATTTTGAAGTGGGTATCACTTTCAGGTCAGCATCGATATTCCTTTTCCGTTTAGGGCGATCCCCGTGGAAGCGATCGAGTCAACGGGTACCCAGGTCCTCGAGCGCCTACTGAGGATCATGCTCCCAAGATTTCTGTCACAGGTTTGCTGATCCCTGGCATCTTCTTTCTTGATCTTTACCCCGTCTGGCATAAATCCGCTCAACATGCAAAAATCACAGATTATCGTCAACAGTGATAAAAAAGGAATTTTTTTTCCGGGATCATCCAGCTGGTGAAGGACTACCAGGCGTGGGCTTCTGGGGACGTGTCGAGGCTGCCGCAGGGGAACGGGGAGATCTGAGCCGCAACCACCCATCAAGATCAAGAGATTCAGATGAATACATGGATATGGTAATGGACGAAGGCTGTCCGGTCATTGAAGAATCGCATCCGATGGTGCAGAGCTGGCGAGGGGGGTTCCTCTGTTCATCTCTGTGCCCTTCTTTACTTTCTGTAGGACACATGTATAGAGTGTCTGTGGATTGGCAGAGAGGGCAAGGGTCTGGTGGTTTATTGGTCGGGCCCGGGGGGGGGGGGAGGGGTTGACTTTGGGAGGGGCTCTGAAAATGAGCTGGGTTTGCCGGGCCAGGGGTTGTAGGCAAGCCCAGACTCAATTCCGACATGTTTTAAATGCCTGCATTTGGAAAAAGATGGCATTTTGGTTGAACTTTTGCAATCTCTTGGCGATCCCACTCCAAACGCTCAGACAGAGAGAGAGAGAGGGAGGGAGGGACATGAAGCCCCCCTCTGCATGAAGGGAAAACCGCATCAAGATCTGATAGCAGGCTGGCAATATATCGACAGTCTGAATGAAGGCCACCAAATCAGCACACTCCCCAGGCAAATACCCTTTAAAACTTCTGCACTCAGAGAGACGACCTCCCAAGACCAACCCCACCCCCCCTGAAGAGAAGAAGAGAAAAGAAAAAACAAGAATGAAAAATCTTGATGGCGAGGGGCCATCTTGCAGGCTCAAGCTCGGCGGCTCCCATGGGCTCGATTAAAAGGCGACCCAGCCGGAGCCACCAGCCCAAGGTGGCGCATGATCTTCATCCGCCGCAGCTTCCTGGCCGAGTTCTCCGGAAATTCCAGGTCCTGTGAAGGCATCCAATGACCACCTCAGAACAGAGATCGCCGAAGAAAACAGATTGATACAGGAAAAGTAGGGCCGAATTGAACCATCCTCCTCTGATTCTTAAACATCATGCAGAAACCCAGTGCGAAGAAGAAGGCTGGCTGACTCACATCGAAATGAAGCTTCGGCTTGCGGGCCCTCTTGCCCTTTCCTCGGCGTTCTTCGTCCTCCTCTGCCCAGAAACGGCTCTTGGGATTCCATTTATCTGCAGAAGACGATTAGTGTTCAGGGCGGGCGATCTCAACCATCGACATACCCCAATGGGTCATTGAATTAAGCACAGGAGAGATGGGAATCACCCGAGTTTTCATCCGACTGCTCGCTGGAGCTCGCCGTCTCCTTCTGACGCAGAGCCTTCCGCAGCAGAGAGCGGGGCAGAGAGGAATTAATCAAAATGGAAAGTCAACCATCGAGATAGCTGGGGGAGAGGGATACCTGATTCAGAGCGTCTTGGAATGCTCTGGAGGGATCTTTGCTCCTCTCCTCGTAGCACTGGTTTGGAAGAAACTATGCTATATAGATAAAATTATTCGTAGAGAATAATAAAGTTCTTTAAATCATAGCATTGTTCAACGTTGGAAGTTCTATTTCTACGATCGCTGGTGCCAGAAAATATTTCCAATAAAACAAAAAAACTCGTTTTTTTTGGATGCGGGTAGAGCAATCTCTTCAGAAAGTCTCAGTTCTTGACTTCCATAGCTATGAATTGCAGAGATAAACACTGGAGCGGTATACTCACATGATCAAACTGCGACAGGCTGCTCACCGGATCGACCCAGGCACTGAAATGAGAGAAAATCACTAAATCTGGAAATCATAAAGAGCTCTCAGGACTTTGAAATATGCAACCATAACTTACTATTCATATATGCCATAGAGCTGTATCAGAACTAATCCTCCAGATTGGTTCTCGCCACAGTCGAGGATCGTCCTTCCATCCATAACCTGTCTTGATATGAATATATATACATATTCAAAGGGACAGAATAAAATAAATAGATAAAATTAATGTAAGTCATACCTCCGCAGGCCAGCATTCATGGTAATCGGTCTTAGCCCAGACCACGCTCCCTGGGGATAAGTGGGAACCGAGGGCCTCTGCAGCATCGTTGGACAGATGGCGATCCTTATCATCCTGACCTAGAAAACTGGAATAGAGAGAGGAGCTTCAGTTAATCTCCCAGCTCCAGATGACTAACAACATGCAGAGGAACATGTTCATCCCTAATAAATCAAATCAGAGTAGAGTGGTGAGATTACAACGTGCCTGACAGGGAAAAAATAAGAGCAATGGAAGATTAATGATTCATCCGAGATTATCCAACATGATGAGGCCCATCAGGAAGAAAAGCCGGATATGTAAACCTCTACGCCAGCCCGAGGATAAAAAATTGAAAAAAAAAAAAAAAAAAAAAGACTGAGCAAGGTCAAGGGATGATGGGATTAGAGGTGCGCACCCATTGTTGCAGGTGGCCAACAGAGGATTTACTGCGGCTGATTCAACGTCAGCAGGTTGTAAGATGGCTCCTTCTGGGCCTCCGTTGAGGAATCCAGCGCCCCACTGAACAGCTTCCTCTCCCTGGATGATGTCACCGCTTGAAGATGTGGTGGCGCCGGCGGAACCCTCCTTCCAGCCTGAGATCTCACGGCAAAGAAACTTGCTCGGTTATGTCTCTGCTCGGTATGCCCTATATTTTGATCTGGCAGCATGGAATAATTACTCCCAAAAGTAATCAAATTCTCTCGTCAGGAAATTCATGAAAATCTACAGATCAGGTACTTGAGAAAATTATAATCAGTTCCAGCAAGAAAGTTAGTCCGGGCTTGAGGGTTCTGCATTCTCGCAGAAGCGAATCACTGTGAAATCATGTTAATATCCGCAGCAAATCACTCAGATCCAAAGCAGCGGATGACCCATCTTGTGGGTCGGTGTTCGTGGTAGTCTGGCAGAATTAGATGCGCAGTTACCAAAGAACGATGGCGGAAATCTCCGCCGGTAGACTCTCGACGGCTGATAAAATCTCCGCCGGGTCGAATCTCGCCGAGGGCAAGCGATCATACTTGACCCGAAATCGGAGCATTACGAAGTCCATCAGGAATTCACAGAGGAATTCGACATTCGGTCGAGGGATCAGCGTTCGCAAATCAGCAGAGTAAAACTACCCAATTGGAAACAAAGAATCGAAGAGGGGCGGATAGAGTGACAGACATACAGACCTCGGGGGTGGCGCGGACGGGACCCCTGGCTCCTGGGTTGCCGGCAGGAGGTGGGTATGTGGAAGGGCTCCAGGGACTGCCGGAGTCGATTCATGGAGGCGGGGAGCAGAGAGGCCAGGCAAAGGGAAGCGAGGGATTTCGCAGTCGAACGCAACACAAAGACCCTCCACCAGAGCGCGAGAGAGAGAGAGAGAGAGGGAGAGGGAGGGATTTGGGGGAGGGGAGAGGAGGAAATAAACCGAGAGAGGCAGGAGGGAGGGGACTTTGGAGGGGGCGAACGATCTTCCCAAAAGCCCAGCCCCTCCCCCGCCCACCTCGGCGTTCCGCCCGCCCGAGAAGTATTGGTTGGGCCCCTGGGCTCACCGGGATGTGGAAGGAGAACCAAATACGCAGATCTCCGGAGGTAAGGCGCCAACGGGTAACCCCGCTCTTCTCTGCTACCAGAATTCTCTCTCTCTCTCTCTCTCTCTCTCTCTCTCTCTCTCTCTCTCTCTCTCAAGCCGACTGGTTATTTATTTGGGCGTCAGGGTTTCCTGTGTGGGAGAGCGCCTACACCCACACGAGGACCGTGGCCTCCATGAAAGCCCACAATGACGACAGACGCTACCAGGAAGCCAACCCTCAATCTCCCAATAGAAAAATATGGTTTGTATTGCAAGACAAAGATCTCCGCCATGACTGCTGAAGGGCAAGCTATTTTTTAGTTCTTACTTCGAACCTTAACCTCTTCATATAAACCCACAATACTCTGTTTTGTATAGACGCCATTACCACCCATCAACGTCAGAGAGACCCCCTGAAACTGCACCCGATCCCCATCCGACATTGCACGATGATCTTATTGCAGATAAATATAAAACAGCAAACTTTGGGAAAGAAAGAAAGATAAGAAATCATACGCTCTGAAGAAGCAATGTGGGGGCTAACACAAGGAAGAGGTTTGGCATCTGGGCCTGCTTCACTTGGCAGATCGGAACAAGTAGAAGAAGAAGAAGAAGAAGGAGAATCAAGGCTTCGGATAGGATGTGGTGCTGTCTGGTCCGATGTCGCGGGACCCGGTGTTTATGTAAGGCCCCCGGAAAGTCGCCTGAGGAGGAAGCGGCTTCGAAGAGTCAATTATGGGCTTCTGCTTGGACGTCCTTCAGAGAGAAGCATGCATCAGACATATATATATATACATACATAGCGAGAGAGAGAGAGAGAGAGAGAGAGAGATAGAGATCTAAGCGTGACAACATCAGATAAATTGCAGGGACAAAGAGGAACTTACGCCAGGACAAAGGGAAAGGCTAGGCCAGCACCTGCAAAGGCCAATAAGCCGCCAGCAAGGACCAGGTTGCGAGCACGAGCCATAGAGAGCACCGAGTCCAGCAAGATCTGAGAGACAAATCATATATGGGCTCATGTCAAAATATAAGATCACATTCGGGTTCGTTCCAAAATATGAGATTTCAGATGAGTTCATTCAACAAGAGTAAGCCTACACATGAGTCCACTTCAAGCTGTAAGATCAAACTAACAATAATACCACATACGGGTTCATTTCAGAATCTAAGATTTTGTGTGTTCATTCCAAAATCTACGAGTACATCAGGCTTCATTCCATAGGGTTCACTTCAAGGATTACATAAGGGCTCATTCCAAACGAGAAGATCACATTCGGGCTCATTCCAAGATACAGGATTTCACATGGGTTCATTCCGATTCGTAGTAATATTGATGGGTTCTTACTGAAACCCTAGTCCTCTATTTCCTCGGTCCTGCTTCTCCAACTGGTCCTTCCAGCATCCTGGTAATAGCCCTTCTGCCACCAGGACCAAGTTCCAGCCCCCTGTAAAGCCATTCTAGCTTCGTAAGAACCCTAATCCCACAACTGGTTGAACATGCGCCAGATATCCAAGAACATTTCCCCAGGAAACGTAGAGGAAGTTATCTCTTGGGACAATCAGATGGCAATCAAAACCAGAGAGGAGATCAACATGATCTGATGAGGAAATCCTAATTTTAAATAAATAAATAAATAAAACTGGATTACTTCTAAACACATGGAGTTTACAGACTACCATGTAAGCTATGATCGGCTCTTTGCTAGGCCGCCTATGAGGCTTAATGCTCCAATTGTCCTATTAATGCAGCTAAACTGTCCCACATTGGCGGACTACCATCGATTCACATAAATATGTCATAATTTAGACATAATATTCTCTTTTTTTCCTGTTTTCAGAGAAGCGCAGCATGGACCGAGAGTGAATCAAGATCGTTGTGGAATCACTCCACCCAATGTGGCTTCCTCTGATTCCTACCTGCTCGTAGAAATGAGACATTAATTCTGTTCTTCTCTGCAAAGAGAACCCACAACCCCAAGCTCCCCACGGTCTTTTTTAGGGTTCTTATGTTCACATTGCAGCGTGCCACTGAGCTTGCTCCTCCCTGGCCTCTCCGTGTCAAAGTAGGCATCGTGTAGGGTTCAGTGTTCTCGTCCACCGACATAACATTTAACACAGTGAAAGCCAGAAGGAGGAAATAAATATAAACAATATGAGAAAATGAGGAAATATGTCAGGAATTTCTAGTTTAAGAAAATTCAACGGAGACGTTAGGATCTGAGTGCAAGAAATGACGCCAAGGTAGATGGTGATATCCATGAAGAGTCGAAATGCTAGAGATAAATACATCTCGCCCAGCTCACAAGACCCAAAAAAAAAAAATGATTAATAACTATCGTATGCTCTTCGTGAGATTGATCGTGTTCATTGAAAGCAGCTATGAACCGATTGAAGTTCTGAGTGCCCGTAACTGGCCAATTTCGGTGCAGCGTTCAACCAGAGGGGAGAGGGGCTATTGCAATGAAAAACCAGTACGATTGGCAATGAAATCTTTATCAGCGAAGGAAGAGCGGGTACCTTTCGAACGATTAGGGTTAATCTAGCGCCAATAACCCGCGTGCTGATCGTTCCCAATCCCTGGCAAAAAGCACCCCCATCATCGTCGTGGAAGTAGAAGACAGGAAGTGACGAACGGACGAACTCGGGGTGGGGTGAGGAAAGGGCGAGAGGGTGGGTGAGAGAGATAGAGAGAGAGGGAGAGGGAGGGAGAAGGAGAGGGGCAGAAGTTGTGGAGGTGAAAATCAGCCACCGTCTCCACTGGGATAGAGAAAACTTACAGCTTCAATCCTCAGGGTTCTGCAGAAGGGAACTCTTCCGCGCGGTCAGCCAAGCCGGACCAGAGCGTTACGACGATCTTTGGAGCCAGGCGTGGACTTGATGGCACGCAGAGAGGGAGGGAGTGGCACAGAGAGAGAGAGAGAGGATCGAATCTTAAAAAAAATGATCATATCAATAAGATCATCGACTGGCAAATCTAGACAAAATATATACACAAAAATTGATCATCACCACCACTGCCATTCAAGTATGGACTGCAAATGTCTGAAGGAAGAAGAAGATGAGGACTATTAAGGACATAAATAAGGGTTTTTTTATTATTATTACGCTTAGAAACCCATTTTTAAATATTTTTGTACGATTTAATTTGATGTAAAGATTCTAAGAGATTAGCAAACTCCTATTGCTTAATCTTCCCATTGCACTTGGAAATCTCTGTTGAATAAGCTCTTGAAGTCATCATTAGGGAAATCCACATTTGAAGAACTTGGGGAGAGAAGGAAATTTCGTTGTTTCTATTTTTGTATAGTACGCTATCCTAATTTAGTTTAAACAATTTGTTATTGTAGCCATCATAGGATAGTTTTATATGCTCTAATGAATGTTATGACTTTGATGGCTTGATGAATACTTTGTTAAATGTAACTACTTTTTTGTGTGATTTATATAGTTTTAGATATTCGATACGATATGATCATGTGATTTAGTTGCTCTAATTGTATGTCACTAAAAGCATTAAAGTCTTGTAGATTTTATTCTTTGAATTTTTAATCTAGTACACTAAATGTTTTAAATCAGAAGAATTTTATATGATTAAACATTTTATCTCATCTTAGTTAAAATGTGTTTATTGATTACAAATTGAATACTTTAATTATTAGACTTTATAAAGTTTGCAATTATCGCATATTATTACAAGTTTTAATTGCCATTTTTTATATTGACTAACTATTATGAGCTAACATTATGACCTACGATCATTGAGATGTTATGGTGATTAACTTGCTTACTATGCTCTCTATAAATCACGCATGAATGGAGAATGAGACTGAGTGATGATCATGTGCAGTAAAATTACACATACTAAGTGTAAAATTAGCCTATGTGAAACCTTCAAATATCTTTAGTGCATTTAATGGTTGGAAAGTTATTGCTTGGACATTATGATGCAGCAAACATTGCTAAAAAAATCTACTAATATTCAAACTAATATGTAATTTACAAGATTCTTCACATGTACTTGATATAACAACAAAAAATGCATAAAAAAATAATTGAGTACATTGAAGAAGACCCTTGTACATTCCATAATATGAGTCTATAAATGGGAGATTTTGTCACACACTGAAAGTTGATGAGGGGCAGAGGCACAACAACAGTCACCTATCTATTGATCTTAGTGGTGAAGCTAAGAGCTTGGAATAATGAGAGACTCAGTGCCACTCGAGACATCCAAAGTTACTGAATTGTTGACATTTCTCAAGGGGGTTGAGCATTCAACGAAAGGATCCAAGTTGGTACAAATCAATATAAAAGTTGATGGTCAACTAGCCCCAAACAAAATATTCAAAAACTTTTGAGTCATTTGGTAAGTTGAAGTCATTAAAATCAAGAAAGTGGTGACGCCAATTCTCTATTGAGCTGAAATCATTAAAACCCATAGTCGTGTGGCTACCTGTAAGCATTCCAATCATCCAATTACTCATTCAATGAGCATAAGAGAGTGATAGTGTTGACAATGATCACACACTATGTTTGTCAATTGACATATGATGAGAATTTTGTATAGAGATTAGTGGAAACCTGAAGAACAAGATGTAGGCCACAACTGCATCAATCCAAAGTTGAGTGTGATGTAATTTGTCTCGCTTACAATTCAAAAAAATAAATGAGCACACTATACAATCCACTAAATTAGAAATGTTTACAACAAAATACATGATGCTGTCCATTATTACTCGTCCACTAGTCTTCCAAGAAACTTGTGATCAACTGAATTATTTTACAGAAACAAAAACAAAAAAAACAAAAACAAAAACCAAAGCCCTTCTAATAAAAAAAAATCATTTATTTCTTAGCTTGAGACCATGAAGATACTTCATACAATTGTCATGATTTTTGATTTTTGAAATAAAAATATGGAGGCGAGTATGATCAAATATGATGGATCTTGGGTAGACTGAATTTACAACATCAGTATAACTCCCGGACAGAGGTAGAAGTAAGAGGGGAATTCTTGCTTGCTCCTGATCATATGATGCGGACAGTTTCCACAAGCTAAATAATTGATCAGCTATTTCGATGATTTTTATGAATCATCCAAGAAGCATCTACGCCACAGTTGCCGGGAGACTGAAAAGTTGGACACGTAAACAGAGGTGCATATATTCTTAGAGAAAGTTCACAGGATCTCAAGTGGGAGAGAGTTCGATCACGTAAAAATTTGAATGAGTGGCAGATATTTGAGCACGTTTTTTTCCTCCCCAACAATGTCAACAACATTGATCAGACCAATGAGCACACAGAATGTAGAGAAGATGCCAAATAGATTAGGACAGGCGAAATAGACAAAAGGGGTTGTAGAAACAGATCGGAACCCACCGACAGTTTCATAGATCCGAGAAACATCCACATAGCCACGATTCCACAGGTTTTAGATGCCAACCAGGGCAGGAAATGACAGCAAATGAAACCCTAGACGAAGATAGATTCCCAAGGAGGGAAGAGAGGAGTGCAGAGGTACGGTGCGGAGATCAGGGTGGAGGTATCGATCACTTGGCCAGCATCTGTTGGGCGACCTGGTTCTCCTGATTCTGTTGGTAGTTGAGAGGTCTCCGGAACAGCATGATGTGCGGCTCCGGCCGGTGGATAGCGTAGTGGACCCAGCCTCTGCTCTGTTGCACACCAATTGCACGCCATTCGTTCTGTGCCCAAATACCACAACCATAATCAAGTATGTCAGAGAGGCCATCAGGAGCACTCCATCCTCTTCTTTCGCGCAAAACATAGTAATAAAGACCGAGCGATCCTGTAACAGATCCATCACAAGAGCATAAAACAATTCGAACCGGAAAATCTCAAATGAAGGGAGGATAGTGGAATGGAGAACCCTAGGATATTTGAAAGAGGCTATGATGCCCACCTCTGAAAGCAGCCTGTTCTTGGGCAGCTGTTTGGCGACCTCAGGCGGCAGAACGACATGTCTGCGGAAATCATCAGGAAATTAGGGAAATAAATCATGAGGATGGAAAAAGCCGCAAACCAAAAAACGGAGAGAAAACGTCGAAGAAGTTGATCATTAAGCGACATCAACCCATTAGAGATACACACCTGTATTCGTAAGTATCATCGAAGTATTTCTCCGAGTACTGGATCTGACCCATTCCCACGACCTTACTGCATACCACGGCACAGCAAACAAGAGAGAGACCCCGCGCGATCAGTACAAGCCTCCCCTCGTCGAATACATGATGACAAAGAGGACGAGCATTGAGACAGGACCATACCAGAACCCCGAAACCCTAGATCGGAGACACCGCCGACGAGGACAGCAGCCAATCTACAGAAGATAGAGACGGCGATGGAACCTGATTGTCTCTGCGAGGCAGCCCGACTGTGCGCGGAGGGAGAGGGAGAGGGAGAGGGAGAGGACTGGAGGGCAGCCGAACGCTGGGGTATTTAAAGGTGGGCGGCGCAGCGCCGTTTTCCCCTATTTTCTTTTAATTATACCTGACTGATTTGAAATTTGAAAACGATGACGCCTCTCCCCGTCGGTGGACGTTAGAGACTTCAGGTACAAGCCGATGCGCATGGTCTTGGGTACAAATCAATATAATAGGTCAGCCGCTTAATGGGCCAAAAACATAACGACATTGATGGCTTTGTTTCGGGTAATGGGCTGGGAGCCCAATTACGCGGATTCATATGTACATAAAGAACGCACGCATTAAACGAATGCTGGGAGGATGAAAGGGGGGAGAGAGAGAGAGAGAGAGAGAGGGCATCTTCAACCTCGGGACGAGCTCTCCCAGACCTCGACGCAGTGCTGATCTTTCCTCGCGAGAACCATCCTCGTGCCGCCGAAGCCGATCTGAGTGATCTTGCCGTTTGCGGCATCCTTGGCCCGCCCCAGCAGGTTCCTCCTCATCACCCTCTCCATGCCATCCCCGTTCCTCCACCCACCGCCGGAGCCCATCATCACCTCGCTCCACATCTCCACGTCGCCGCCCTTGGTGCAGAAGACCTGGTTCTCGTAGCTCCCGATCTTGCAGCCTCCCCCCTCCTTCTTGCCGGCGGCGGCATTCACTCCGGCTCTCCTCGGGTCACCGAGGCACAGCCACGGGGAGTTCTCCGCGTCTAATTTCCTCAGATCCGCCATGTAGACCTCGCCAGAGTTGACGCCGACCTTGAAGATGGCGGAGAGGTTGTCGACGACGGTGACATCGGCGAAGCAGTCGGCGGCTTCCCTCAGCTCCCAGACGGCGGCGGAAGGAGACCTTACGTCCCAGAGCCGGATGACCCCCTGATGGCCCGAGGGCCCGCTATGGGATCCCGCCGCCATGAGGAGACTCCTCCCGGAGACCCACCTGAGATTCGTCGCCGGTATCGCCGAATCGAGCTCAGCGCCGTAGATCTCCCGCCGCCCGATCTCCGCCACGGGGCGGAGGGTTCCGCCGGCGAGATCGAAGGCCACGATGGAACTCGCGTTGCGTCGGCAGGTCTCGAAGCTCCCGAACAGGTGCTCCGGCGAGGCCCCGAGGCCCTGGACCGTGGAATTGAGGGAAGCGGAGGCGGCGGAGGGATTGCTCGACCAGTGGAGCGTCTTCTTCACGGAGCCATTCTGTAGGTCGAGGATCTGGAGGCCCGGGAAGTCTGTGGCGCCCGCGGCCGCCGCCGACGGCGAAAGAGCCAGGAGAGAGTCGACGGCGGGGAAGCCGGTGAGGACCGTCGACTTGCGGCGGAGCGACCAGTCAAAAGACGTGATCTTGCAGCCGTGCGCCACATGGACGGAGCCGAAGGGCGTGGTGGCGATGGCGGAGGGGCAGTCGCGGCCGTTGAGGGGGAGCACGGCGGCGCTGTGGAGATCGAAGGGGTCGAAGCCGGCGGCGTCCGAGATGGCGGAGAGGAGGACCTGGTCGAGGCCGTAGAAACGGGCCTCTCCAACGAGATCCTGCAGGTCGAACGCGGCGGCTTTGGAGGGCAGCCTGCCAGTGCGGAGCAGCGAGAGCATGACGGAGAAGAGCTCGGGATCGCGGTCAACGAACGGCGCCCCCTCGCAGCCACCGGCGGCGGCGAGGGAGGAGAGGAGGGACTTGCCACCGGCGAGGGCCAGCGTCTGCGGCGTGGTCTGGAAAATCCGGCCGCCGACGTTGAGCGTGACGATGTTGGCCTCGCCGGACTTCTTCCGGGGCAACCCCGTCGGGACCGGAGCGACGCCGGCGAACGGAGGCATCCTTCTTCTCAGGAACGGGTGGGTGTCTATTTGTCTCTGTTCACGATCTGTCTCTGACCCACACCCGGCTACATATATATGTCCGGCGGTCGCCTCTCAAGGGCCGGTCAACGGACGAGACTAGTCAACGAAACTCAACCGAGAGGAAAGTTCCCTGCCCAACAAGTCGTCCGTCAAATTATGCGGCAGGCGTCCGGTCTAGAGAGAGAGAGAGAGAGGAAACAAGAAAGGCTGGAGCTTCCTTGTGAGGCGGCGGTTGAACGGCGTCATTTTCTGCTGACCGGATCGAGCGGCCACGATCGGTGACTATTTATAGAAAGCGAAGAGCAGGAGCGAAGCAGAGAACACGGCGTGGGGGGAAGTAATATTATGCAGAATGCTGGGCGTGCCATCTGTCAGGTTGGGGGGGGAGGAAGAAGATGACAATGGGGCGGGGCATTTGCAGAGCGCTCCTCACTTGAGAGGGCCCACATGGGACAGACACAGTCCCCGGTGGGCAGGGTTCTTATCAGTCAGCTGGCTCCCGACTGGATCATGGGGAAGAAAGCCCAGTTCTTCCGCTGCTCCTCCGGCTCGGAGAGCCCGTCGCTGTTGTCGAACTTGAAATCCCTGGACGCGCCGCGAGAGGCGGAGCGTAGGTGGTTCTCCTGCGGCGCCGGCTCCGAGGAGACTCGTCCGGGGACGGTCGATTCCTTCGCCAGGCAGCGGGCGACCTCCTCCACCGTCAGCTCGAAGGAGACTCTGTGATCCCCCGGAATCTCCGCACCGGCGCCGGCGGCCGCAGGATGCTCCCAGCCGGCGGGGAGCGGCGAGGAGTCGCCGGAGCAGACGGAGCTCGGGGAGATGAGGTGGCCGATGGGGCTCCCGGGGTAAAGAAGGTATGACTGAAACTCGTAGGGTTCGGTGGTCTTCTTCCGGGTGGAATCCAGGGAGGTGAGGAGGCGTGCGAAGGGGACCTCCGGCGAGGGAGGAGTCGTCAGGTGCATGGGCTCCGGTGGGGGAGTCAGCGGCGCGGTGGAGGGCTCGGTGGTGAAGGTGGAGAAAACGGGCGGAGAGACCAACTGGGTCTCGTTAGCGTAGGGGCCGATGGCGAAGATGGAGGCGGGGCCGCCGGGGGAGCAGGCGTCGGCGGCGGCGAGGGTGGAGAGGGAGAGAGGACCGGTGGGGGAGAGAGTGGCGGAGGCTGGGCCGGACTGGAGGAAGGAGGCCGGAGAGGAAGGAGGGGCGGTGAAGGGGAGAAGGAGAGGAGGTGGGCGCCCGGGGTTCTCTAGCGAGCCTGGGTCGGAGCCTGGCAGCACCGCCTCCGGGACGCAGGCGGCGTGGCTGATGCGCCTGTCCTGCTTCTGGGACCCGAAGCACCAGTAGATGTTGAGGCAGCCTCCCAGTCTCCTCCTCTGTTCATCATGTAACACAAAGGATTGTGAGAGAGAAGAAGAAGAAGAAGAAGAAGAAGAAGAAGAAGAAGAAGAAGAAGAAGAAGAAGAGAAATCTCAAACTTCTCGAGAAAATCGAAAGAATCTGAAAAAATTGCGCATTGAAATGACCCAGAAAGCGTTCTTCACCGAACAGTCAAGAGACTCTTCAGCCGCCGGAAGATGAGTCTGATCCTCTGCATATCGTGATCGATCACCCTCAGCTTTTCACAGCAGTGGATGAGAAGAGACATCAATACTAGATAGAAAACAAAGACACAGGAACATCTCCGCGATTATGGTAGAAAGATTCTCCAGAAAACCTTCGAGATAAATGATCCATGGCCTAATAACATGCAAACATCGGAGCCCAAGAAGATAAGATGAGATCACCTTACAGACCACAGAAAGGCCTTAAAGAGCAAGGCCAAACGGCATTCTACCATTTTCTTCCTAGATACAAGGATTGAAACAGAGACGGGTTTGAGAGCCTGAGAATGTGGACACAGGTTTGCACCAGCCATCACATAACATATATAACTTTATTCAATTAATCTGGAGTAATCTTTGGACCTGGGCAACCTGCTCTCTGCCATCTGGTCTGCTATTTTTGCCGGGCTGACTCCCAGTAAGCAGCACTAGACAAGAAACGGATCTCTGTGTTCTCCTCCAAAAGTGGAGGCCGTCCAATTTATTATTCTCAGAAGCACATGAGAAAAAATGAATTAAAAAGGAATAAGATGCATGCCAATGAATCTGCATACATTTCGCAAGGAAATGGTCTCTGAGAGTTTTTTTCCCACATGGCAATCGCCAAGATAATCTGTACTCGAACAAGGATTCAAGGAGACCATTGGGGAAATTTGAATAAACTGGAAATCAATCATAAAGTCGTCATTCATATGCACCAGGAAATAGAGCCTTCTCCATTGGGGCAAAGCCAAATTCTTCTCGAATCAGAGATAAATATTCCCACCGAAAAACTTCTACAGTCGACGCTGGTTATGAAATCAGGGATGAAAATTCTGAAAGACAGTCGGAGCTACACTCGGAACATCATGATCGGTATCTTAAAGCATTATTATCGTATTTATCTATTTTCTTTCAGAAAATTTAAGTTCTTCGTGCATCTAATTAGAGAAGAAATCCGGATATTTCAAAGGAACAAGTCCCAATTGCCTGCATCTGTTCGCCATCAATCGAGAAAAGATGCGAGTTGTTTCTAGGATCGTGGCATCGGGAGTCATGTCCTTCATGCTTCATTACCATAGAGCATAGCAATTTCTGTAGCGCTAATCCCAATAAGAAATCATTTAATGATATTAACCAGAGGAATAAATGAAGAAATACTACGCGTTAATCTTGCCAGCAAAGGAAGAATGCATCTGCGGATTCGTAGCGAAAATAACCAGGCATGGAACTAGAACTTTAGAAGCAAGGTTGAAATCGTACGCAACAAGAAATCGCTCGTCGTTCCACATCTCGGTCAGCCACATATGCATATATTATCTCTCAATTGAGAACAAGAGGGATCTCCAAATTCGGATCAGAGTAGACAGAGAGAGGGAGGGACGAGGGGAGATCAAAATTAGGCATGAAAATCCATAACCACAACATTTTATTTCAAGGAGGGGTATAAAATTACCGGGGATGTGACTTGCTGGACACGGCTCTCGGCTTGGATGATCGCAGAGGCGGCGGCATTCACAGTCTCCACGCTGTTGTCTAATCCCCTCACCATCACTCCACACACACGACAAACCTAGCGGCCTTCAGTTGCGCCGCCCACCCACCCCCCAACCCCCACGCTCTCACCACCACCGCCACCGCCACCGCCACCACCACCACCACCACCCAGCCGAACAACCGATTCCACTCAGAAACCAGAGAACGATGGCCCGGCTCAACAGAAATCCCCCGCTCCCCCCAAAAAACCAGAGAATTCCCCACCAGGAGCCCAAGAATTACCACCCCCCAACACCAGAAACCACGAATTCCGCGACGAACCAGGCCGCAGAGAAATCCGAGACGACGATGCCGAAGAGGACGAGAGCAGGAGATGAGCGCCACCACCACCCAGCCACCGAATCACCACCGGAGATCTTAAATCCCACCCCCCCCCCGGCGTCTTGAAAGACCACGGAAAGTTCAGTCAAACGACGGTAAGCTTAATCGCATCGCCACACGGCTTCACGATGTTGCGCTACCGAGCCCCCGGATCTATTCGGCGGAGTATACCACACGTAGTTAGCAGCTAACCCGCCTGGTTATGTTGATAATCTAGTGTTTGGACTTTCTGCCGGAAGTTCAAATCTCAGGGTGGTTGTCTTAACCGCCCGGAGTTTCGACAAGTAGCGGAGACAATTGCGGCTCCAGGGGGCTACAAGAAGGGTGACCGTATCCATCCACGAGTCTTTTAGGCCCATGGTAATTTTAATTACCTGGTTAATGTAAGTGATTAGAGTGGGGAGCACGTGGGAGTTTGTTGGTCCCCCACCGAGTGGGTCCCGCGGGACAGCTCCACTAAAAGATGGGGATAATCTCGCGCCTCTGACGTTCTCGCACGTCTCTCTCTCTCTCTAGACGTAACGAGCTGTTTCTTTGACCTGCCGCGTCAAAACACGCACGCGTGCTGAGCTTGCACTGATAATGACGTCACGGTGACGCACGCACCGCAACCTCCCTTGATCTCACTTCGACGAGGAGAGAGAGGATTCTCGTGACACGCACGGCCTCGTGCGAGCATCCAATCGTAGAGCCCCACGTCCCTAAACGACAAGTCCTCGCCTGTCGTTTTGTGTGTCGGAGGCTACTGCCGCGTCGTGGGCGCCGGAGGTGTAGAGATTTGCCGTCACGAAGTCGTATAAAGTAATTATGGAGGTGTAGAGATTTGCCGAATTGACGCCAAACGAATCGGATTCCACGAAGCTTTTTTTTACGTATCGATGGCCAGCATTTGACACATTTGTCTTCCGACTCTGGCAGCCACCCCTCCGCCTAGCTATCTATTCCATCCCCGGAGGAGGCGGCGGCGGCACTCGGAAAGGATGAGGCGCCTCCCGCCGCCGTCAGCGGCGGCGACTAGTATATCCGAGGATCTGGCCGACGAGAGCTCCTCCGCCTCTACTTCGCCGGCGGAGAATGGGGAGAGAGGAGAGGACGGCGGAGAAAGCGTTGCAGAAGGGTGAGGGAGTGGTTCTCTGCCGGTAAATGCGGCGCTGGAGACGCCAGTTGAAGGCGGAGCTCGTCTTCTGCCGGCGGAGAATGGCCGAGCTACGCAGGAAACCGGGAGGAAGGCCCGAACGGTGGCGGACGGCGGCGCCGCCGGCGACGGTGCCCGGAGAAGAGTGACGAGAGCTCGCCGGCGAGGAGGGCAGGGCAAAGATGGGAGTAGAAGTCATCCATCTCCATGAAAGTCACAGATGTGGGTCCCACACCCTCGACCTTATCCCCTTCCTCTCATCGTCTCCAAGAAATATCCAGTAAGGATCCGAACTTATGCTCTCTCTCTCTCTCTCTCCGGCGGAACTCATCCACTCCCTTCTGAGGTTAGGACCTCGAGTGGCCAGAGCTATGGCGACCACTGTCTCCACGCCGCTCCCGCCAACAATCTCGAGCTGCTCCCCCACGAGGCGCTCCGTTATGTCCTGTTCGGCTCCATCGTTTCCGCGCCCCAGAGTCCAGATAATCCACACTGCCGTGTCTATTCCCCCACCGAGTTTCCGGCATCTCTGCCCCTGGAGCGGGCTCAAGCACCTAGGGATTTCATGCCGGCACAGGAATAGAGGTATTCTTCTGGCTTCCTCATTAACCGCCCCCCTGGTGGTAGCTACGGGAGGGTTCCTTCCCCCCTCCCCCCCCTCCATATCGCCTTTGCTTGTCGTCCTCTTACTCTTTTCTCCGTTGGAGCCGGTTAAAATCACCAGTATCTTGATTTCCGTGAGCTATAATCTAATGATAGTCCGACTTGATGCTGCCCTTGACTTGATGTGGTGTGCTTCCCAGTGTTTTAGGGAACAATGCTGCCCTTAATTTTTTAATGCTTAGGTTATGGATGCTGATTAGATGAATGACTATACGCGCACTTGAAGGGGAAGCTGATTCCGGTTCTAAATTACCCACGGTGTCAGAAAGTTCTTTGGTCATCAATTAGGTCACAGATGTTGTAGAACGGAATGTAACGTGCTTGATGATGAATGGTACACGAGATAATGACAGTCCACATGAGAATTTAGTAAATTTTGGTGAACGGAAGGCGCATTTCAGTTTGGATCTTCTCAGGCCAGTGATTGGAAGCATGAGAACATCATATCTGGACGCTGATTGCTGATGTTCTCTCTAGGATTGGTCAAACTAGCACGCAAATATCTTCGGCGGAGGATTAAATGATTGTTTCATTCGATGACTGCCGCTGATGAAATGAACTGGACATGGCCAATTTAATAAACTTTTTACTGGATGTGAAGTCGTCTCATTCAATAATGTCTACGCAGGAAGCTTATGAATCGAAAGAAAAAAAAAAACATGAGTAATTTTAAGAAACTTGAAATAAACAAATTAGTGTGGGCGATGGATAGTTTAAAGAAAATAAAAGAGCCTTTTGCGGTTTGAATGTTCAAGAATTCTTCTATCCCGGAACTCTTCATTTTAAGGAAAGATAATTCGCATTGGCCTTTAGAACACTAAACCTTGTTTGATTTGGTTTTCAGCCTAAAGGCCAAGTTCCTATGTTTGATTTTTTTCAATAGTTTTCTTTATCACAACTTCAAGCATGTGGGGTTCCCTCTGTATTTTGGGCGGAAAAATTCCATTCTGCGGCAAAAATATGTCAAGATCGCCGGAATTATCAGGAAAATACAAAAATCCATGTATATCAAACTCCCAAATGAGTTGGATACTAGTCAAACTCCAGTATGAGCAGGAGACAGGGTACATGGATGAGTTCCTCTGTCACCCAATACTTGTTCCAGGGGTGGAAGATGGTGAATCCAGTTTTCTGGAACAAACTAGCAAAGGAAACAGGAAGATCTGCAGACAAAATTGATAAATTTCTACCAAGCACTATCTTCGTATGCTGTTGAAAATGAAGATGATGGCTGAGCAAACCACCAGAGAAATATTGAACTTAGTGTCTCCAATTCTAAGATATATGGAAACTGTCTCTCTATAATCTCTGTCCTCCTTGTTCGCATTGTTTTGCTCTCTCTTCTGGCATTACTTGCCAAGACCATCATTTTTTTAATGTGTAATCTTTCCTCTATTTATTCCTGTGGCATTTCAGGAGGAAAGGAACGATACGTTGGTAGAATACGTGCATCTTTATTTGGAGTTGGAGCTCCTGAAGCTTTAGTGATTGGTGTTGTGGCTTTATTGGTCTTTGGTCCCAAAGGTCTAGCTGAGGTATGGATGCTATATTTTTCTCGCCTCTCAAGCAATTTCAAGCTTGTGAATCCTGTTTGATTCTTGAGAATCTCCTTATTTGACTTGAGAAGTAACTTAAAGAAGCTAGCCATATTCTTGAGCTGTAGAGGAATGCCTCTCAGTCTTTGGGATGCCCAGAGACGCCAAGTCATTCTTCGATCTTCATAATTTCGTCACTGATTCATGTCATTGCTGTGGTCTATTGCTGAACAGCGAATCATTTTCTCTCTGATGTTACATCATTAATGGACTCACTATGATCCGAAGGCTTGTTTCAGCCTAGGCAGGCTGTTGAGAATAAATTGTTGCTGTCAATGGCATGAGACTGACCATTACGTAAAAGTGTCATAAAAACTTTTATGGACGATTGTGTACTTCTAAGGCCACTGGGTCTCTTTCGCTCTCTCTCTCTCTCTCTAACCAGTAAAGTTAGTGTGACTTTAACGTACCCATATCTCTATGTCAAAACTGGAATCGACAGAGATGCATGTTTTCGCTTTTGAGAAAATGGAACTCTAGAATTTTGTGCATATTTTCCCGACAAAATCACTGAAAAATATATCCAAATCTTGCACCACAAATGAAGGGCAGTTTTTTGCACTATTATCCAGTGCTGAGAGATAAGAGAGATAAACAGGAAGAATGTGTAAGAATAGCGTAAAGGACACTTTATGGTCCTTAGAAACTATAGAGAGCGCCACCATTTGACTTTGATAAGTAATGCCTAGCATCCCCATTCGGACAGACGTTTTCACTGACTCCCTCTCCCCCCCTGCTTTTCTCTCTGGCTTTCACGGTTTTCTGATTCGGAGGAGTTACATTTTTTAAATATCTTCCACATTCTGCATCTTATTCCAACTCAGGTGAACATATCTGCTACATAAGTTGCTTCATTTAATTTAATATCTCATCCAGCTTTTGTAAATCCAGGTGGCTAAAAACTTGGGGCAGACTTTGCGCGCATTCCAGCCGACAATCAAAGAACTTCAGGTCAGTTGAACCCAGATGAACGGACTTATAAAATCCTGTCTGATTAGCCAAAATGTTACAGATTGAGAGATAGAAAGATGGAGTAATCTATGGCGGATATTCAACTACTTTTTTGCTTGAATTGCTTATTAATTATAGGAAGTGTCGAGAGAATTCAAGAGCACCCTCGAACGGGAGATTGGACTAGATGAAGTTCAAACACCCACAAACAATTCTGCCTACCAATCTACCACCTTCAATCGACAAGCTACGGTTGATCCCAGTGAGTGAAAATTATTCTGACTCCTGATTTTCAAAAGATATTTCTAAACTTTAACATGCGGAAAAAACCCTGCGGGTCTCTGGGAGGCTGCATTTTCTCAATCTTTTGATGGTCCTGTACAGAATTATGTTGTATTTTTTCTTAACAAGAAAATTGGCGGGGAGATGTTCTTAGGAAAACCCAAACTGTTCCTTGATTCTGATCGGCTGCACTACTTCAGATGGGACTCCTGGGACTCCTTCCACGAGAACACCATACTCCAGTGAAGAACTTCTGAGTGTCACATCAGAGCAGCTGTCAGCATCCAATGTCGAGCCTCAGGCGCAGGCCATCAACGTGGCAGGCCAACCTCAAGGTCTCAGATATCCTCAGCCTTCTCCATGAAGCTTTTCCTTAAAAGGATTCAGTTATATACTTTCATTTGTTGTTTATTTAATTATTGAGGTCAAAGGCTTGGATGATCCTTCTCAGGTGTGCCTGACCTTCAGTCTCCTGAAGCTGCAAATACAACGTCCACTTCGACGACCTCTGGCTCTGCGTCTAATTCTCAGACGACGTTGGATGAGAAGCCTCAAACAGATGGAGATAAACCCTAGAATTTTTGTAGAAAACTTAGGTGTTCTCTGCGTCTTCTTTCGCAGGTTCATATGAGCTGTTGGCAGATTCATCATGTTCTTGTATACTTCTTGTAGAAATGCTGGCTGTGATTTAAGATGGACTCCACCACCCTGTTGAAGATCTTCTCCTGGGTCCCAAACTGATCCAAAATTGTTGGAAAGCGTTGTGCCCTGCCTTCTGAATGAGAAACCGAGCATCTGGAGTCAGCTCTCACAGAAGTCAACCATCTGTTCCACAGTGGAGGAGGTTGTTCTCTTTGATTTGTGGCTCCCCAACGCAGAGATCCCAATCATCAGAGGTCTTGAAAGGGCCCAAAAGTTTTCTATGGAAACAGAGTTCCATTGTTCCTCTGGGTCTAGTTCTTGAGGTGTCAAACTTCTACTAGTAGCTCAAAGCCCAGAAGGCCAGTCCATTTCTCTCTCTGGCTATGGATAGGTTTTCTTCTCTCTGCCTGTTTTTTCAATCGTTTCTTCTCTCTACAACCTTCTCTCTCTCTACCCGTTAGCCTCCCCCAGTCAACCCCACTCTATAGAAGATAACTGAAGACTGTGGACGCTTATTGTATTTCTTCCAGTTGAGCCATGTGGTGCCTACTTTTTTATCCTGTTGTAGAGCCAAAAATAAAATAAAATTGTGCAAACAAAGTTATTTTCCTTTATAAACATATGTGCCCTTGCGTTGAGAGTCAACCACTTTGAGTCTTGAGCGCACTCTATTGTCCTTTTGACCTCTTCTCGTTGCAAGTCAACGGTGAGAATTAGGGTTTCCGACCATTTGTCAATACTCTCATTCCATCAAAGGAACTGAGATCTCCTGGAAATACGGGAGGAGATGTGACTGGAATCTGAGTTCCATGAACATGTGAATGGATTATATGCAGAGCCCGGTTCACATCTAAATCTTTCAATGCCTGCGATCATCCCACCATTTCTCAGCAGTGAATTAAACCTTAGAAAAACTAGAACATCACAGCAGATGATGATAACTTAATTTACAAATCTGAGTGCCAAATATCACAAATAATATAAAAAATAAAGAATAAAAAGGCAATCTCAAGCTTTCTCCCCATTTTTTTCCTTCTTCTTTTCCTGACCAGTTTATGGCATGAAGCAACCTTCAGAAACAGGTGGAGGCCATCAGCAGCGACAAGCTAAAAGTGGTATCTGCTGCCCCCAAGAAAAAAAAAGTGGTATACGACCAACTATATGACAGAATGATCTTATTCTTTGTCTGATGCACAGATTATATCTCCGCTCCTATGCAATAAAATCCACGCCACCTCCTATCTCCATGGCCCCATGAAATCTTGATTCAGCACACCCAAACAGCAGAAAAGCCTGCAGACAAGGCAAATAGATCGCTCAAATTAGCTCAAAAGGGTAATTTTTTGAAGAATGGTTCCCCAAAGTTTACTATTAGACAACTTAAGATGGGAAATTTCGTTCATGGGAGTATTCCCTCTCCCTCAAGACCTTGAGATCAGAGAGACCCAGAAGGAGGGAAAAAAAACGCCATGTGATGGAGATGGGCGATTCCTACTGTTGGATTGGTCCTGAATTGCAGCCAGAATGGTTGATCTGAGAATGGTCAATGGGAGTATCCCCTCTCCCTCAAGAACTTGAGAGCAGAGAGACCCAGAAGGATGAAAAAAAACCATCTTGTGATGGAGATGGGCGATTCCTATTGTTGGATTACATGTAGAATCAAGCATCTTAGTTGCAAAATTTGATATTTTTTGTAATTTTCCGATAGAAATATGTTACAGCAAAGTAGCAGTCTCTTCCAACTTTAGAGTTAATCACGACATAAATATAGACGTCCCCCTTCCTGAGTACTGCTTCTTTTCCCAGAAGAGAAAACCGCAGGGAAAGGAAGAACATGTAATCTATCGCCATTCAATGCTGATCAGACTCTTCAAGCATGAAACATTTTGTCCCCAAAGAATATGAAAGTAAGGGAAGGGGGAGAGTGATTAATATGGAGATTTAGTTCGCAACAAAATCATGCCGTAAACAAAGAATGTGTTTGCATAAGTTGATTTAAAGAAGATTATTACCTATCACTGAGAGCTAAAGGGCTCCTGTGAACGATGGACAAGAAAGCGGCATTTTCTCAGCACTTCCCTCTCACTCCCCCAACCATCTGAGAGAATCGCCGGAGGCACGCGGTGAACGCCCTCAGGCTGAAGCATGCTCCAGGGCATGGTGCAGCTTGGGGACCCGCCGGCGAAATAACGGCTCCAGCCGGAAAGAAGGAGCGCCGATCGCCCACCTCTTGGCATCGTACATCTCGTTCCACGCCTGGACTATCTCGTCGATCCTGAATCCCAGCCCTGAAATCCGATGGAAATCAGTGAGGATCAGAACTAACTAAATATACAGGTGAAAAAATAGTTTTTTTTTTTTTTTTTCGATCGACCCAGTCATCCCACCTTCTTGGGCAGTTTCATTGGAGCAGTGATTCTTTATCATCACGGCTAGATCAGTGGGAGAAGCTCCAACGAGCTTGAATTTCTCGATAGACGCCGCCAGGCACTCCTCCCAGTCGGGGATCTTCAGCTTGAACTCCACCACAGATCGCTCATAGAGCATGGTCCCCCATAGCAGGCTGATCTGGGACCTCAGGTTCGAGGCCTGCTCCGCTGCTTCGTCGGTGGATATCTCCTTGAAGAGACCGCTCATCCCCATCTTCTGCAGCAGCAGCTTTTCATCGCTGGGCTTAGCGAGGCCCTCCAGGCGATTCTCCTCTGCCTCTTCCCACAGTTGGGTCCCCTTCTCGATGTTGTCCTCTGCGCTGTTGAAGAGATCCATCACTTCAGAGGACGGCCAGCTCTCCAGATCCACATTGCTCCCCACGGCGTAGTACCAAGAAAGCTTTGCCTGCTCGAACTGCTGCTGCGCGAGCGCGAGGAAGCCCTCGTAGAAGTCCGCTTTGAGCCTGGTAGCTTCTTCGAATCTCTTCCCCGCTTTCGTGTACTCTGCCCGCGCCCACTCGTAGGCATCTTTGCTCTGTCCGAGCAAGGATTCTCCGGAAGAATGATCTTCGGCCAAGTGGAGCCTCTTCCGGGCACGGGACATGTGGACGTTTCCCCAGTTGAACAGGGCGAGCGCCGCCATCTCCTGGAACGTCTTCTCCGCCAGGCCCAAGATCTCTTGGGCATCTTCGCTGGTCACGACGTCCTCCATGGCCTCCGAGTAGAGCTTCATCCCGAGCTCATGGAGGTCCAGGTAGGCGTCGGAGTTGAAGCCAACGTGGTTCTTGAACAGCTGGGCGAAATGCACGATCCATTCTTCGATGCAGGAGGTCTCCCTCTCCCCCGAGCTCCTGATGCTCCCATTCTCGTAAACACCGTTCTGCATGGAGCCCAGATTCAAGTAGGAGTTCTTCCTGGTTATCTCGGAAAGAGGTAGAAACAGCGGATCCTGGTCGGGGCTGACTTCGGCGAGGTACAGCCTGAGGGACCCCTGAGGATCGCCGGACTCCTCGGCCCACCTCAGCTCCTCGGTGGTGGTGATGGTCACCAGGTCGCCCTCCTGGTCTCTGTATTTCACGAGAACCCCCTCAGTGCTCGGAAACCGGTTCCTCACAATCTCCCGCAGCTGCAAGATGCTGCATTCCGCGGGCAGCATAGCAAATCTGATGTCCTCCCCCAGAACCAGCTTGACCTTCGAAGAAGGTCCTACCTTGCGTCCCTCCTCCTTGTCCTCCTCCTTCACCGCCCCCTTCTCTGCATCCACCTTCACCTCCTCCGCCCTGTGACTCCTCTTCTTCCGGGGCTTGCTTCTCACCTTCGCCGGCGCAGGCTCCGGCAAGGGAGAAGACGAACTGTGAGGATCGAGCTTGATCCCCCGGATCTCCATCCCCTTCCTCAGCCTCTCTGAGAGTTCCAGCGCCGTGGCATTGCTGGGCTCCGAGCTGAGGACCGCATCGACGTCTCTCATGGCGAAGTCCACCCGGTCAACTGCTTCGTAGCACCTCGCCCTCTTCAAGAGCGCCTTGCTGTACCTGGGGGAGACCTCCAGGGCCAAGTTGCACTGCTCAATAGCGCGGTGGTGGTCCGGCGGCTCCAGCTGCATGTAGCAGGCGGCCAGGTTGCTGCGCAGAGGAGCCATGTCCGCGTGAGCTTGAGGGAGAAGCTTGACGGCCTTCTCGTAGGTGAGGATGGCCCCCTTGTAATCCCTCTTCTGGAAGAGCTTGTTCCCCTCCTCCCGGAGCTCTCGGGCCATGTCGATGAAGATGGTCATGTCCGCGTCGAAGTTCCTCGGGCTGCCCACCTGCGGCTCCCCCGGCCGGCCATGCTTCGTGCCCACGCCGTCGACCTTGGCGCCGCCGCTCTTCTTCTTGTTCTTCCCCACGGGCTTCCCCATCCTGGAACACCCATCACAGGTTGAACGAAACTCACCAATCGGGGGAAGAAACCTCAAAACCTCCATTGATAGACAAGGAAGAGGACGGCCCAAAGGCTTGAACAACCAAAATTCAGAGACCAATTCGACATCCCGCCCTCTGAAAAAAAAAACCCTAAACTCGGAACGGAGATATTCAGATTGGAAGCCATCGCCGCACCTGATCCGATTGGAAGCGCGCGAGGGAGGAACCCGCAGAGCTTTGCTCGACCAAGTCGTAGGAACAGGGAGGGAGGCGATTCCTCCGCCGGGTCAAGGATCTCCTCCTGGCCGACAGCAGGTTCCAGCCACCCGACGATCAGGGACGCCGGAGACCCGGGAAGGTGAGAATTACAGGATGGGGATGCCACCAGGCGGCGCCTTTCCTTACGTTTCCTTCTCCCTCCTCCCTCTCCTCTTCCTTTCTATTTTCTCTCTCTAGTTTCTATCACCTGTTATGATGGTGGCAAGGCAGCGGGGACCACCACGGCGGTCGGAGATGTGGAAGGTATGGGCGGGGAGGCCTGGCTTAACTTGTCCCCGAAGGGTCCCCTTGGCGGCGCTGGCGGTCGGCGCCGACGTGGATTTCCATATTCGGGAATAAAACCAACTACCACCCCCCCTCCCCAACCCAGCTATCCCGGCTGTCGACATGTCACGTGACGCGTCTAAGCACGTGACCCACCGGTGGTGGGGAATTCTCTTTTTTCGGCGGTGACGGCGCCGCCCGCCGCTTTGGAAGTTTCCAACGGTTCCCGCCTGACGGCGACCCTCGCTCGTTCTACGTGGGCTTCACACGATGCGTCCTATATCCCTCTGGGCCATACCCGAAGGCCCATTTACCCGTGTTTTCGTTATTTATCAAAAAAACGGCCCGATAACCGTTCTCGACACGGTTTTAAGCTGAAACTTGCGGTCCATGTTGGGCCATCCACTTGCAGCCGGCGACCCAATAAAATTTCAAGAATATTCCATAATTGTAGATTAATTGTAGGAGAGCATGATGGAAACATCATTTATTTATTTGGCATTTATTTTTTATATTTCACTCTCCTAGATGCATTGGAAGCAACATGCTATTTTAGACTGATAATCTATGGTGTAAACTTTATTAAACGCTTTGAGGGTTAATGTTCTCTTACTTAATCTATTATATCATTTCAGTCTGTATATTTTGAATGATATTTGACACTGCATGCTATGCAATCTATGCTTAAATTGATCAAATTACACAACGACTGATTATATTGTGTTTCATAACTTCCAAATTAATATTATAAATGGTTTATCTTTATTGTTGTATTAAACATTTTATCTCATCTTGATTTAGTCATCACCAAAAAGGAGGTCGTTGGAATCTTACTTTACTAATGAGATGATCTAAATGTTTAATTAACTTGTGATAAACAATCTCTAAATCTTGAATCATTTGAGAATTATATACTTTAATTATTACACTGCATAATTTAATTTAGTATACATATTAAAAAATACTGGTTAGAATTTATAATGGCTAGTTTAATTATGTACTTTATAATTCAGTTATTGATTCTAATACCTTTTTGGAAATACTTTTACTAATTATGGATAAGATATGTTAATTATGAGACTAATTTAATAAAACTATTTTTTTATATAATTAGAATGTTGATTCTGATATTGAAATCAATTTTTTTTTACTCATCATAGTTTGAAATATTTAATCATCAGATCAATTTTTTAAATTAAATTTGAATATTCAATTGAAGTTAAAATTTTAATATCAATTTTGATAGTGCTTTTACTGACTAGGGATTAATTTTTTTAATCATCATATCAATTTTTTGGCTTTAGTTAAAATTTTGAATTATTTTTTTATTGGACTTTGGAAAGTTTAATTTACTATGTGTAATACATCAATTAGATTATATATTCAAATAATGAATGAAGAATGTTTTTATCGGTCATAGAATAAAATGCTTAATCATTGAACCTGTTCAGTGAATTTCGATGATAATATTTAATTATAATACATCAGAGAATTTCATTCTTTCAAAAGTGTTGCACAAGTCTATAAAGTATACATACTTCAGATTGACCTAGTGTAAGCTAAGAATTGAAATTACCATGATGAATTAAAAAAATAAATTGTGATTAACGTAATTATCATAGCTCCCTTTTGATCTAATCCGATGCTTGCCATATTCTTGGAATTTGCAGTACTAGTGTCCTATGAATGGGTGATTCATGCTGTCAACTATGGTGTCAGGTGGAGAGTTGTTGCCTTGTGCTCCCTCTTTGGTTGCAATTAAGGGAGAAAGGAGGTGGCCCTTCTTTTAGCTAGGGCTATCTCTTCAAATTTTCCAATTTTTTGGGGATTTATTCCCACCTTATTGAAAATGCTACATGCATAAAGCCTCATCAATATGAAATGCAACATAATGATAATTCAAAGATAAAAAATATAATGCAACAAAAGACATCCTGATTTTATTTTGATTTTTTATCATTTTTAAAATATTAATAAATACTTTTAAAAGTTATATTTAGGTATTGATGTGATCATTAGTAATTATTTTTTCAATAATTAATACTTGTTGTAAATAACCATTATATGCCATAAAGTTCATTCTAAAAGGCAACTTTGCGCCATTTCAAAGGAGTTAGACAAGAAGAGCCACAACATTTACTTACAATCTTCAAGTAGTCCACAAGAGAATAAAAGTAAATTGAGCATTGAAAGAGAGAACAAAAGTAATTAGTGCTCAAGATCTTCAAGAGGAGATTTGTCTCCAAGATCTAAACTCTCCAAGTAATGAACAGAAGGTTTCAGCCAATTGAACAAATGAAGAATCCTTATTAGAACCACATTGAAACAAGCAATGAATTAGCTTAAGCTCAATAAAATTTTAATTAAGTTTAATTATCGTCCACATAACTTAGTAACTATACCAACTTTCTTGGTGCCATGAGCTTAAACTTGGCATGCATTTGCAATCAAGTTCAAGAACACCTTAACCTATTTGGTAGGTTGGTGCCATTAAGACCAGCAAAGACTTGATAGCACCTTGACAATTATTTAGTGGGTTGGAGCCAATAAATTCAATGGTTGCTTGATAATATTATGATTGCTAATCGATGAACTGAAGCCAATAAACCTAGTGGAGGAGTGACCGCACCTTTATTGTTATTTGGTGGGTCAAATCTAATGGAGTTGATGGATGAGTGACAATTATTTGATGAGTCAAAGCTAATAAAGCTAAGAGTGGATTGATTACCTTAGAAGAAATTTGATTACAAGTTTCATGAGCAATAGAGTGACTAATAATAGCCCAAATGTCGTTTTGGTTCTTGGAGATGTGAGTAACTAGATGTAGTAATAATGGAAGATTAGTGGAAACCCATTGAGCACTACTCTTTGAATTGTAGACATAGGTTGAGTGTCAAACAATAATATATTTTTTAGTCCAATTCTCTAGTGTGATTGTTGTTTTCTTTAAAATCACTTAAATAGTTTTCTGCACCACTATGGATTATAATAATTAATATAATTCGAAAATCATATTATTTATTATAATTATATTTCAATACTCTAGAAAGTACTAGTAAAGTGTATTTTGATTCCATTGTGTACTATATAAGATCAAATCATAGGTCAATAGTTCAACTAAACTAGAAGATTGAATTAGGTAGATTACAACATGTCAAATCCAAATGATTATTGATTAATAAACGTGATTATTTATGTTCAACCCTCCCCCTCAGATTGTTAGTCTTTCATATGTATAGTCTCTGGCTTTTTTCTTCTCTTTAAATTTTGACTTTTATTTATGAAAAGTTTGATCTAATTCATTCCTTCTTCAATAGACAGCAAGGTTGTATTCTTTCACTCTTATGTCACTCTGGCCATCATCTGGGCATCACGATGATCCATAAAACACATCCTAGAGCTACGTTTCTGTGGCGCATTTCACCAAACACTTTCCTCGCACCAAACCCACACTTCTTAGCGTTCATTACACCCATAGCTCCCTCTCTCTCTCTCTCTCTCTCTCTCTCTCTCTCTCTCTCTAAATGAGCAGTGAAGAAAAGAGGCTAGCAAAACAAGGAAAAAGAACAGGACACAAACCAACCAGCAAGAGGTTTTCTGAAAACAAGTGGGTTGAGCGTTACATCAACTAAACAAAATCAGATGATGGAATACAACAGCAACAGCGTGTCCCAAATCGCGCACGTGAGAGAACGGGAGTAAACTACCAAGCCCCGAAACAAGTTCTAGCTAAGGATGCTTTCCATACTGTAACAAGTCAACTCATACCTCCTAGGTGGTCTTAGTCTTGGGAACCTTCTTCTTGGTCGGCTTCCTCGGGCTCGAGTTCTTCATCCCCAGGAAGAAGAGCATCGCCCCAAAGAGCGCCAAATTCTGCAAGTCAAACGAGAGAGAGAGAAAGAGAGAGAGTTAGAGAACAGTTCGAAGCAGGAATCTCGATTGCCTTCGCGGATTGGGGCACTCTTACCTGTGCGAACCTTGAGAAGATGTGGATAAACTCGGGTTTCTCTGTGCTGTAGTTGTAGAAGTCAAAGACAATGGGAGTGATAACTGCCAAGTAGAGAGCCTGACAGGAGAAAAGAGGTTGGTGTTTGTGTGCATGAAGCCTGGGAAGAACAGCTGGGCACTAGCAGCGAGAACAAACCAGGACGGTGGCTCCAAAGGAACTGCCGAAGATGAACAGGGTGCCTCCGAGACCCTTCAACGCTATGGTGCCAGCGACTATATACTTTATCTGAGAAATAAGGGAGAAGGGTTTTGCCTCGTCAGACATAATTCCAGGAAGATAGCTCAGTAATGGTGCAGGAGGGCCCTTACTTCAATTTCCGGCACATGGAGCCCCGCATGTGTGTAGATGTGCTGAAAAGCGCGGTCAAACTTGGGCTTCAAGGTCTTGGCTGCCGGGCCTCCGTCAACTCCAAATTCATTAAACCTGTGAAGAAATGGTAGGCATGTATGTTGTTACCATTGATACGAGGCTTAAACTAGAATTAAATTATATGGAAAACCCATATCATAGCAAACGGAACACCACGCATGTTCTTTATCTGAAAAAGTTGGAGAAGGGAATTAAAACATGATTAAAATGAAACAAATAGCAGCTATGATCGGTCAATGGAGCGAGAACTGTGTCCAAGGCAGAACGGTGAGCAACTAACATTGACCACAAAAGAAATTGGTGGGGGACAAAACCTTTTAAAGCAGCATTATTAAGATTCAAGAGCCCTTAGAAATCTTTCCAACGAATAGAAGGACGGCAAAAACCATGAGACAAACGCAGCTGACTGGCCATCAAAAGAGATTAGTATGCTCCGAGTACAACCACGCATGGACATAAGTGCCCACCATCGCAGAAGGGGATAGCAATCAAATGAGTACACGATCCTCTCCAATGAACTCATCGTGTCTGGCAAATATTGATGGCAGGATGCATCTTCCAAAATATCAAGAAGACAGCGTGAGGATACATCTTCCAAAATGTGTCGTCTCAACACTCAGATCCGTAAGATATGAATATCCTGTTCGTTTCATGTTCGGCAAGCGTGAAAATCATTAAAATGATAATTTAAACTCTGTTTGATCATTTATAGTTGTCCGTTTGACAATGTAGCCTAGTCTTTCCGTTTTCCTGGGAGAGTTTAGCTCTGACTTTTTCTTGGAGCGTGGAAATGTGTAGTTACTATTATATAAAAAATTAACAAAATGTATAAAACACATTGTTTAGTAAACCTAAGATTTCCACTGTTTCTCTCTGAGAGAATGAATCATTATCGTCTGAAATCAAATTCGAAGAAGATAAACAATGCACCAAAAACTGTCTAAGCCACCCGTAATAGAGTGATTCAGATCATAATTGATTGATTGGAATATCTACCAGTCGATACCCAAAACAGTTGCCACAATGCCTCAACACAATCTGCATGATGATTCAGAGATTCAGACAAAGCCGAAATAATATTTACAACCATTCCTACTAAGAAAACTTCGATGAAGGTCAACATAATATACAGAAGATTCAGCAATGCATATTCATATACGTCAGAGTGATTCATAGACCTGGGACCAACTCCCTCCTATAAGTTACAATGTAGAAAGAAACAAGAGAAGACAATGGAAAGAGACATAAGCAGATTTCAGATGTTAGAGAGTTAAACACAGCCCACTTCTTTTCTTTGTCAATGCATTGTCATACAGTAACCGATATGCTGCCCAGCTAAGGATCCAAGAGAGTTAAGTTCGACAGAAAATAACTCTCAAGGTGATCTGTGAAAATCAACCAACATAGAATAACTTTCTGGATCAATCTGCATTGATATGGTAATAATTGGCCCCAAAAAAAACCGACCTGATCACTGCCTTTAAATGGATTGAGATGGATTTTGAAACAATATACCCCAATCCAACCGGGAATTAATAATTTTCAATAAAATTAGAATAAACATCAGGATTGGCTGTGACTGATTAATCAGAAACAGGATTGGAAAAGACAAATTTATTGAAGGAAGAATGTCCGGTTTGAAAATTATAAGGGACTTCTATGAGGATACATTGATAAAGTGCACGCATACATACTAAAAGAAGGCTTTTCCTGATGAATCCAACTCTTAGCTATTGTTCCGCCTAAACTTGTCTCACATCAGCAAAAGCGAAAAATGGAAAGCCTGCAGTCAATGGTAGAGATGAAAGGTGATTGGCAGCACTAGGCAGCAGCAGCTGTGGTTCACTCAAGAGTTTTTCTTCTTCCTTCTCCACACTTCAAGCAAAATATTTGGCATGGGAATATCATTCAATCACAGAAGTACCATAGAAAGCTATCTGATCAAAATGACGCTGGACTAGAACCGTGAGACAGATCAGAAACTGGTAGATCGGGGTTTGATCAGATAATTTTAATTTGGAATAGGCTGATTCATGACCATACTAAATGTTTAAAAATCATCAAGGTAACAGCACAGTGTTGGCAACCCCTAATCCCGAAAAAAATTCGCACTGACGATTCCAATCCGACTGAGGCTGGATTTTTAAATGATGAAACCATATTGGCATAGATCTATCTAAATACATGGAGTTATTATATATTAAATAAAAACATAGATTCTGGGTATTCTTTAAAAAAACATATGTAAAATAGGCAAACACCTAAACAAGTGACGTGAAAATGAGCGGTGAAAATTATTCATAGTTTGTTTGCCTTAATTTGACTTAATCGGATCTACACTTATTCCTTTGACAGCGCAGGAACAGCAGATCCAGACGAAGCGTCTTCAAAACGAAGAATTAACGCAAATGGTAAAACTAGGAAAAAGCCATAGTCGCCAAATTAGAGACGATCCATACGCATTGGAGGAGATTGGTCATAAGAAACATCGTCTCAAAACAGAAAAACGAGAGCAAAGAGAACACCTTGAAATCATAAGTCTGATCTGAAGTCCAAGTGCCAAAAATGGAAACGGAAATTTTCGCATCCCAGTAGTCGCACCACTCCAAACAAAGCAAATGGGATATTGGCTGAAAGAGATCACGCGCAGAGCTCATCCTTGCAGCTACCGCGTGATTGAAGCAAGCACGCAAACAATTGATCCAGGAGAAACCGTGAAACCCAAAATGAAATCGCAAGAATATGACCCTTCGTTGAGTCAATCGAAGATCTCGAAGGACAGAAGCCCTAACATTCACACCGTTACAACCGGCTTTATCAAACTGCCTCAGTAGAAAAATTAAACAAAAATAAGAACCACGTAGCTTGCCAATCACAGAATACATCGCAGATCAACAAAAGGGAGAAGAAGGTGGCATACTCCTGGTAGGCGGACAGAAGGAACATGGAGGCGAACAGCACCCTCCCTACGAAGGAGACGAATCCCATTCCGATAATATCTGAAGCAGAGTAGGCACGAGGGACGGATGTATCAAGAAAAACCCGATCTCGCCTCCCTCTGTGCAGATCCTTCTCCCCCTCGGAGGACCTGGAGGACCGGGAAGCCGCACGGAGAGAGCGAGCGAGCGAGCGAGAGTCAGAAAGAGAGAGAGAGTCCGGTCTCAGTACAGCAGCGGACTTTCTCTGCGGAAGAGGTAAAAGGGCAGTTCGGGGAGAATAAGTGGCGGCAGGCAAGTTTCGCAGATCACCGAAAACAAAAACGCATGTATTTATAAATATCTACCAGATTGCCACTAAGCCCTTCCTCCCCGCAGTCATGTCGATGACGAGTTGACATTTCGAATTTCGGCGACCCGCGCCCCGGCGACTCGTCGACTCTTCTAAACCCACCGACGTCTCAACCCACACCACATTTTATTAAAATAAAATAAAATAATATGTTAAATATATATTTTACTATATATGTATTCAAATGTCCTGACCAATAAAATTAAAAAAATAATTAATTAAAAAACGAAAATTCTAAAAATGCACTAGGTGATTTGATGGGCCGTTTAGGCGCCGACCGGCCCAGTTTTTCACTCCCGCTACAATAGGGGATTACTCTTTTATGTTACGGTCTGGGCTTTAGATAAAGCCCGGAGTCTGTATGGGCCCGGCCCGCTCCCCCAGCTGGGGTAGAGGTATGGGTTGTTTTTTTTTTCCATTAAAGATAAAGGAAGAGAGAGAGAGAGATAGAGAGAGGTCGTGGGGCCCTCCACGCGAAATTCAACGCATTGGTTCTTCGGAAGAGGGATTGTAGCTGCAGATGGCTGACCGGAACCGGCTCCCCGAGGTCGTTCATCTCCGCCGCTAGAACCTTCCGATTCCGTCTTCTACCCTACCTCGGAGGACGCCTCCTGCAGAAGAGCCCCACCCTCTCTCTCTAGAGCTCTCTGTGTCTCCCTTGGGCACATTGCCAGGATCTTTGTCGGCACCTGGAGGATTCGGGGACCAATCTTTCTGGTGACGCCTTCAGGCTCGCTTTCTGGTTCCAGAGGGCAGAGAGCTGAGGGAAATTAATTCCTGGAAGTATATGTATGCATCTCGCCTTCGGATTATGACCGCTCGATTCCGCTTCAACGGCGAACGCCTGGGATTTTGACTCGGAAGGGATTATCCGGTTTTAATGGATCAACACTGAGCCTCCGGAGCTATTTGTGATGAGCAGGATGTATCTGTTTCATTGTTGGGGGAATTTCAGGGCAAATTGATGATACTGCATTTGGAGGTCAGATTCTCGTAAGATGAAGGACTTCCCTGGGACTCCGGGGACATTCAGCAGTCTCATCTTCCGGATTTTGCAGTCGTTGTTCGCAGCCGGCTCGATTGCTTCCATGGCCACCTCGCCTGGCTTTTCATCCTACACAGCTTTCTGGTACTGCACCTTTCCCAATTTCTGCCTCTGCCCTTGGTTATTTCTTTGAGGATCCTTTAATTCGTATAATTCAGTCACTATCTAATGAGTTTAGTTAGTGATTTGCAATCCATTCTACCCGGCCGAATCCATAAGATCTCACATTCTTTTTCCGTCCGCCGAGGTTCAGATTGGTTATTATTTGATCACGTTTCATGCAAGGTGCAAGATTACCAACTCCTATAAGGACTCGCACCTTCGCTTTCAACTGATAGGACATGGATATCCTGATAGTTGTCCTCTAGGTTTGTGATAGAGAAATGTATGTTTCAAACGAGTAATCAGGCTCAGACTTGAACCTCCTGCAGTTTTCAGATAGGAAAAATGATACACCAACCGATGATATCTTCTTTCGACATGATGGTAGAATGCCTGACATGTTTAACCTTGGATTATCATCGTTGGCTACCTGGTTTTACATCTGTGCCTGAGTCCTCCCAAATTACTGATAAAATATGTTTATATCACTTTTTTTAAAAGGATGAGGAATAAGCAGTATTTGAAGTAGCCCCTTCCCTTCACCCACGCAAGAAAACAAAGAATATTATCGATCCTGTCTCATTTATCATATGAACTCGCTTGTGGGGTGGTAGATAGGGGAATCACAGAAGAAATCTTGGGAGAAAGGTATGTCCCTTTGTTATACAGGATCTTGACATGTTTCATTATTGGACCTAGTTTGCCAATATCTTTCTCTATTCACATTCTTGAAATATTGTGCTTATTGAGGGGCCAATAACCACCTGTCCAACAACGCCAGTAACATCAGGAATGCAGAGTCTAGGACCTCTCCAGTATAAGCCCAATGATTTTGTATTCTGAAATTGATTGCTATTTAATCTGGGTGAGTAGGTCATGCCCCAGAATGTGAGATAACTTTAAAAGGTGATATTCTCACTAATGTGAATAGTTCTTATCATCAAAGTGCATTGTCATGAAAATTTTCAGACGTACGTATCCATTTTCAGGGGTTAATTTTATTTTACAAGTTCCACTTGCTTATAAATCGAAACTTTTTTTATACCTGAAGCAGACTTTTACTATTGGGGTGAAGAGTGGAGAAAGGTTCCTTCTGTGATGCTGCTCCTTGTTTAAGCTATGAAAACTGTACATAGGAGATGTTAAGAACGAAGATGTGTAAAATGCATAACCCATTAGAATAGGTGCGCAAGAATAATATTCCAAGGAAAATGTTTTTTTTCTTATTATGCAGTATATTTAGGTTGGCCTGCGTTGAAGCAAAAATGAAAGACCGACATTAAATATGTACCTAACTACCCATTCGTGACCATCAAGGATAGCTGGTCATCAGATAACCTCACCAATCTTTGGATTCAACAACCTGTTAATAGGAAAAGGCTTTCTAGGGAAATGATGTTAAAACTACCCAAAAAATGCATATTTGTTTTATTTATGATTAATTGGGTTTTTGGCAATTCGTGTACTTGTGTCCAAACCAACTCTTTTATGATTTATCAGGGTTTGAGCCAATCCATTGGTAGCCCTACAGTTTATGCAGCCTCATGAGTATATATGACATGCTGTTTGGAAAACTTCTGGGTATCATCTTTTTATTTCACAATGGAGGATTCTCTCATTTGTAGTGACATTAGATCTGTAGTGAACCTGATTTGAAATTATACCTCAGAGATACTTAGGAAACGACACCACCTGTGGTAGCTCTGTTATCTCTTCTCCCACTTCTCTCCCTGCTCTTGGAAATTTTCTGCTCATATGTACACCACCTAGTGTACATACCCATTTCTTGCTGAGTGGAAAACATCTATACAATTTCAAATTTTATGTTCTTAACTCCTTTGTTGATCTCAAGTTTCTTCACCAACTACTGGATTGACACTTTGGGTCTGAGTAATAACGGTTTATGAGCCCATGGATTATAACTCGATATGTGCCTAGAACAAACCAGAGTGAGCTGTTTCCAGTCTTCTACCATTGTGAATCAGAGGACAGGTATTATTCAGTGATACTTAGTTCTATGTGCGCCTCTCTGGAAGCCATTTCCAGTCGGAAACTAGTTCTAGAAAGTCATATAGGGGAATAATGATACTAACTAAACTTAGTAATGGGGCAACCCCACAAATATTCTACAAAGAACATTTTATTGATTGAGATCATATCTTTCAATCATTGAACTGCACAAACGTAGCATGATTCGTGTATAATCTTGTGTTACTCAGATGTATGACTGCTACTCTCTCTCTCTCTCTCTCTCTCTGATCAATCTTCTCTCTGGTTTCTCACCTCCGTCCATCATGTTTCACCTTGCAGCTACCTAATAGTATCCATGGCTCTGCAATTTATATGGAGCTTGGGCCTCGCATTCTTGGATCTTTACCAGCTGGTGAAGAAGACCGACTTGCACCAGTCCATCTTAGTGAGCCTCTTCGTCGCCGGCGACTGGGTAACTAACTCACACCCATCCTTTCTTCTTGTGGATCGTTTCCTTTTCCTCAAGGCTCCATTGTAGTGGCATCAAGCGACCCCGGTGTATACAACCCCAGCCCAAACACCTTTCATAGAAAAGCACAAAAACGGGCTCTTGAACATAAACCCTCCACACTAACTTATTTCATAGGTTCAGATGGCCACGTGTGTTCTCCTCGGAAAGCCATGTGGCAGAAATTGGCATGGACCTCCAATTTCGGGCTCATTGTTGAACCACAAATTATAGAAACAAACAACCGGGCCGGGCTCAGAATTACCCCTCCCAGCCCAATTATTGACAATGGAAATTTTACTTCCTCAGGTCACCGGAATGCTGTCCCTTGGGGCAGTGTCTGCCTCGGCGGGCCTGGCAGTCTTCTTCAGCAAGGACTTGGATTTCTGCAAGGTGGTCCCTTGCTGGAACTACCAGCTGGCAATCTCCCTTGGTTTTTTTAGCTGGTTACTTGTTTGGTTCTCCTCTCTTGTTATGCTATGGCTTTTGGCCACTGGCTAGTTAGTAGTAGGAATGATTTAATGTCACCGCTTGTGAGCAATTCTCTTTCACAAAAAAGGGTGGATGTGCAATATTATTATATATGTAGATACGGTTGTATTATAATTGGTTTTCCAGGACTCAGATTTGAAAAAATAAATAAATGATTTTTTTATGATGGTTCGTGTGACTTCAGAGACCCTGTTTCTTTTCATCACAAGTTCTAGAGAACATTTAGCATCTTTACTCAATCATTTCCTTTTGATGTATAGTTAGTTGTTAGAGCTACTTAATGTTCTCTAGAACTTGTGATGAAATTTCTTGGTTCTTAGATGGTTTGATGAATTTATTTCTCTTTTTTTGCTAATTATTAAATTCTTGTAATCTCTTTAAAATAAATTCTTTTTCTTAGTTTAAAGAATTGACGAGAGCTTGATTATTACCACAAGAATTTAGAGTGTTTCGCCTTGGCCTAACTCCACTTCCCAAGTCAATTGACTTTAGATTTACATTAATTACAACTTACTTCTGGGCTCAATTTCCCTTTACACCATGAACTCTTCAAGTCTATGTATCCATGTTATAAGTCATACTTACAGCAGCTTTTACCTAGATGTAAGCACACCACATATCTCATTCTATATTCAACACCCCACATGTGTTTGTGAAGGACTTCAGCTCACTCTATGAACTCTTGCTATTGTTGAACTCACCATTAGAGTTGAACTGATCGATCTGGCACACGACAAGTGTCCATCGATTGACTAAGTGCATCACAGGTACTTAACAGGTCACCACTCACAAGACGAGTAAAAGTCTTCTGCTTAAGCACCCCACAAGTACAACATGGATTTGTAATCACGCCACGTGTTTAGGGACCGACCAAACTCAACACAAGAGTTGGTCCTTTGATAAAGCACATCACATACACTCCACAACAAATACAAATAATATCTCATAGTAGAACATAAAAACACAATATCAATTGATGTGAGCTTGATTTTGTTCTTTGTTTGTTAATACTTTAATGAGGAATAATTTCATAGTAGCTTTCACTCTTAGGGATGACGAAGTTTTGGTAAGATTGAAATGTGAGTGAGTTGGAGATTGAGGAATGTCATAGTTGATAATGTGTTATCTTTGTTTTTTATCTTTTAATATTTTATCAAAGGTAATCTAGAATGGGACAAGATGGTTCTTTATAATCTTAGTCTCTTGTGTCAAAATGGTTGTCTAATGGCCTTACATTCTGCTAGCAGATTCTTGAATTTCATAAATACACATTAATCTTATAAAACTAATATTGATTCAATATTTTAATAATCTATTATGGAGTTTGTTGCTTTCGACTCATTCAAAGATCTTTATATTAGTTACTCACATGTTAGTTGAATTCAAATGTTAATACTTGTATATAGAATAATGACATATTTATTTTGTATAACCTTTTTATTCTATATACACTCACACATCTTTGAAAATATTTATTAACAGTTAAAATCATCAATTTGATCCATTTTATATCATGTGAGGTCTCTGCAAGGACTTTCAATACATATATGTAGCTATAATCAAGATTTTATTCTCTTAATCAATATTTATAATCCAATATCATCGATTTTCATGATTTCAAAATGCTCTAAAAATCAACAAAAAAATATTAAATTAATCTATAACTTAACATAATTCTACTCCACAAAAAGGGTGTATGTGCATTTATTATTAGTTATATAGATACAACTATATCTTAATCGGATTCTCATAAATATTTGAAAAAGAATGATTTTTTTATGGTGGTTCTTTTGACGTCTAACACCCTATGTCCTTTTATCATTATTTATTAGACAACAACCAACATGTCTATAGTGCCCAATGGAGAAAAGAGTATCAATGGGCCTTTTATGAGGCCCATAATCTGGATCCCTAGTCTTGTGGCCGGCTGCTTTGGTCGGATTAAGCATCAATGGATCTGGGCCAATTTTCATTCACTTGACTTTATTTTTAGAGCCCAATCCACCCTCCAAATAATTAGAATCACATAATACGAGGGCCTCATGATGATCAGCCGCAAGTGGGATGCATGTATAACCTAGCAAGATATTAACATCAAATGAACAGCAGCAGCTCATATTCATCTCTACAAGTCAACCCATGCAGAGCCTCGGGAGCTGCTCTCATGAGTAGACCCTCCAAGGGTTGACCGCCGTCTTCACTCGGCTTCAGCCAGTCTCCGCCGCAAGGCCTCGGTGTCTGATGTCTTGTTGACACTGCACAAGAACGCGCCGCTTGGGAAGATCAGACAAGCATGATCGGTTTGAAACTACTGCAACAGCGGGGTTGATGATTGAAAACACGGGTAACTTTTTAGGAGGCATTTGGTGGAGATTCTAACGAGAAAATCTTCCCTTTTTTGGAAAATCAGTCCGTCGGATACCACAAATTCGGGTGGAGAAGCATACCAGAAGAGGAAGTCGCCACTGGAGGCCGTCTTTCCGGAGATCCAATCAGGGACCAGTTCTTGTAAGAGACCGAGCTGTTCTTCAACCTCTCCTGCAAATTTGGAAGCAGGCAATGCCGTCAAGCCCACTACAATCCACTGCACACTTTTCAGAAACAGATGGCTGTTAAGAGTCTCTTACTTCGGTCGACGATCTCGCATTGGCTTGAAATTATCTTGTGAATGAGTTCTTGCCTAGTGATGACTGAGCACTTGGCCGACTGGAACAGTAGCAGGACGGTGTTGAAGAGCCTGGGCAGGCAAGAGAGCATGTTCCGTCTCCTCTTTGAAGCTGCCATGCCCGCTTCCTGCTCCTCCCGAGTTCTCTTCTCCTTTTCTCTAACCTGTCAGAGTTCCCAACAAGTAAATCCTTCCATGCTTCATCCCAAACAGTACAGGGAACCCATCTCTACCTTTATTCTGATACATGTGGCAATTTGGGCACAGAGGATGTGTGCGCGTGTGTAGAGAGAGAGAGAGAGAGAGAGAGAGTTATTACCGACTGTAAGAGGGCCTTTGGAAGGAAGTGAAGGACGCTTTCGTCTGCAACCTCTGTTTCTTCCTCCTGGGGTATGGCTCGCTTCACTGGAGTATGAAATAGCTTGGTCCGAGTGGGGCGCCTATGGGACTTGAGGGCATTGGAACGTTCACCATCGCCTGGCTGGTCTCTCCTGGGAGTTTGCAGCTGCGGAGTGGCAGTCATCAACATCTTCGGAGTAGACATGAGCTTAACAGGCGTTCCTTCTAAATCATCCACACATTTAGCGGGGCAGTCGCCAGTTCTCGCTGGCTCTTCTGCGGAGGTCTGAACTTTGCCAGAGCTTTCTGGGGGTAACTGAGTATCAGTGGAGATGGGTGAAGACGAACTCCTGCTGATCGGTGGCCTTGGAGAAGAATTAGGGAGAGCAGATTGGCTTCTTGTAGTCGGAGGTGTTGCCGGAGAAGGCCCGTCGGCAAAACGCGTCAGCAGATTGTTCTCTTGACCGGAAAGACAATCCTTCCGAGAGAAGTGCCTCCTGAAGGACCCGGGTATGTGGGAAGGCACTTGCGTTGCCGGTTGCTCTTGGGAAGAACTGACAAACGGTAGATCACCGCGGGAGGTCTTTACTGGAATCGAGTCCGTAGGCGACGGCGAGAGAATGATTCCTCTCGTGTGATTGAATGGTTCCGGTAGTTCAGCTTCAGGAACATCCTCCCCCTGATGAATTTACCAAAGATGAGAAAACTTGTCGAAAGATGGGCCTCGGAACAGAAGACAACAGAGCATCAGGGGATTCGAGATTTAAGATGAAGAAGAGTAGTCGTACATCTGGGTGTTCCTTGGAGAACTCGACAAGCCTGGATCTAAACACCTGGCTCAGCTTGTGATACCCACTACGCTTCTTCTGTTCATTGCCGTCTTCAAAGGCATCGATTTGCAGGACGACTTGGAGGTCCGGCTTGATGCAGCTCGTAGGCTCATCGTGCGTGAGGATCTTCTTGATGCAGATCGCTTCTGGTAGAATGTACTTGAGTTGGGCCAGATGTCCATGAGAAAACCTCCTGAAACATTCCAGCGAAGACTATTTATTAAGTTTCACGAGAAGAATTTCCCAAGAATGTAGCAACTCGGTGATTTCTACCTGTTGGTCAGAGACTCCACTTGCGGACTGATCTTCGAAAAAGAAGACAGGTAGCCTTTCAGGCGGAGCAATCTGATCGACGATGTCAGTGAGTTGAAGAATTCCAGCAGAATCTCACACCTGATCACAACGAGATTAGATTTCAGGACCAAGGACCAGTATTAATCTGGGGGAAGAAGCACGGCTGACTACTTCACAAATAGATAAATGAATAAAACGTGCGAAGAAGAATTTCGTTTGCAAAAATTTGTATACATATATACATAACGAGAGAAAGATAGCGAGTAAAATCCTAGAGAAAGAAACCGATAAATCTTTCAGATAAATAAATTACAAGGATAACGAGACAGACCAAAAGCTTCCTTCTTCAGATCGAAGCGAGACTTGTAGAAGTCCTGAAATCGGCGGTTCGGCTGAGGTTTTTAATTCAATGAGAACGCCAAAGAGAGTGTTCTTACGTTTCTGTGAGTCTGGGGACGGGTTTCGACGGGAGCCGCTTCTGAACACTTTCAGCGATCGAACCAAACGCAGCGTCCTTCTCCGCGGACCGAAGAGTCCTGGATTTCTCTGTCCGATTGGGTGAGACCCCGTGGGGCTGCTGGAGGCTCGCGGCGACCTTCCTCACCTCCTTCACGGAAAAGGCAACGCCACGGTTCCTGATCCGCCTTGGCAACTCCGCCGGCTTCTCCGGCGTCACGATTTCTTCGGAAATCGACGATTTCGTCGTCGACGACGCCGCCGCAGCCGCCGCCGCCGCCGCCGCACTGGGTGAGAAGGCCTTCTCAGGCGTGGAGGAAGAAGACTTCCCCCTCTCGGATGCTCGACCTGAGGAGACGAGATCCATTGGCGAAGGTTCGATGAAGGAGGCCACCAAGACTGCGAGGAACGAGACGAAGAAGAGGTTGCAGACAAGCCTTAGGCCAGGACGCGGGAAGGTATAAGCCCCGGGTTTTGGCGGGAGCGGTCGTCACCGGCGGGAAACATCCCCACTGGGCCACGTGGAACGACGACCACCATCGACCCGACCGCTAACCCTAAAGATCGTGCGGTTGGCAATAGAGCAATGTGCTGACGTGGCCATACTCGACTAATCCAATCCGTCGCGAACACTCGGTTATTATAAGATCCAGACTCGGATATCTAGGCCCAAGAAAACCCAGTAATGGGCTGTCCTCAGTGCCCGTGAATATCAGGTGGAAACGGAAATCGGGCCCGGTGTGCGAATGGGCCCAGTGAGCCCGCCAGGGTTGACCCGATTCTAGTCCTATCCATCGTTGGGCCCGGACCATATCCCATCCCGAATGGACCCAGATTTCCGATAACGACGGACCTGGTCCCACCCCCCCTCTTCAGTTCCCATCAGCTCGAGGCAGCAAGTGGGAAATAATCGAAAAATCATAAATAAAAATTAATGAAAAAATACAAGTGTGTGCATTTAAAATCGTGCACGTGTATATTAACATGCTCAGACCAACGACAGTGGAAACTGAACCGAATTCGTTAGCCTTTATCTGCTTACGTTATGCAGACGTATGAACGAACGGCTTAAACCTCTCTCTCTCTCTCTCTCTCTCTCTCTCTCATCTTCATTAACCTGTTGCTGGCGAAGACGGTTGAACCCTCCCATCTCATCCATGACGTGGCCCAAGGCCATTCGATATCTTGAACGGTGTCCTCACCAACGGTCAGCGGGGGGTCTAACTGGTGACGCATGTGTGACGTCATCTACTTGTACATGATTCCCGTTCCAAGAAGAGTCCGAATTTGTGAACAAATCGATAATTAATTCGTTATATATATCTATATATATATATATATACATATAGAATGTAGCCATATCATCATAGTCCAAACCCAACCATCAAAGCGCTCAATAAAGGATGAGATGGGAGAGAGGGGGAGGGGTGGGATATGAGAGAGAAAGAGAGATATCACGAGTGATGATATTCGGGTTGAAATACTGATAGAAGATATTCAAAAAGGAAAGGAAATTGGTCGTGGAGAATGAGAGCTCAGGATCTAAGTTTGGATCCCGTTGACTTTATTATGAGATGTTGAGAGTGAGATTCTTTGAGGAGATAACTTAGCTTTGCATCAAATCAATTATTTATTGATGACAATAAGTTTATAAAATGTTAAACAAAACAAAGAGGAGATAGTATGGGTCACTAGGGATCGAAAAAAACCCTTATTTTACATTCACAACCTTTAAAAATTATTAGTCTTTTCGTCTCAAGAATGTGAAAATCATCTTCAATTATTGAATGATGTGAGCTTTGTAGCACAACAACGTAACACATTTTTTTTAGAGATATTTCCGAAGTGAATAGTTTTTCAACCACTTGCAATAATTAAATTTCATGATAGATATATTGGTATTTTAATATTTATATTTCTCAGATATCTAACGAATGTGATTAATTATGGTCAAATAAATATTTTAATCGTCAGCAATACCTAAATAGTATGGGGATTCCTCATCATTTTTATTTTTTTTGTTACTAATGACCTCTTAACTTAAGGAGTCAACTCCAAAGGACTTAAAAACTTTCTATTTTTGTATGGTTATGTATCTAAGAGCTAATAGATGTCAACTCCCCAGATTTGCACCCTTTTTCTTCCATGCAAGACCCAAGTGCAAATGTCAACCTTATGAATACCAAATTGTGTTCCAAACTTATTTTGGGGGAAGAGAGGGGGAGTGAAGATGTAAACAGAAGAAATAGAGTCAAAGGCCGTGAGGAGGAAGTAGTCAAAGGGATGAATATGATGCTGGTGCTGATGGGGGGTTGACGTCATTTTGGACAAGAGGTGGCGTTGACAAGGAGGCCCTTTTGGTTCTCCTCAACAAACGTTACTAGAAGAAACTTGGGACAAACAAATAGTCAACAATTTAGTATTTTATGAAATAATTAAGCCAATGGACTAACAAGTGATGAACAATAATTGGGAGAAATTAAAAAAAAATGTATTTTTTTCTCAAGCTAGGGCATGTGAAATATTTACAGCAATTGTTTTTTCTCTGCATTGAACGGTCCATAGTCAAACTTGTGAGGGCAATGAGGACTCTACGTGCTTCTTGCAATGAGGCAATCGATGATGTTTGAGAGCTGAATCCGCGCCTTTCAATGTGAATAGTAGATAATTTGGTCTGCCGTCTTCCATCGAGTAAGGCACCAGATCTGGTCAAAGGAGGAGGTATTGGGCAGGTGGAGGGGATTTACCAATAGCCAGGTGGCCTCGAACATAAAGGAAAAGTCAAAGGGCCGAGGCTTTCCCGATTCGGCCCCTGGTGTTATATAGTCCACGCATCGGAGATAGACTGATAGAGAGAGAGAGAGAGCGAGAGAGGGGGCGGCGCTGCCTCCGCGAGACCGATCATTCGTATCAGACTAGTCAATTAACCCAACGAAGCGACGCGTGGCAAAAATATGTATATCAACATCCGTACTCTTGGTTATACGTGGCAAACCCTCGGGCTTCATCTCGCGGACCCTCCCGCATAGGACGTCACTCGAACAGTGAGTCTAGGGGTTCCCCAGTCAACTTTCCTCGACGACTTCAGATCTGCCCTAAATAATTTGACTTGGTGTTCTCCTTGACCAGATTTCCCAATGGCTGCAGTCTGACCCCGAGAATTGTCGCTGTTCAGCTCTCTCTCTCTCTCTCTCTTTACTCGTTCGAAAGCGTCGGTCGTAAAAAGAGACGGTCAAGGAGTCCCAGGCGGCGCTACAGAGCTCGTACTCATTATACAGCCTGATAAGAAAGGTCCACGGACCTCCGCTTGGAGGGAAAAGTCAACCACAAGATTCCACCAATGGCATCCTCACACATGCGCGCAGCCTTTGTTTTGTCGTTTTGCAATCCTTAAAGGTGGGACCCGATCCGGATAAACCCAAATTAATTACAAAAAATAATATCAGAGATAATTAAGCACCGTTTATTCGAATCTGACGTCGCCCTCGCCGAGCGCCATTTACTTTGGCGGTATTTGTTCCGATCCAGACGTCCACTGAAAAAACATTGAACCACTCCGAGCTCTTGTCCTCATTTATCGGGTATTTTTATTCCCAAAATAAAAAAAATATCCGCGCGTAAATACCTGGCAGCGAATAATTGCGTCAAAATTATTCACGGAGGTCTTGGAGATGTATTTCTTACGTTCGGACACCGAATTCTGACGTCATCACCTTTTTTGCCAAATCCGGGGCGACGACGTTTGACGCGGTCCAATCGAGTAGGCCAAGTTGAAGCGGCAACCTGGGGTTCCTCTTTCTACGTGTCCCGAGTAAGGCTTGCCAGCGCACAGGCAGAAGAGGCTACCGCCGCCGAAGGTGGGCCCCGCACTGGTCGGATGAGTAACACTGATGGGCCCCATATTTTCGGGTATTTAAGGGCCCGTCTGGGAATCCACTGGACCAAAGAACATCTCCAGCGAAGTAGGGGAAGAGAGAAAGAGAGAGCAAGAGAATGGGCTCCTTCTTCCCGTCGACGAGCAGCGATCGATCCTCAGAGTTCTCCGGGGGATCGCCGGAGACCGGCTTCTGGTATCCGGATGAGTCGCTACCGTTCAACGAGAACGACCCGGAAGAGATGATGCTCTTCGAAATGCTGGCGGAGGCCGACGCCGGCATCTCCTACGGCGGCGGCGGCAGCGGCAGGGAGGAGGAGGAGGAGGAGGAGGAGGAGGAGGAGGAGACGGAGTCCGGCGCCGCCACCAAGGATAGATGCTACAGAGGAGTGAGAAAGCGTCCGTGGGGGAAGTTCGCGGCGGAGATAAGGGACTCCACACGGCACGGCATGAGGGTCTGGTTGGGCACCTTCGACAGTGCCGAGGCCGCCGCGCTGGCTTACGACCAAGCGGCCTTCGCCATGCGCGGCGCCATGGCCGTCCTCAACTTCCCCGTCGAGCACGTGGTGGAGTCACTGCGGGGGATCAGGTGCTGCGGCGGCGAGGAAGGGGGCTCGCCAGCGATAGCCCTCAAGAAGAGGCACTCCCGGCGGAGACGGTCCTCCGGCAGGAAGGGCGGCGTCGCCAAGGCGAGGAGGGTTGCTGTTGTGGAGCTCGAGGACCTTGGAGCTGACTACCTCGAGGAGCTTCTAATGGCGTCGGAGGGCACTGTACCCTGGTGATCCCCCCCCCTCCCTTCCCTCTTCATTGCAGGGTTTGACCTCCATTTTTTGTTCCCTCTTCTCCTTCTCCCCCGACTGACTGGGGATGCAAAAAGGACGACCATTTCGTCATTACTCCCTGCCGCCTTTGTGAGATACGTCAAATCTTTAGTCAATATGTTTAACGTTCACCCTCTGTCAACACAGATCCCCCAACTTGCCCTTCTATGCTCATCATACATACAACATAGAGAGAGAGAGAGAGAGAGAGAGAGAGAGAGAGAGAGAGAGAGAGAGAGAACAGAGCTGATCGGAATCTGCTCTGGACGTGGTCGGGCCGTTGACCTCGCTAATCCGAGTCGAGCCACAGAAGGTTTTCATCACGTCCCTGCCCAATTGGTTCCTCATCCTCTTCCTCGCGGAGGGCCACAACCGCCAGAGCCCCGTCATCACGATCTCTCGACGTTGAACCACTTTGCTTCGCGGCAGGTTCGTCGGCAGATCGTCCGCGCCAGCGGTCCAGGAAGATCGAAGCCCAGGTGGCCGCCGGCGGAGGAATTGAATTGCGGCGGGTCCCCTCGCCGGTCCAGTGAAGAACAGGAACTAGTCAGCGGCCTTCTCCGCTCGCCAGGTGGAGGGAGAAAAATTATTCAAATTCCTATGAACTTCCGAAGGGACTCCTTCCGTCACTGATCCCTACTTCTAGAAGGAGAGAGAGGAGGGTGCACGAGCGGCTAGTTTGACTGTATATGGTCCAGGAGAATCTGACAGAGTCGAGGTCAACGGTTTATGAGCTTTCGTTCTAGCCCAGTAGTCGTGGCCTTCTACCGCGGCCCAATAGTGTCTTTCGGCCCATCAGTGCACGCCGGGGACGTACGTCAGCGTACGGCATTTATCACGTCACTTGCTTATGATGGCTCCTCCGCTCGAGCAGGCTAAAAGAGTAAAATCTGTCCTTTTTATTGTTTAATATTTTCCTTGATGAATTGTTTTTTTTTATTTTCAGTTTTAATACAAATTAAATATAAATATAAATAATAATCATTTCCTAGAGGAACCGTTCGTCCGTGGAGAGAAGTAAAGGCAGAGACAAATCTTCGGAAGGCTGCTCCCGCATCTCTACAGCGAGAAAAAAAATCCCTTCTTCCGTCTTCTTCCTCCCCCTCCCCCCACCTCTCTCTCTCACTAGTCGTGGGGGAGGAAAGGGTCGCGCTCGCTTTTTCCATGCCCTTCGATGTGCGCCGAGAAGAGGAGAGGGGCGGGCGATCGGGGAGGGAGAGAGGAATGGTAGTTGAGGGCTTCATCTCTGCGAGGATCGGTGACCGGAGAAGGGGAAAGGCGGAGGAGAGAGGTCGTCTTTTTCCTCCCCCGCGACTTCCCTGACGGTGGAGGAAAAGCAATCTTCCGCTCTCCATCATCACCTTCTCCCTTTTCACCTCGATCCAGGGAATTGATCCGTTCTGCGAGGTGCGGAGGATAAGATGGATCCCGATGTTTTGGATAAGATAATCAGCCGGCTGCGGGATGCCGGGAAGACTGCGACCGGGAAGCAGGTTTGTCTATCGGAGGCGGAGATCCGGCAGCTTTGCGTCGTCTCTAAGGAGATATTCATGAGGCAGCCCAATCTCTTGGAGCTCGAAGCCCCGATCAAAATCTGCGGTTAAGTCTCACTGCCCCATCGCCCTAGATTACATCCCCCTTCTTTTCTGCGAATCCCCTGGTGACCACCAGCATCCGTCGCCACCATCGATGAATATGCTCAAGGGGCAGATAATTCTGATTTAATTTGGTCACCAAACTTGGTCTTCTGGGGAGCGATTTTGATTAATTACTGGATCCACTTCTGGGGCGACAGATTTTTCCTTCCGCTAGGCTGGTCAGTGTGATTATTTCTCTACTACTAACTACTTTTGGTAGCCCTAGAATCAATTTGTGGCCTGCATGTGACACATCGCTCGATTTTTCTCGGCGATTGCGACGTTATGTCACCCATTAGAAACAGAATCGCCACAGTATGAAGCAAGATCCGTAGGTGAGATCCTGCATCTAGACCAGGATTATTCGTCTGCACCCTGTCCTGTTTTAGAAATAGATGATCCATGTCATCTGGGCAACTCTGATCAATTCGGCATTAAAACTGGAAAGGCTTATTATAATGGCAAGTGATGTTTTTGGAAACCAAGTAAATCATTCCTATCCAGCTTAATCAGACATTAACAGTGCTTGCCTTGGTGTCGGCCTGATTCTGCATCCACATTGGTTACAATCATGATTAAGCGAAACTATATGGTATTCTGATTTGATCTTGAGTAGTACATCATTTTAAATTATTTTTTTTCCTCCAAAATTGGACTATCCAAGAAGTGAAGGCTAGATCTTGCTCTCTTGGGTCATTTTGGATTTTTATGAAATAGTCTTTGTGCAAGGGCTTGAGGTCTAGCTAGTCTTATCTAAATTTTTTTTCCTCAGGGTGAGCTGCTGTGGTCAATGCTAATCATTTTCTTGATTAACGCTTGTTTACTCTCTGTTCCAGCTGATATGCTTCCATATCATAAAACACGTGCCCAGAATTTTTCTTCATTTTACATGGTGATGTAATTGTGCCGTATTAGTGCGTAACCTTGCCATTCCATTTCTGTGTAGTTTTATCATACCGGTTCCCTCCATCAGGAACCCTGTGTCTGCTGGATGACATGGAACAGAGTTTTTAATTTTTTGTAAAAATATTTTTGTGAAGTACTGTTCATAGTTTAAAATGGAACGATTTATTTTTATAATTATTTTTCTAATGAGTATTATTTTTATAATATATATGTTCCATGAACATTTATTCTTTCAAAATTGACATAGAAACTCGCAGTACTTATTTTAATGTAGAACTCATAATCGCTATGCATTGTTCACTGGCGGCAAGGTGGGTAGCCCATCATGTTTGTCGATTTGAAAACGATGTTATTATCTCTTGCAATAAGTCGTCATCCTACCTGATGATGAACTTTCTCCCTAAATCATGCTCCTGATTGATTTCTTGGACGAACTTGCTAAAAGGTGGCCTGGCTCCTTCCCTCTTCTTTTTTTTTTGTTTTTGTTTTGTTTTCCTGACCTAAATATCAAATTCATTCCCCACGAAATGGTGACTGAGCATCTCCTTTCGATCCCATTTTCCATAAATATTTATGGAAAAGAATAGTTATTTGGATTAAGGTTCTGTATCAGGAAGAGTCAAATCATAATCCACAAAGCTGGCACTTTTGTAATCTCACATCTGAACTTAATCGGATGCAGGAGACATCCATGGGCAGTACTCCGATCTCTTGAGTCTTTTTGAGTATGGTGGGTTCCCCCCAGAGGCCAATTACCTCTTCTTAGGGGACTACGTGGACAGAGGGAAACAGAGCCTGGAGACGATATGCCTGCTCCTGGCCTACAAGATTAAGTACCCAGAGAACTTCTTCCTTCTGAGGGGCAACCACGAATGCGCGTCGATCAATCGCATATATGGGTTTTATGATGAATGCAAGAGGAGATCCAGCGTGCGGCTGTGGAAGATCTTCACTGACTGCTTCAACTGCCTGCCTGTGGCGGCCCTCATTGACGACAAGATCCTGTGCATGCATGGCGGCCTCTCTCCAGACTTGAGGAGCTTTGACCAGATTAGAAATCTGCAGCGACCCAGTGACGTCCCTGACTCTGGGCTGCTGTGCGATCTCCTCTGGTCTGATCCCTCCAAGGAGTTTGAAGGATGGGGGATGAACGACCGGGGGGTTTCCTACACCTTTGGCCCAGACATTGTCCGCGACTTTCTCGAGAAGCACGACCTGGACCTCATATGCCGAGCCCACCAGGTGGGCAATCAAAATTTCTCTCTCTTTCTCTCTCTTGAATCTCTTCCTGATGCAAAGGTTTCGTCTTTGACAGGTTGTGGAGGATGGGTACGATTTCTTTGCGGACAAGCAGCTCGTCACGATATTCTCGGCATCAAACTACTGTGGGGAGTTTGACAACGCGGGCGCCATGATGAGCGTGGATGACACCTTGATGTGCTCCTTCCAGATATTGAAACCTGATAATAAGAAGCTGAAGTTCTCTGGGAACGCATCTGGGAAGGTACGCTCGAGCTTTTTCTCCTGAATCCTGAAAGGTGTCCTGCCTGGTTTGTGCCATTGGGTTCGATCTTTTCCACATTTTAGAACTTGGCCCTTTTATAGTTTTGATGAGTGGATTTTTGATTAATCGATGGGAAATGAATTAGATTCGACTGTGTTCTGAATTTTCTGTGAATGAAGGAGCTCTCTGAATGTAGCATTTTGGTAAAACCTCCTGCAGAAATAGAGGACAGAGGGGGGATGGGGGTGGAGAGAGAGAGAGAGAGAGGAAAAGGAGGAAGAAAGAAAGCTTAAGGTTCAGAATTCTTCGTTCAGAAGGCTTATCGGCCTTAGCTACGCCTTTTACCTCTGAACTCTCCTTATCCAATGCATTCAGTCTCTTGATTGGCGGGTCCCTCTCTAGAATTGATTGAGAGATGTTACTGTCAAAGAAGAGAGAGAGAGAGAGAGAGAGGAGAAAAGGAGGAAGAAAGAGAGCTGAAAGCTCGCGACACAGGCTCCAATTCTACCTCCAGAAAACTCATCCGTCCGGTCTAAGTCGTTTATCTCAGAACATGCTGTGCCCGATGAATCAGTTCCTCTATAGAGTTGAAAGGGAGGCCGTGAGCGTCGAAGAAGAAGAAGGGGAGAGAGAGAGAGAGAAATAGAGAGACAGCCTAAGAGTCGTGTTTCTCCCATCGACCCAAGTCCAAACCGTTTTGCCTCAGAACTCCGTCTTACTTCGCATTCGTCGGCCCGAGCTCGCCGAACAGAAGTCGTTTACTTCGCATTCGTCTTACTTCTGTTCCTACTCTGACGATGAACTGCTGCTTGCTCTCCTCTCACGAGAAGCTTATCTTGATGCTGACAGCCCTCTCTCGGCCCCATAGCTTGAAGGCTCTTGACCAGCGGGCGAGCGAGCGACCCGCGGACATGGGCACTAACGCGGCTTCAGCTTTGCGCTGGATTCATCCAGTTTCTCTCTCCATCTCCGTTTCTCCATCTCTGTATACATTTACATATTCAACTGCGGTGAAGATCATTCGAGCGGAGATCGAACCAGAGAACAGATTGGGGATCTTCTTCTTCTTTTGTGGATTCGTCCGCCCATCGTATGAGCTCCATGGTTTCTGCGTTATTTGCATCAAAAACCTTCCCCGGGATTTATCTACCATCTGGTACCCCAGAAATCATGTGAATTAATTTCCCACGTATGCAGCCAGTGGCAATACTACTATTTCCGTTATTTTCCTCAATTAGAACCCAATATCAATGAGATTATTGTGATTTTCTCGGATGTATTTAATCCAGAAATTTAACTCGTATAAATAATTATAAAAATGATAATTTCCCCCAGAATATTTCGCTAAAATCGGAGGACTACGATGGCTGTCTGCGTTATCCCCTGAATCACTGCCAAATATCAGCTATAAATAATCGTTTTTTTAAAGAGATTTAATAAGAAATACGGCGATACTCTTTAAATGAAATTAAATAAATAGTGTTATTTAATTCAGCGATCTAACGTATTTGGCTGAATATTATCTCTATGGGTGTTATAGCAGCACGCACGTGATCTAGAGAGAGAAAGGGAGAGAGAGAGAGAGAGGGTTCTTGGGTTTTAAATTAGATGATAATTGTGATTTTCTCGGATGTTTTTAATCGAGGAATTTAACTCGTAGAAATAATTATAAAAATGATTATGTTTCCCCAAAATATTTCCTTAAAATGAGTTATCCCCTGAATCACTGTCAAATATCAACTCGATTTTTTAAGAAAATAGATTTAAATTAAAAAGGCGGTACTCTTGAAATGAATATATTTCGTGTTATTTATATTTTTTGATAATTATTTAGCTTATAACGTATTTTGCGAGAATAATATCGAGATGGATGGTGTAGCCACACGCACGTGATCTAGACACCTCCCGGGGTGCACGTTAGCCGAAACCGCTGCGAAAACATTATCCTCTACCGCCCCTAGGTCTAACAGTCTGAAACAAACATCACCCTCAGTTTTCTCTCTCTCTTCTCTCTCTCTCCAGAGATCGCCATAGCCGTTTCACCAGCGATCACTGCCGGCGAGGGAACCATTCCATTCGACCGTCCGCCTCATCTTCAATCCCCTCCGTGCTGTCCCCATGTAGTTAATGTGCCATGGGAGACCCTTCCTTTCCGTGGCTCTCTGCAATCTAGGGTTCCGTGGTCGCCTTCTTCGCCCTCTATTCCGACGCTTCTCCAGAGCTTCTCCTTCTCGCTCCCCGCCGTGAGGGGGGTTGGTGTTTATGGGCGAAGCTGAGGTGCCCGGGTGGCTCAAGTCCCTGCCGCTCGCGCCTGTGTACCGCCCCACCGAGACCGAGTTCGCGGATCCCATTGCGTTCATCTCCAGGATCGAGGAGGAGGCCGCCGGGTATGGCATCTGCAAGGTCATCCCGCCCATCCCCAGGCCCTCCAAGAAGTTCGTCCTGTACAATCTCAAGCGCTCCCTCTGCAAATTCCCCGAACTGGGCGATGTTGCCGACTCCGGGAACCCTACAAGTTCCCCAGGCGAGGCTGTGTTCACGACTAGGCATCAAGAACTGGGGTCTCGGCGGACTCGGCTAGCTGTGCACAAACAGGTGTGGCAGAGCGGTGAGCTGTACACTGTGGAGCAATTCGAGGCCAAGTCCAGGGTCTTCGCCCGGTCCCAGTTGGGCGGCGCCAAGTGTGATGACCCTGTTCTCGTGGAGGCGATGTTCTGGAAGGCCGTCGAGGAGAAGCCGACGTATGTTGAGTATGCCAATGATGTTCCTGGTTCTGGTTTCTGTTCCCCGACGGAGACGTTCCGGTGCTCCCGCTCCCCCCGCCAGCAGAGGCGGAGGAGGAACTTCAATCCGGCCGTCGGGAATGTGGCGGAGCAGCAGGATGACTCGCTCCCCGATAGCCAAGATGATTTGGGCCCCCCTTCCGTCGATGTCTGGGAGGGGTCGGCAGGCTGGAAGCTATCCAACAGTCCATGGAACCTGCAGATGATTGCGAAGTCTCCTGGGTCGCTCACCCGCTTTATGCCTGATGAAGTGCCCGGCGTTACCTCTCCCATGGTCTACATTGGGATGTTATTCAGCTGGTTCGCCTGGCACGTGGAGGACCATGAACTCCATAGCCTGAACTTCCTCCATACGGGCTCACCCAAGACATGGTATTCTGTGCCAGGAAGCTATGCGTCGAAATTCGAGGAGGCCGTGAGGATTCAGGGCTACGGAGGGCACGTTGACCCACTAGGTAACGATAGTGACTCATCTCAGCTGCGTGGACCTTTGCTGGACCAAACATCAACTTATTGTGTATCATGTTGGGTTCTTGTTCTTCTTATGGCAGTTTCTTTCACTCTTTTGGGTGAGAAGACGACTTTGCTGTCTCCAGAAGTCATTGTCCAATCAGGGATTCCATGTTGCCGGTAGATCTTCAATGCCTGACACAAAACTTTGACTCTGCTTTTCTATCACCATTTGACTTTACATATGCGGATACTTCGATCCTCTGGTAGCCTAAACTTATTATCGGAGATGGCTTGTTCTTCAGGTTAGTGCAGAATCCAGGGGAATTTGTGGTGACCTTTCCTAGAGCATACCATGTAGGATTCAGCCACGGTAATCCTTCATTTAGCCCTCTATTCTCTGCATATTGACTTTAATCCATTTCTCATTATTCCTCAATGATGATGGGGATCCTCAAACTTACTCAATTTTCTGTTCTTGTACGTATATTTAATTTGAATCCGACATCTGGATTATATTTTTACCTTCATATTCCTTTTTTCTATTTTTGTTTGCTGGAAGTGCCTTCACTCTCATCCTGAAATATCTCAATAAACAGGCTTCAATTGCGGGGAGGCTGCCAATTTTGCTACCCCAAAGTGGCTCCATGTGGCAAAAGAAGCTGCAGTGCGCAGGGCCACCATGAATTACCTCCCCATGCTTTCCCATCAACAGCTGCTTTACATGTTGACAATGTCCTTCATTTCAAGGTAGATCTATAGCCTTTATTTGGGTAAAGCTGATTCTGAAATCTGACCGGAGATGTGCTTTCCTTGCTCTGTGTAGCTTTTGCTGCCTAAACCCTTCTCATCATCCTTGTTACACCCAGAATACGTTTCATCATATCATCAATGTCTTGTTATAGCTGGATAATTTTGTCTGACTTAAGATGAAATCAAAGTCACGGGTAGCACAGGTGTAAATCGGTCCTGGGTTTTTCACTTCGTTTTTTTTTTTTTCGGGGTAAAAAGTTCAATAGGCCCTTATTTCCTCTTTGAAATAACCGCACTTGGTATTTCTAAAGGTGTTGAGATTAACACCTCATACCTAATTAATTCTGCATACTTTTCTGTTCCACCCGTTGATCGTTACTGGCTACAGAAGGCGGCTATACTCTTTATATCCAAAATTAATACGAGTAGATGAATGGATAGCTTCTGTGTTAGTGGTTTTGTTCTTCTTTCTTTCAGCCTGCCTTCCTTGTGTCTGGAATTTGGTTGAACGTCAATATTTCCTAGCCTGTTGTTCTCAATGACGCATCTCCACTCAATCGCTTCACCTAGATTGGTAGAACCCAATAATTCGTAATCATTTTATATTTCTTCCATAGATTATACATTTTGAGGATGCCTTTCATGGTGAATCTGAGATTGTTGGTGATTCTGATAAAGTTAAGACGTTGAGAGAGCACGATCTTTATTTTTAAATAGTCAAGTTTTTTTTTTTTTTTTCTTGTTTTGGTGTCCAAAAGTATTTGGAAAGGGCACCTGATTGTTATCTTTTCTCCAGTTTGAATCTGCTGGAATTATTTTAATGCCAGAGTTCCTGGAGCCTTCCTCCCAGGTGTGCGGAGCTCTCGCCTGAGGGACCGGCAGAAGGAAGAGAGAGAGACCCTCGTCAAGAAAGCATTCTTGGATGATCTGAAGAATGAACTCCGCCTGGTGCATGCCCTCTTGGGAAAGGATCCAGATTTCTCTGCAGCCTTGTGGCACCCTGATTTGCTTCCATCCCCGAGCAATTCCCCCCAGAAGTTTCCCTCGTCCCCCTCCCATGGGGAGTCTGGATTATCTGTGGATGAGCACAGGGATGAAGCTAAGGAGGATGGCTTAAAGGAAGATGACGAGGACGATGATGACAAAGTTGAGGTTTCTGGTTCAGAAGATCTGCAGGCCTTTTGTGCTGGGGACGGCGACTTGCCCTGTGGTTTGGACGTCGACTCCGGCACGTTGACTTGCACTGCATGCGGCATTCTCGGGTACCCCTTTATGTCTGTTATCCAGCCCCGGGGGAAGTCAACGAACCTCCTTTCTGGAGAGGGGGTTGCCGATGAGAAGATGCCTGTAGCAGAGACAACAGGGGATCTCGGAAGTGAGTGGGACACCTCTGACAGATCTCTGAGGTCGAGGATCTTCTGCCTACAGCACGCTCTGGACATCTGGGAACTTCTGCAACGCGAGGGCGGCGTCGCCCGTGTTCTTATTATCTGCCATTCAGGTGATGCTTCTTTCAGAATCTCCAGTTGCTTTTCCTCTTTCCTGGTTTTCTTTCCGATTCTCCAGGACCGATCCAGTAGACTTACTGGTTCTCTTTCATCTTCCTGAATTCGTCAGATTACCTCAAGATCAGAGCTCACGCTTCAGTGGTGGCCGAAGAGGTTGGTTACAAGACCGGCCCTGAAGAAGAGGTTCCTCTGCGGAGCGCCGCCCCGGCGGAGCTGAGCTTGGTCAGCATCTCGATTGACGAGGAAGAACACGAGGAGAAGGGAGAAGACTGGACATCGAAGATGGGTCTGAACCTGCGCAACTGTGTGAGGCTGAGGAAAGAATCTCCGTTGAACAGGGAGCGACTGAGGTTGGATTTGGGTGGTGCCTTCTCCGACGAAGGTCATCCCCTCCCGGATGCTTCCGCCCTGAAATGGCTCTGCCGGAGAACTCGCACGCTGCAACAGAGGCCCCCTGCCCCGGGCCAATCCAGAGAAACACCGCCGCCGGTGAAAAGGCGTCGAGGTCGTCCGAGGAAGAACCCTAATCGAGATCGTGTAGACGGAGAAGAAGCTTTGGTGACCGAGGAGAAGGTGTGCCTTCTTGATGATGCCCAGATGGATCAACAGGTTGAATCTTCAGCGCCGGATAACCTAATCAGTCAGGAAGCCAACCCTTCAGCGGCTCCGGAGGAACCGCCGCCTTGTGGAAGCGCTGTTCTTCTGTGTTCCAGAGGGGATAGCGGGAGCAATGGTGAGATTGGCAGCTCAGGGGAGTCGGAATTTCAGGCGAGCAATGCGCCGCCAGCCGCTGAAAGCTCAGAGCAGCCTCTCAGATGCACATCTGCTGCTTCGAGCCCATTGGAGGAATTCTCCGCCCAGGAAGAAGACGACGCAGAAGGCTCGAAGTCTCATCAAATATCTCCTCCCGCGGAAGCAGAAGGTAAAAAAATGTCCGGGAATGGCGGGCATCCGGCGGTGCTGAAGCAGTACGAGCGGCGCCGGCGGCAGAAGAAGAACAGTCAGGGCCAGTGCCCGGCTGCGGATGATCATCCTCATCACCTCCCTCCTCAGAGGAGCGAAGGAAAAAGAGAGGAAGAAGAAGACCAACAGATGAGAGATCTCCAACTGAGCTGCAGTGGGTTCATTCGCGGGCCCTGCGAAGGGTTGCGGCCGAGGGGGAAGCACTCGGCGGCGAATCCCCTGGAAGCGCCCCCGCAGAAGAAGCGGCGCCGCGGCGGGCAAGGCGGCGCCACCGGCAGCGGGCCGTACCAGTGCGATCTCCAAGGCTGCAACATGGGATTTCGCACGGCGAGGGAGCTCCAGCTTCACCGGAGGAACCGGTGCACCTTCAAGGGCTGCGGGAAGCGGTTCGTCTCCCACAAGTACGCCGTGCGCCACCAGTGCGTGCACGCCGACGAGAGGCCCCTCCGTTGCCCGTGGAAGGGATGCGGGATGAGCTTCAAGTGGGCATGGGCGAGGACGGAGCACCTGCGGGTGCACACCGGGGAGAGGCCGTACGAGTGCAAAGTGGCCGGGTGTGGTCTGACGTTCAGGTTCGTCTCAGACTTCAGCCGCCACCGCCGGAGAACAGGGCATTACCCCGGGTAGCGCGCCGTGGCGGCCGCCGCCCGCCAGATTAACAGTGTAGAGAGCCACCATCCCCTCCCCATTGGATAGTGAGTGTGCAAGTGCTTGCTAGGGGGGGGGGTCTCCTGTAGTTGGTTTGGATGCTTCACCCCTGCCCCCTGAAACTTGGAGTTACCGGCGAGGATTGTGCTCTTGGGATCGTTCTAACTTGATTTTTCGGGTTTGGTGGCTCCTCTCCCTCTCTCTGTCTCTCGTTCCCGTTTTGGCGTCCAGAAATGCGAAATAAATTCTAGAGAGAGAGAGAGAGAGAGAGAGAGAGAGAGAGAGAGAGGAGTCATTAGTGTATCTTTATTGAGGTCAGGACCCTGCTGCCATGTGGAGATGGGAAACGGATTCCTGTATTGGGCCAACATTTGAAATTGGGCCGTCTTGTTTTGCTTCTTTTGGGCCGAAGCAGTGGCATTTGTCCAGTTGTTAGAATCTTTTGAAACGTTTGGCATATCCTTCGCTTACCTCATTCGTCATTTCTTTTCATCTCATACAGCATATTAGTTTATAAAGTCAGTACAAAACTTTCTAAGAAGAATACATCCAGTAAATATTCCTCTTCTATGAAGAGGATTGTGTTAGTTTTTCTTAAAATATAGTAATAAACTCATAATAGTAAAAAATAAATCTGAACATATCATAGAAAATAATCTAATATACTGATCACTCACATAAATTTAATATAAAATATGTGATGATACCAAATATATCTTAATCTATGTGTAAATTTTAGTAAACAAAACTAAATTCCATTTCAAACATGTTGAATAATTTCACATAACCCCTGCAAAAATATAGATTATGATTCCATGAAAATTCATTTAAACTCATAATATGGATTACTAATTTATAGATATATCATTATAAATGATTTAAAAGAAGCCAATATGGATAATAAAACAAAACATACATTTGGAAAATAACTTTAACAAGTTTTATACATGATTGAGGTCTCTATTTAGCATTGTATATATAAATAAGAAGCACATAATATGATTAAACATAAAATAATACTTGTCTTTGATTACGTCATTCTTCAATTATTAGATTAGCAAATATTTTGAAAAGAAGTTGAGATGCAGTCTTTACATAGATAACAAAATTGTATCTTCTTTATGGACATGATCTCATAAAAAATATTGTTTGGCAATATATGGGTTTAGTGCACATAAATGACAAGATTATCCAGGTTAATTATACTACCATTATCATATGAAATAGAAATTTTATTTAAACTACTATAATAATATATTGTAATTTTATTTCTTTATAATCAATAATAATTATCAAATGTAATAGGCCATTTATGTTACGGCCCATCATAATGGCCAAACTTATGTGTGTTATGGTCTAGGGTTAAAACATAAATCCTAGACCATGATCATTATCAATGACTTTTGTCTTTTTTACTTTCTACATGATATCAAAGCTCAATTAGGGTTTTCAAACCCTTAGTGGAGCGCCATCACAACTTGAAGTTGTCATCGCCGATGCCCTCCATCAAAGTTTGCTAGAGTTATTGATGTTGTGTCTCTTGTTGGTGAGGTTTTACCACCTCTATCGTGTTTCTTTTTCGGCTAGGTTTTCCACCTATGTTGTGTTCCTTTCTAATGATGTTTTTCCACATATGCTGTACTTTTTTTTTCCAAGGGGCTTTGTAGCCTTCGTCAAGTGTCCATATGACAAGGGATGTCCCTCATCGACATTTTTCCTTCACTACTATCTCTATCGCCTCTACAACCATCATTGTCATCTCCTTCAACATTTGCTTGTCAACAATTAACTATGGGAGAAGGACATAAATATGTTATTATACTTACCATATAAGGTAATTTCATAACAAATTACAAGATAATGGGAAGAAATTATCATCATTGGCAACAATTAGTGTGAATTTATTTCAAGAGACAAGACAAGATTAATCATCTACTTAAAGGCATATCATTTGACCATAATCTCTATATTAGTAGGAGCAGCATGATGTAGTCCTAAATTTATTGTGAAATTCTATAGAGACTCACATTGTCCAATAGATGTGTAATATGGAGAGATGTCGGGTGGTATGAGATTATCTTGCATTGATATATTCCAACCATATTTCTTCAATATATGATATGACTGTAAAGTATTATAGATTGAAGTAAAGTGATATGGATTTGAATTAATATTTTGATGAGATTACATATATTACTCAAGATCTCAACTCATTACTTCATTTATGAATTAATCCACATATGATGTAAAAATAATAAGATCAAATGGTAGTAGTCAAGTTTCTTAATAGGTTTTGTATTGAGTATGAGAGTGTTCGTAGTAAGATACTAGCAAGGATTGAGCGGTCAACACTTTTTAAAGCCTATCAACATGTCTGTCATGCTCTTTTAGATCATGGCTTTTCAAAAATCACACCCCTTATGGAGAACACAATATTTGTGTCTACTCAACAACCTTCTCATAGGTGTACTCATAATAGTAATTTTGGAAGAAGGGGGAGTAGAGGTAGGGTATATGGAGATTGCCAAAAGTATTGAGTTCATGTATATAACAAAAAAAGGCACACAAAGGATATGTGTTATGCACTTCATGGTTGTCTTCCTATGATTGTGAATATTGTTGTAGGAGGAGAAGAGGAAGGATCTCGAGGCACACATTACATGCCAGTATTTAGTGAGGAGTATGCTCACATACTTTAGTTTTGAGCTGCCCAACAAGTATCACTATCAGTAGACACACTTAGGACATCTACAATGTGCTTCTCTTACACATCCACATCCTCTTTAGGTGAATCACCCTAAATGGTTCTTGACTCAGGTCTTTTTTAGGTGAATCACATTACAAGTATACTCAATAATTTCATATCATATTCTAGTGATCATGTTTTTTCTACTGTCACCTTAGTAGATGACTCTACTACACCTATCACAAGTATATGAACTTTATATCTTAAACCTAACTTTCCTCTTAGATAAATTTTATGTATACTTAAATTTATTTATATTTGTAAACTTACTCGATCTCTACAAGTTGCAATAACTTTCCTTCGTGATTCATATTTCATTCAGGACCTACAAACATGGAGGAGGAGTGATGAAGGATATGAAGATGGAGGGCTATACTAGAGAAAAGCTTCTTCTCTTGCATGTATTGTTGCTTCACATCTTTAAGTCCATAGTTGACTAGGTCATGTATCTCTAAAAAACCTCAAATTGATGATGCCTAATTTGTCTAATATATAAATATTAGAGTGTGAATCATGTCAATTAGGTAAACACTATTGTTCTAACTTCAGATCAAGGGCTCTTTCAAGAGTAAAATCTATTTTTGATTTAGTCTATTTCGATGTATAGGGTCTTAGTTAAGTTACTTCTAAACATAGTTTTAAGTATTTTGTTAATTTCATTGATGATCATTCTTATATCACATTCGAGTATCTCACGAGAGACTAATCAAAATTATTTATCATTTTTTTCATATTTTGTGCTGAAATTAAGAATCAATTTGGCATGAATATTTGGATACTTCATTCTTGTAATATAAAAGAGTATTTTAGTTTATATTTTACACAATATCTAACCACCTTAGTCGTTACTCATCAATCATCATGTCCTTAAACTCAACAAAATAGAATAAATGAGAGTAAAACTTATCATATCATTGAAATAGTTTGTACATTACTTTTACATATGAATGTCTCACATGAATTTTGGAGTGATGTTGTTCCTAGATCTACCTACTTAATTAATTGAATGTCATCATCAATTTTAAATCAAAATACTTCATATTCTATTATTTATCCTACTAGTCCATCATATAATATATCATCGAAGATTTTTAGATGTATATGTTTTATCTATCATTTAGATACAAGTTGTCATAAACTTAGTCATAAGTCTTTGAAATGTGTTTTCTTATGATGCTCTCATACTCAAAAGAGGTACAAATATTATTATCCTTCACTTAGTAGACACTTTATTAATGTTAATGTTACATTTTTTAAGAGTATTATTTTCTTCATTATATCACAATGTACTAATTCTCTAAATGAATAATTACCTCTACTAGTCATTGTAGAGTCTATCTTCATGAATAATCTTAGTATGATTCTTGAGTAATTATATAATAGATTGGAAAATACATGTCTATCAATCATGTCGGTATACACACATCAAAACGCTCCTCAACACTTATTGAGGCATCTACTTCACAACTAATCCTTTTTATGTCTAAGAGACTAAAAGCAAGTATATTGGTGACTTGTAATCTTGATCTCCCTATCACCTTACAAAAATATAAATATTTTTGTACACACGATCTTATTTCTAACTTTATATTCTATCATCACCTATCTCCTATTTACATAGCTTTTGTATCTACCTTATCCCATTATCTTACTTCTAAGATTATTTCAGAAGTACTAAGTTATCTCAGATGATGTGTCATTATAATTAAGGAGATGAAGCTATTTGAGAAGAATCAGACTTGAAAACTTGTCTTACATCCTCCAAATTTTTTTATTGTTGACTAAAAATTAGTCTTTATAATTAAAGTTGAACCTGATGATACATTTGATTACTTAAAAGCTCAATTAGTGGTGAAAGGTTTCACCTAAGGATATGGTGAAGGTTATTGAGAAACTTTCTCTTTTGTTACTAAGATTACTTCTATTTCTATTGTGTTTACTTTGACAATTCACTTCTCATAACCTCTTTATCAGCTTAATATAAATAATACATTTATTCATGACGCTATACAAGAAGATATATATATATATATATATATATATATATATATATTGTACAACTTCTAGGATTTAGTGCACATGAGGACTCACATATGATTTAATAATTACACTCCCTTATGATTTGAAATAATCTCCTCGAACATGGTTTAACCAATTTAGTAACACTTTGAGTGAATTTGGTCTTCAAAGATATGATATTGATCACTGTATCTTTTATCAACACTCTTCAACT